TTTCTCAACCTTAGCAGTTTTAAAATACATGGGCCTCAACTCCCAGAATTCCCCAGCCAGCCATCCTATGCTGGCTGGAGAATTCTGGGAGCGGAAGTCCACACATCTTAAAAGTCGCCAAGGTCGAGACAGGCTGGCCTATAGGAAAAGGGTGATGGTACCTGTTTAAATGCACCCAGGACTTTAAAAACACCGTTCAATTAAACAATGAAAAGGAATTCACGAATGAAATTAAGTCAGGAATGAAATTAACTCGGGCAAAGTCAATCCTGAGGATTAAAGGGCATCAGCAGGAGCCTTTACCCGATGCTCTCTCCTGAGGTGCCTCGTCTTGAGCAACTCCCCGAAACAGCAGCTCCTGGGAGGGATCGCCCCCTTTCCCTCCGGCCGGGTTAGCAGCCATTAAACCCCAAACCTTCTGCATCTCAAACAGCCCCAGAGGGAAGGAAAAAAAGGAAGTTACGGGAAACGATCGGGAAGGGCCGGCAGAACAATCTCCCCAAGGAGAAAGTGGGGACTGCAGGAGCGATCTTAGGAGCGCCCCAAGAAGCTGCCTTGAAGGGTCTCCTGTCCGAGCATTTCCCCAGGTGGGAAGACGGGAGGGAGGAAAGAGGGAGCATCTTACCTGGCGCTCCATAGGAAAGAGGCGGCTCTCTTCCTCGCCCGGACTCCGCTTCCCAAAAAGATGCGCTCAGGAACGGATCCGCGATCCGTTTTCCACGCAGCCACGCTTCCTTCCTTCCCGGCCACGCACGTGGATCCCCCTTCTCGGAACGGCCCCAGCCAGGACTTTGCAGAGCCCAAGCAGGAAGCTCTTATAGCTCCGCCCCTCCTCGTCCAGCTCCTCCCATTCTCTAAAGGGGGGAGGGCGCCGCCCCCTCGGGGGTCCCCCTGCCTGCGCCCTGCCTTTTGCAACGGGGGAAGCGGTCCCGCGTGGGATGCTCAGCTGGGCAGGGAGTCCAGGGCTGCTTCTCCCCAGGCAATCAGAGAAACGGGGACAGAGGGAGGGGACGAAGCCCAGGGAAGGGGGGGGGAGGGAAGGGAAAGCGATGCTGAGCAGCACAGTTAGAAGGGACTCGTCCTTTAACAGAATAACAGAGTTGGGGGGGATCTTGGAGGTCTTCTAGTCCAACCCCGAGGCAGTCCGAGAAACAGGGAAGAGAGGGAGGAGAGGAAACCCAGGGACGGGAGCAGGGAAGGGAATTTTGATCCCATAATCATGTGGTTCACCCGGCAATGGTCCTGTGAAAAACGTTCAGAAGTCGCTTTTTTCAGTAGTGTTGTAACTTCAAACGGTCACTAAATGAACTGTTATAAGTGGAGGACTACCTGTTGGAAATGCAGAGATTCCTATCGCCTGCAGCTCCTAGATCCCTATAATGGAGCGTTTCAAATGAAGGAGCAGGAAAGTTGAAAGAAGAGAGGGAATTGGAAACCAGAAGTTTTGAGAAGCGATACCAATAAGGAAGAAAAAAGAGCTTTTGCAACCCTCAACTAAGTTTTAGTTTTCTTTCTTTTTTTAACTTCCTCTTTTTCCACTTCAGGTGTCGAGGGAGATACAACATTCTGGTTTTGGCACTTCTAGAAGCCTCAAAGGTTATTTGATGCTGTTGTAGTGTCTCTTTGAAGTTGTCTCTCCATCTTCCTCTGGGTCGGCTTCATGTTTTTTGGCCTTCAATCAAGCCTGGGATTCAAATAGCCCACAAAGTTAGCAGTGACACCTTACAGCAGAGGTCTTCAAACTTGACAGCTTTAAGACTTGTGGACCTCAACTCCCATAATTCTCCAGCCAGCATAGCATAGCATAGCTGGCTGGAGAATTCTGGGAGTTGAAGTCCACAAGTCTTAAAGCTGCCAAGTTTGGGGAGCCCTGCCTTACAGCAACCAATAGAATACATGTTCTTGCCACAGGAACAGGAAGCTCAAGGGCAAGGCCCAAGAGAGGGTATAAATACCTCTCTCTCTCCACTCCATGTGTTCAGCGGCCCAGAATCTCAAACCCATGTGGTCCTGTTCATCAATAAACCATCTTTCCAATCAGCCTCCTTGTTTCCAGTGTCTTTCTCTGGAAGTGCGTAAGGCTCACTTCGGTTTGTAAAAATGATTGGAATAGCAATAGAGCTGGAAGGAACCTTGGAGGTCTTCTAGTCCAGCCCCCTGCTCAAGCAGGAGAACCACTTATTTCCACTTATACTACAATACTGGTATCATGTTGTCCCTAACTTTTTTTTTAGACTAGCCATACCCAAATCCTGCAGCCATTCTAATGTGTTAGTCTCCAGGCCTTTGATCATTTTAGTTGCTCTTCTCTGAACTTTTTCCAAAGTCTCAACATCTTATCTTGCAATACAAGCCAAAAAGAAATTGAGAGAAAATGAATTATTCCTGTAAAAAGCATAACCTAAGTAACGCCATATTTAACCTTTATATAATCTGATTTATGTAACCTGATAATTAGGACATGAGTAAGCAGTAGATTATGGAAAGGAAAAAGGGAACTGTAATGTTTCTGTGATGCTTGTTTTGAAGAACTGCTTGTTTTGGGGAAATAAAAGTTTTGGGTACATTCTAAATCCGGTCGGGCTGATCTAAATGAGGAAGTGTCTAATGATCTATTAAGAAGAACGATACCAATCAGCATGGAAACATTTGTGTTGGGTATTTTCGGAGGGTATTTTTGGAGGGGAACTCCAGGGTGGAACATGTGCAGAGAGCCAAAATTGTTATATAAGACCTGAAAACAATTCCCTAAGGGGACATTTACATTGTGTTGCTGTATCGCGAAAACTGTATATAAATCATGTAAGCGAAGTGATCAGACGTTCTCTCTCTTTTGTGGGAGAACCCTTTTGCAAAAGCTTGAAATATATATATAGCTTTATATATATATATTTAATAAATCTGCTTCTTACTTGTTCATGGTCTCTGTTTCACTCTTTATGTGGGTTGCTGTTTTTCTGTATTTCACAGAAATAGAGGAACAGATATTGTGACAAATAATGTAGATCAGTTAGGTAACATGCTACCAAGTGGAAACTGAAGTTTTGGGTCTCTCCCTCCCTCCCTCCCTCCCTCTCTCTCTCTCTCTGGCATGTTATGCATATCTTTTGCTTAATGTAGCACTGTTCCATAAGATTCCATAAGTCTTAAGCAAGGGTCTCCACACTTGGCAACTTTTAGGACTTCTGGACTTCAACTCCTAGAATTCCCCAGCAAGAAAAGTAACATGATTTTTAAGCATGGCTGTTCAGGAATTCTGGGAGTTGAAGAAAAAATGACCAAGGTCCCTCATCCCTGATGAGACTCTGGTCTTCTAACTATCAGAGGCCAAACTGTGCATTTGGTCTTGTTCCCTGGGAAACCTCATCCTTCTCCAAGGAATCTTAGGCCTCTTCGCCATCTTCCCCCTTTTTGAGATTTTAACTTATGGACTTCAACTCCCAGAATTCCCCAGCCAGCATGGTAACATGTGTGCCAACATCTGTGCCAGAGGAATTCTGGAAGTTAAAGTCCACAAGTCTTAAAATACCTCTGGAGACCCCTAGTCTAGGCCCTGACCGATTTTGAGGTTAAGAAATTCCTTCCCTATGTTTTCCAAGGTGGGTTTCAATGAATTGGCAATTGTCAGTTACACTGAAACAACACATTCTTAACATTCATGACTCTGCCTTAATAACAAATAATCAATTGCTGCTTTACAATTAGTCCTCATCTTACAATCATTTGTTCAGTGACCATTCAAAGTTACAACGGCACTGAAAAAAATGATTTATGATTTTTTTCACACCACCGTTGCAGCATCCCTGTGTGATGTGATCAAAATTTAGACATTTGGCAACTGGCCTGTATTTTTGATAGTTGGAGTGTCCCAGGGTCATGTGATCACCGTTTGAAACATTCTGACAAGCAAAGTCAATTAAGATTCATTTAACAACCATGTTACTAACTGAACAACTGTGGCAAAGGTTGTAAAAGGGAACAAAACTCACTTAACAACTGCCTTGCTTAGCCATGGAAATGTGGGGCTTAATTGTGGTCATAAGTCAAGGGCTGCCTCTATTTTCTAAAGCTTGTTCCCTAAATTGTCCAAAAAGGGCCTGTATCTGAGATGTGTAAGCTAAGCCTTTAGCTACTATACACGTTAGGGCACTAATAAAGTCAAGCACAATCAATTTCGTATCTCAGACTAGAAATCAGTTAAACACAACCAATGTTAGCTGGTGCAGACACAGCGCCATCCCTCCAGTTATGACTTTTGACAAAACTCTCGACTCTTGTATTGGTTCAATGTTTCATTCTCTTCCGTCACTTTCTCCCACTGAAGTGCTCAGTGAAGATCCTATTTCTCTTTGAACTGGTGTGACTTTCTCCACATGGGTGTAGCGGACCACTGTTTGATTCTTCCAACATTACGGAATAGGGACCTCACCACTTAGGTGGCAATGTTTGCTCTTAAAGTATTTCAGCATCTTCCCTATATGATGTCTAAGCCAGCTTTCTGCACCCTAATGTTGTCTGAAACTGTTATCCCAAAGGCACTTTTTTTGAAAAGTCAACTGGATTTTGTTTTTCCTTGAAGACATTTCGCTACTCATTTAAGAAGCTTCTTCAGTTCAGAACTGAAGAAAGTTCTTGGATGAGAAGGGAAATCTCTTCAACCGGGGGTGGGGGGAAGTCCAGTTGCCTTTTGATAAAAGCCCCTTTGGGACAACCGCAACCTGGATGCCTGAGAATCTCCATCTGGATGTTAGTTTCCAAATCCCTACCTACCTTTGGTGGTCGCACTGACAAAAGTTGATCACTTGTTGTATGTTATGTACGCTGACAGCATATGCATCCGAGACACATTCCTTGTATGTCCAATCAAACTTGGCTAATAAAGAATCCTATCCTATGCCATGTTATGCCATGACATGCTATCTCTATTCTATTTTTATTCTTATTCTTTCTAATCTTATTCTACTCTACCCTAGCACAAAGATCTAATATCCAAAAGTTAATTCCTAGTTCTACAAGAAAACTCTTCTTTTTAATGGAACAAGACATTTCTGCTGCTTCAGAAGCCCTTCCCATACTCCATGCATTTCTACAGAATCTCCTGCAAAACGTCTGTCAGCATGAAGCAAATTTTGAGAATCAACACGAACCAATTAGCATCGTCTTTTCCTGCTATGCGTCTTCTTATGTCGATTAAACTCACCGCAGGTTCTAAATTTCTTTCCACACTCTACACACTGATATGGCTTCTCCCCTGTGTGGAGTCTTTTATGGAGTGTAAGATTACCACTGAGTCGGAAACTCTTTCCACAGTCGATGCATTTAAATGGCTTCTCTCCTGTATGGATCCTCATGTGGGAGGTAAGCTGGCCACTGTCTCTATAACATTTTCCACACTCCATGCATTTATAGGGTTTCTCCCCTGAGTGAAGTCTTCTATGGCTCTTGAGTGAACTATTTAGACTAAAGCTTTTTCCGCACTCGTAACATGTGTATGGTTTCTCCCCAGTGTGGATCCTCTTGTGGATACCAAGGTGACTACTTCTCCTGAAACTCATGCCACACTCCGTGCACTTATATGGTTTCTCCCCTGTGTGAATCCTTTTATGGATTGTCAGTTCTCCAGAATCACTGAAGCATTTTCCACACTCTTGGCACTGATATGGTTTCTCCCCAGTGTGGATCCTCTCATGGGACTTAAGATGACCTTTTCGACTGAAGTTTTTTCCACAGTGCAGGCATTCATAAGGCTTCTCCCCTTTATGCATCCTGTTATGTACGGATAGAGCACCACTTCTGCTGAAGCATTTTCCACACTCTGTGCACTTATATGGCTTTTCTCCGGTGTGGATCCTCTTATGTAAATTGAAATCGCCTTTTCGGGTGAAGCTCTTCCCACACACTGTGCAATGATACGGCTTTTCCCCTGTATGGGTCCTATTATGGGAAGTGAGGTATCTTGCAGAGCGGAAGCTCTTCCCACATTCCAGGCATTTACACGATTTATTCCCAGTGGACCTTTTTTTCCAGGAATTCAGTTCCTTGCTCCAAGTAAACCTCATTCTACTCTCCCTGCATTGATGCAACTTCTCCTCTCTGCGGCTGCTTTGATGGGAAGTAAGGGAGGCGCTGCTTCCAAAGCTGTTTCCCCTATTAATGCATTGATGCTTCTTGCTCTCTTCGTGGACCTTTTTATGTGAACTAAGATGATTTTTCTGCCTGAAGGTCCTTCCACAATCCAGACATTTGTGTGGATCCTCTGTTTTGTGAATCGTTTTATGCATTGAAAGAGAATGGCTTGTACTGAAGCTTTCTGCACACTCCGTACATTTGTACATTTCCCCTCCTTCTTGTATGCTTTCATGTAAAGGAGGAGGAAGGGTCCCTCTGGAGTGTTGCCTGCTTTCATCTTGTTTCTCTCCAGCAGGGCTTTGGCAACAGTCACATAATCCCGATTCATGTCGGAGTGTTTTCCCACACCTTGAACACTCTCCTTTTTCTTGGCAATCATCTGTGTCCAATAAGACATTGGGATCTGGACAAGGCAAACCAGAGCAATTCTCCAGCTCCCCCATTAACTGGTTTTCTGCAACTTCCTTTTTCTCTTTTGGCAAAGGTGCTGCTGCCTCTTGGCCAGAATCCTCCCTCTCCCATCCGTCACCTGCTTGCAACAGGAAAAAAAAAAAGGGAAATTAACACAAACTTAGGCGTGAAACGGATTAAGCACTATTGCTGTATTTGAATGATCAAACTCCCACTGGTTCAAAGCTTGTCCTTTGGAGCCTGCTTGTCCTCAATGGTACAGAATGAAAACCTGAACATTTTGGATGAGGGCATTTAAATTTGGGGGTGAGGGAGAGGTCCTCAGCTATACTGCTGAGGATGGAGAACCAATTGGTTTAATTTTAATCTGAGAAGGTAGATAGATTGAGGGACTTGGTCCTGAAACTGAACTTCATCTTCTTCTCCGTGAAGAGGTTTTTACTTGAACAAAACTGGTTCCCATCTGAGGTGTTCATTCATCTTTATCCCAAAGCTGCTTTTTCTAAAGGCAACTGGACTTTCTTTTTTCCTTGAAAATGTTTCCCTTCTCATCCCAGAAGCTTCATCAGTTCTGATTGAAGGATGGAGGATGGAAGGATTGATAATTCCTTGCAGTCATCTGGTTGTAAGCACTCTTTCCGACCAGATGACTGCAGGGAGTAAAAATCCCTGTGATAAACCTTTGGACCCTATCAGGCTCTTAATTGTCATCATTATAGATCAAAAAACAACAAAATCACAGCATAGATTGCCTCATGCAGGAGACAGCTTTCTCCAACCAATCAGCTGTAATTGTATGTTCTGACTCCTTGTAGAACTCCACTGTTACAGCTACTAAATTTCAATATCTTAAAAGAATCCCTTACCTAAGGAGATTATGTTCCTTTCGTTTTCCAGCATGACCTCTCGGTACAGGGCTTTTTGCTCAGAATCCAGCAGGGCCCACTCCTCCACGGAGAAAAACACAGCTACATCCTCAAGCGATACCATATTCTGACACAGGGAGAAGAAAAAAAATTAATTATATTCCATGAGCATTCTTAACAATGAACACTTCAATAAATTACTTGCAAGTCCTCTTCTTGATGAACATATTCCATCTGCAGAGTTTCCAAGTAGGGCAAATTTGCATCTTCTCTGGAGAACCTTTCCAAAAACATAAATTGCAAAGAGCCTCTGGCTACAGACACATCTAGGACAGTAATGTAATGTATTATTGGTTTGGCCGATTCTGCAACCCCATATTCCTTCGCTTTCCACTGATGAGCTACAGCAGTGATGGTGAACCTTGTCGCGTGGAAACAATGCATGCATGCTCGTATGCTTGTCGGGATCGTGCTATAAAAAAGCCTAACTTCCGGGGTCTAGCATGCCTGTGCAGGTTATTGGAACTGCTATGCGCGCAAAAGGATTGCGCTCTGGAAAAGCTGAACTTCTGGGTTCTGGCACGCATGGGCACCTGACAACCAGCTGGCCAGCGTGCATGCGTAAGCCGGTTTTCAGCACTGACGCGTGTGCAAAAGACAGCTGATTGTTGCACACGCATGCATGCCAGAAACCTGGAAGACAAACAGGCATGGCCACACGTACTGGGCGACATGGCTTCACATGAACTTTTGTTACTTTTTCCTGTTTTACTGAAGGTTTGCGCAGTTTAAACTTATATCCCGTAAGAAGCATGGGGAGCTGTGCACTGAAATAGCTGAGCTCTCTGGGTGTGCTTTTTAACCAGATAATGTAACAGAATAACAGAATATAACAGATGGGGAGAAACAGGCTCAGGCTCAACCCATCCAAGATTGAGTGGCTGTGGTTTCCGACGTCCCGATATAGTCAGCTGGTGCCATCGCTGACTATTGGGGGCGAATCATTGGCCCCCACGGAAAGGGCTCGCAACTTGGGCGTCCTCCTGGATTCACGGCTGTCTTTAGAAGAGCACTTGACGGCCGTGACCGGGAGGATTTTTCATCAGGTTCGCCTGATCCGCCAGTTGCGTCCCTTTCTAGATCGGGACTCCCTACGCACAGTCACTCATGCCCTCGTCACCTCTCGTCTGGACTATTGTAATGCTCTCTACATGGGGCTCCCCTTGAGGTGCACTCGGAGGCTCCAACTGGCGCAGAGTGTGGCTGCGCGGGTGGTTATGGGAGCAACGTGGAGCTCCCATGTAACACCTCTCCTGCGCGAGCTGCACTGGCTCCCGGCGCTCCCATAGAGAGGGGCTCCTCCGGGTGCCATCGGCCAAACAGTGTCAGCTGTCGGCCCCTAGGGGGAGAGCCTTCTCTGTGGGGGCACCTATGATCTGGAATGAGCTCCCCCCGGAGATACAGAGGATCCCGGATCTGCGCACCTTCCGCCGCGCGCTCAAGACTCTTCTATTTCATCAAGCTGGCCTGGCCTAAATCTTCTCCCTTTTAAGTGTAAATTTTAAATTTGTTTTAAATTACTGGGTATTTTAAATTCAGCCAAATTATTTAATTCATTTTATTCGATTTTAATTTTTTGTATTTATGTGTTTTACTTCGTGGCTGTTCACCGCCCTGAGTCCTTCGGGAGTAGGACGGTATAGAAATTTAATAAAATAAATAAAATAAATAAATAAATAACAGAATGACAGAGTTGGAAGGGACCTTGGAGGTCTTCTAGCCCAACCTCCCGCTCAAGCAGGAGATCCTATATACCATTCCAGACAAATGGCTGCCCAGTCTCTTCTTCAAAGCCTCCAGTGATGAAGCACCAATACTTCTGAAGGCAAGCCATTCTACAGGGTAATTGTTCTCACTATTACAAAAAAATTTTCTTTAATTCTGGGTTGCTTCTCTCCTTGGTTAATGTCCATCCATTGTTTCTTCTCTTGCCTTCTTTTATTGGGGGCTTCTTCAATAAATCAGACTGGCACTTTTAAGTAAGGGGAGAATCCTCCTACCTGAGTTGGAAGTTCAACCGCTGTTAATCCTCTGCTATACAGACCTGAGGTTCCAGGAGATGAAGATGAGGCCATCAGAGTGTCTAGGAGTGAAAATAAAAGCAAAGGAATAATCTCCTATCAAACACCTTAACTATATTGGTGAAGCTACAGTGAACAAGGGCAAGTTTACATCCATATCTTTATCCTAAGTAGGGAATCGGTTTATTTAAGTACTTTGAAGCCACAAGAACAATACATAGAAGCTGCTAACGTTGGGTTGTGAGGAAAACTGAATGATGTGGAAGGACCAGGGATTGGATTCAGAGGCAGATTATCTCAGCCATGAATTTACGTATTAAAACACCACAGAGGTTGACTCTGGAGCCTCAAGTAGATCCCATCCCGTATCTGCTGAGTTGTTAATCAGGAGTTCTAGGTCTGGCCTGGCACCAACAAAGAGGCAGAGTCCAATTCTCTCTGAGCCATGCATCTACAGCTAGTCCTCAAATTACAGCCATTCATTGAGTGACCGTTTGAAGTTACAATGGCACTGGAAACAATGATATGATTGTTTTTCACACTTATGACCATTGGCAGCATCCCCATGGTCACATGATCAACATTCAGACACTTGGCAACAACTGGGTCATATTTATGACGGTTGCAGTGTCCCGGGGTCATGTGATCACCTTTTGCAACCTTCTGTGAGAAACTTGGAAAACGGGGACCCGTACCTGCTTACGACTGATGCTGTCCCTGATCCAGTTCCCTGGGTTGCTATTATCTCAGGGAATTTGGACTAGGTCCAGCATTAATATGAAATTACCTGCAATACTTCAGGAATATTAAAAGCTGCTTTAACACGTTGTGTCATATATCATAGTCAAGGAAATTATGAAAAATAAAAATAAAAAACTTTAAAAAAAAAAGACACTTGGCAACAACTGTCTCATATTTATGACGCTTGCAGTGTCCTGGGGTCATGTGATCCTGTTGCAACCTTCTGACAAGCCAGGTCAATAGAATTCCCTATTGCACTGTGGTTCACTTAACCATTGGGGCAAGAAAGGTCGTAGTAGGGGGCAAAACTCACTTAGCTCCTATCTCGGTGAGCAACAGAAATTTTGGGCTCAGTTGCACCTGTAAGTCAAGGACTACCTGTATTCAGGTTTGGACAAAGGTGGGTCCTCCCATAAGGCTGGGAAAGAGCCTGAATTACTTTTTCAGCACACCTGTATATTTACTAAGCAGGAAATACAGCTGGTTGTTTGGCAGTTAGACACATTATGGAAGTATCAAAGTAGCTATGCCCACATCCTGTAGCGATATATTATTAGCAAGCATGGTGTGGTTTCCATATCCCCCATCCCCACACATGTCCTGTATTTCAGCCATTTCAGAATACAGAATAACAGAGGCCTTCTAACCACTATACCACAGGTGTCAAACTCGCCACGTCACGTTTCATGAGTTTTTCCCTTCACAGAGCTGTGTTGGGCGTGGCAAGCAATGTAACGCATCTGGCCTGCAGGCCGCCAGTTTGACACGCCTGCTATACCATTTCAGACAAATGGTTGTCCAATCTCTTCTTTAAAACCTCCACTGTTGGATAACACCCACAACTTCTGGAGGCAAGTTGTTCCACTGATTAACTGTTCTCACTGTCAGGAAATTTCTCTTTGGTTCTAAGTTGCTTCTCTCCTTGATTAGTTTCCACCCATTGCTTTTTATCCTGCCTTCAGGTGCTTTGGAGATTAGGTTGACTCCCTCTTCTTTGTGTCAACCCCTCAACTAATAGAATATTGCTATCCTATCTGTTATGTATTGATACATTTAAGCAGGAGTTTCAAATATTTAAGTGTTGCTGATTGGCTGACAGTCTCTCCTGGAGTGTATATAAGGAGGGCTGCTGCCAGAGAGTTTTTGCTGAAGTCTCACTCTATATTAAAGAGCTGTTGCCACTTGCTTGCTTGTGCCTCTCGTTATTCCCGCGCTACAACATTGGCGACGAAGGTGGGATTGAGGCCACAAGAAGCGAACCAGTGAGACCCTCGAGCTTCAGCTAGGGTGACGAAGCGAACTACAGGAGACATACCGGCATGTCTGCCTACGTTCCGCCCAAGCCCTTCGATCCTGCCCGCGAGAAATGGGCATCCTACATGACAAGGTTCGAGTGCTCCCTCAAAGGCAGCGACATGCAAGAACTCTCCGCTAATCGGAAGACAGCCCTATTCCTAAGTCACTGCAGACCGGACGTGTTCGAGATGGCGGAGTCCCTCTGCGAGCCAACGCCAGTCCAGACCGTTCCCTGGGACACACTGATGGCGACTCTCCGAGCGCACTACGCTCCGGTGCCCTCCAAGTTCGTGCAGCGTTACGAATTCAGACAACGCGTGCAGAAAGAGGGAGAGCCGGTCAGCGCGTACATGGCGAGCCTTCGTAAAACCGCAACGCATTTTGACTATAGAGACTTAGACGACGTGCTGCTCGAGCAGCTAATATGCGGCGTTTGGGATACGAGACTGCAAAGGCGACTACTCACTAAACCCGACTTGACACTGGTTGGAGTTCTAGACAAGGTCAGGGCTCACGAAGCCTCTACAAAAGCCACTGAAGCCTTGCAACGACCATTGGCAAGCAAAGACACTCCCAAAACTCCACCAGTGCATCGGTAGGACGTCAGATCCAGCTCAGAAGGAGAGTCCGACGAGGACATCTGCCACACTGAACACAAAAAGACAGAAATGAACAGTTGTCAAAAATACTGTTCTAGCTGTGGCGGAAAACACGAGAGACAGACCTGCAAGTACCGAGACGCTGTTTGCAGGCGCTGTGAAAAGAAGGGACACTTGGCGAGAGTCTGCAGAGCCATCATTCACAGCCAATCCTGGCCACGTGACCGCCACAGCCAACCCGAAGCGGCTCATTCAAAACAGCCAGTCAAAGATGGCGGCGTGAAAAATCGGCGCGAAATTCAAAAACGAGACACCTACAACTCGCCCCCAACGAGACAACTATTGGGGGCGAGTCTTTGGCCCCCACAGAAAGGGCTCGCAATCTGGGAGTCCTCCTGGATATGCAGCTGTCCTTGGAGGAACATCTGACAGCTGTAACCAGGGGGACCTTTTATCAGGTTTGACTGATTCGCCAGTTGCGGCCCTTTCTTGATCGGGATTCCCCTGTGCACAGTCACTCATGCCCTCGTAACCTCTCGCCTTGACTACTGCAATGCTCTCTACATGGGGCTCCCCTTGAAGGGCACCCGGAGGCTCCAGCTGGTCCAGAACGCAGCAGCGCGGGTAGTGACGGGAGCAGCATGGCGCTCCCATGTAACACTGCTCCTGCGCGAGCTGCACTGGCTCCTGGTGGTCTTCCGGGTGCGCTTCAAGATGTTGGTTATCACCTTTAAAGCGCTCCATGGCTTAGGGCCTCGTTATTTACGGGACCGCCTGCTATCACCAATAGCCTCCCACCGTCCAGTACGCTCCCATAGAGGGGCTACGTCTGGTGTCCACAAATGGATAGGGATGTCACTGAGTGGGTCGGAAAGTGCAGCCCTTGCCAGGAGTCCTGCCCCGATCCTCCCATAGCACCCGTCAGGGAATGGGAGAAACCAAAAGGGCCATGGGGGAGGATCCACATTTATTTTGCCGGGCCGTTCCACGGGCAAACATTTTTAATTGTGGTAGACGCTTTCTCTAAATGGTTAGAAATCATCCTGATGCCCTCGACCACAGCCGAAGCAGTCATTAAGACTCTTCGGAGACTTTTTGCAACTCATGGATTGCCGGATACTCTCGTATCCGACAATGGGCCCCAATTCACCACGACTCAATTTGAGGGCTATCTGGCCGAATTGGGCATTCATCATGCCCTATCAGCTCCGTTCCATCCGGCTTCGAATGGCCTTGCGGAACGTTTTGTGAGAACGGCCAAAGAAGCGTTGTCCAGGCTAGATGCAGGAGATGGGCAGACTAGAATAGATCAATTTCTGGCAATCCAACATGCCACACCGTGCACTGCCACGGGGCGCAGTCCTGCCGAATTACTAATGGGCAGAAAGTTGAGGTGTGTATTAGACAGATTGCACCCAAATTATACACATGAGAATTATAAGGGAGAAGTAGCGGGGCTGAGACAGTTCCAAATCGGAATACCAGTCTTCGCCAGGAACTATGCCAGTGGACCATTGTAGATGGCAGGAACCATCGTAGGAATTACCGGCCCAAAATCTTACACAGTAGATGTCGGCCACGACAAACTCTGGAAACGCCACATAGACCAATTACGCAAACGTATAGATAGCGAGGTCTATGATAGCCCGAAAATAACAGAGCCTAACTACAACGATTTTCCCCAAACAGCTAGCTCAAGCCCGAGTTCGAGGGAATACTTAGCTGACAAGCCATGGCTCCAGCGCCGCCCCGACGAGTCGACACTCCCAGCCAGGGAAAACCATGCCTCCGAGGAAATCCAGGAGGTTCCATTGGCAGAGCCAGGAGAGACAAAGAGTCCCTCTGACTGGCTCGACACCTCACCCAATACTGAACTGCGCAGGTCGACCCAAGCGAGAACACGCCCTGGTCACCTGCAAGACTTTGTTTGTAATTATGTAAATAGTTGAATGAATAGTGCCTTCTGGGAATGGAGGGGTGTTATGTATTGATACATTTAAGCGGGAGTTTCAAATATTTAAGTGTTGCTGATTGGCTAACAGTCTCTCCTGGAGTGTATATAAGGAGGGCTGCTGCCAGAGAGTTTTTGCTGAAGTCTCACTCTATATTAAAGAGCTGTTGTCACTTGCTTGCTTGTGCCTCTCGTTATTCCCGCGCTACAACACTATCATTCCTAATCCTTCTTTTCATTAAACTAGTGTGAGGGGAAACTAATCATAATGTAGGCTTCTTTACAGATGCCTATTGACTTGACATTCCTTTGGCAAGGTTTATTGTGTTCAATATTAATCTGTATAATCTGTTTAAAATCATGGTATTCAGTACTAATGTATCTATAAAAAAGTTGTAACCTGCAAGCATGCTGATGTTGTAGGAAATTCACGAGACCAGACTAAGCTCTTCAATGCAGGAAAGGTTTATTATGCATAAGGTTCAAACAGCAGTTAACACAGCAAATTGTCTGAACCCCGAAGGGTGTACAGAGGTGTTGCTTTTATACTTTTAGACTACGTATACATTTGTCGAGGTTGCATTAAGACATATTTGGTCTTAGAGGAAACGAAAGTTGTCTAGTCCAGACATTTAGTAATAGATAACAAGAAAAGAGGAAATAACATGAATATATTGGGGTATAATTATACATAGCACTCGTTATATATGACATTTGGGGTTAAATGCAGAAGTCAGCAACAGGATGCATCTGTCTGGGTCAGTCTGCTCTTTTCAGATAAAAATACTCCCTGTCATCTCAGCAACTCCTTACTGGCATAAAGAAAATATTTAACCTTGACCAAAGTTTCAGGCCTATTTATTGAGGCTTTGGGTTTTGACCAAAGAATATTTAAGTACCTGAAATTTAACCTCTTCACTGAAATAGTATGTCTCAATACTGTTGGTAGCTGATCGAGGGAAAAGAGGGAACTATCAGGCTGTAATTTAAATTTTATATTTGTGGGTTTTATGCTGGCTGTACACCGCCCTGAGTCCCTTTGGGAGAAGGGCGGTATATAAATTAATTAATTAAATAAATAAATAAATAAATAATGCATGTCAAAATAACAATATTGTGACATTGTGGTTAGAGGAAGAGAAAACTGCCTCAGTTGCTGTGACAACGTGGCAGAATTTTGGGAGTCTTGTGCTTTGTGGTATATAATGGCATGTTGGACAGTGAGTAACTTTTGACTGGTTGCCTATTGACCCTCATTGCAATGTGGTTATTGTGTAAGTACTTGCTGCTTGTTATAATTTTAAATTTCATAAACCTCTGGATTCTAAGTGAGATGTCTTATGATGTACTGTCTGTTCAATTCCTTACAAGTGCAGCTATGCTCATAATCAGGTTTTTCCCCCTGACACCAGTCATACCCAATTCCAACAACTGTTCTTTATATGTTTTAGCCTCCACTCCCCTAATCCTCTTTGTTGCTCTTCTCTGGACTCTTGATCATCACAATCCTGACCCACATAACATCCACTCTCCCTTCCTATCAGATCATCCGAGGAGAAAGGAAAACTATTTTTGCAGGTGGGATTTGCCCTGCCTGTAGCATTGTTTCTCAACCTTAGCAGTTTTAAAATACATGGGCCTCAACTCCCAGAATTCCCCAGCCAGCCATCCTATGCTGGCTGGAGAATTCTGGGAGCGGAAGTCCACATATCTTAAAAGTCGCCAAGGTCGAGACAGGCTGGCCTATAGGAAAAGGGTGATGATACCTGTTTAAATGCACCCAAGACTTTAAAAACACCGTTCAATTAAACAATGAAAAGGAATTCACGAATGAAATTAAGTCAGGAATGAAATTAACTCGGGCAAAGTCAATCCTGAGGATTAAAGGGCATCAGCAGGAGCCTTTACCTGATGCTCTCTCCTGAGGTGCCTCGTCCTGAGCAACTCCCCGACACAGCAGCTCCTGGGAGGGATCGCCCCCTTTCCCTCCGGCCGGGTTAGCAGCCATTAAACCCCAAACCTTCTGGATCTGGATCTGCAACAGCCCCCGAGGGAAGGAAAAAAAGGAAGTTACGGGAAACGATCGGGAAGGGCCGGCAGACCAATCTCCCCAAGGAGAAAGTGGGGGCTGCAGGAGCGATCTTAGCAGCGCCCCAAGAAGCTGCCTTGAAGGGTCTCCTGTCCGAGCATTTCCCCAGGTGGGAAGAAGGAAGGAAGGGAGGAAGGAAGGAGCTTCTCACCTGGCGCTCCATAGGAAAGAGGCGGCTCTCTTCCTCGCCCGGACTCCGCTTCCCAAAAAGATGCGCGCAGGAACGGATCCGCGATCCGTTTTCCACGCAGCCACGCTCCCTTCCTTCCCGGCCACGCTCGTGGATCCCCCTTCTCGGAACGGCCCCAGCCAGGACTTTGCAGAGCCCAAGCAGGAAGCTCTTATAGCTCCTCCCCTCCCCGTCCAGCTCCTCCCATTCTCTAAAGGAGGGGAGGGCGTCGCCCACTCGGGGGTCCCCCTGCCTGCGCCCTGCCTTTTGCAACGGGGGAAGCGGTCCCGCGTGGGATGCTCAGCTGGGCAGGGAGTCCAGGGCTGCTTCTCCCGAGGCAATCAGGGAAACGGGACAGAGGGAGGGGACGAAGCCCAGGGAAGGGGGGGGACGGAAGGGAAAGCGATGCTGAGCAGCAGTTAGAAGGGACTCGTCCTTTAACAGAATAACAGAGTTGGGGGGGAACTTGGAGGTCTTCTAGTCCAACCCCGAGGCAGTCCGAGAAACAGGGGAGAGAGGGAGGGGAGGAAACCCAGGGACGGGAGCAGGGAAGGGAATTTTGATCCCATAATCATGTGGTTCACCCGGCAATGGTCCTGTGAAAAACGTTCAGAAGTGGCTTTTGTCAGTAGCGTTGTAACTTCAAACGGTCACTAAATGAACTGTTATAAGTGGAGGACTACCTGTTGAAAATGCAGAGATTCCTATCGCCTGCAGCTCCTAGATCCCTATATCAGTTGAAGGAGCAGGAAAGTTGAAAGAAGAGAGGGAATTGGAGACCAGAAGTTTTGGAAAGAGAACCAATAAGGAAGAAAAAAAGGGCTTTTGCAACCCTCAACTAAGTTTTATTTTCTTTTTTCTTTTTAACTTCCTCTTTTTCCACTTCAGGTGTCGAGGGAGATACAACATTCTGGTTTTGGCACTTCTAGAAGCCTCAAAGGTTATTTGATGCTGTTGTAGTGTCTCTTTGAAGTTGTCTCTCCATCTTCCTCTGGGTCGGCTTCATGTTTTTTGGCCTTCAATCAAGCCTGGGATTCAAATAGCCCACAAAGTTAGCAGTGACATCTTATAGCAGAGGTCTTCAAACTTGACAGCTTTAAGACTTGTGGACTTCAACTCCCAGAATTCTTCAGCCAGCTATGCTATGCTGCCAAGTTTGGGGACCCCTGCCTTACAACAACCAATAGAATACATGCTCTTGCCACAGGAACAGGAAGCTCAAGGGCAAGGCCCAAGAGAGGGCCTCTCCACTCCATGTGTTCAGTGGCCCAGAACCTCAAACCCATGTGGTCCTGTTCATCAATAAACCATCTTTCCAATCAGCCTCGTTTCCAGAGTTATTTTAGCCTGATTCCCCTTATCTTAATGGCTCTACTTAAGTGTTTCTGTTGTCAGCTCTGTTACTTCTGTAACAGCCCTTAGCAGGGCTGCTCTGAGTTTTCCTTTCAGCTGGTGCTTCTTGGTTTTCTTAAAGGGGGAAGGGCTGGCTTGAGTCTCTTGGCACTGTTTTCTGAGGTTTCTGGCACTGTCCTTTTGGGATGTATTGACTACAAAAGAAAAAAAGAAAATATAGAAAGGAAGGAAGGAAGGAAGGAAGGAAGAAAGGAAGGAAGGAAAAGAAATAAGAGGGGGGAAAAAGAAAAGAAAGTCCAGGCAAAGGTCCAGAGGTAAAAAGTTGATTATTGGCATGTTAAAAAAGACATGCAGAGGTGGAGAGCTTAGCTAATTAAGTGCACCCTCCCATGCTTATTATGGGATGTTAACCTAAACTGTGCACATCTTCAATAAAGCAGGAAGAAGTAATGAAAGATCAGGAAATTCCAATGTGGATCTGTGGGTTTATGATATAAAAACAGCTCACTGGGTATCAGATGACTTGTTTGATTTGGATCGAGTCCCAAACATACCTCTATTTACTGGCCCATAGGGCCACCCTAGAAACAGCCAAGGACTGGCCGGCGGTGCCCCTGCCAGTGAAAATTGATTTTTGGCTGCAATGACCTCCTGCAACCCTTTGCCAACGAAAACAGAGCTCAGACGGGTCACACTTTCACTGGCAGAGTGCTCGGGCTGCCACAGGCACCCGAGACAAGTGACGTTGCGCTGATCATGCCCATCCTGGCCACACCCAGCCCGAGGTAAACACAATCCTGAATGAAATTGACTTTGATACCCCTGTCTTAGAGGGTAGGGGAGGCCTCCTGGGAGCAACTGTTCCTGCACTAGGCCTCCCTCGATTTCTCCCATCCCCAAGTCACCCCATGCTCTATCTAACGACCCATGCATTTGGTTAACGAATGCATTGGGGAAAGCAGGGACAGGGAGATCGTTAGTTAGGTGCTTCATTTAATGTACTCCCCAACTTCCAACATGAATGGGCAGGCTCCATTAATGTTGTAAGTTGGGGACTACCTGTACAGGGGGTTACCAAGGCAGTCTATAAACCCCCATGTTCGTTCTCTAACCTCCCTGCTAGTCCCGCTCCCCCCAACTGACAGGGTAATACATCCATCAACCATACACAGTTGCCAATCAAACAGCAACATGAACCCTAGTGACACAGTGGTTAGAATGCAGTATTGCAAGCTAACTCTGCCAATTGTCAGCAGCTCACTCCTGACTGGCTCAAGGTCAATTCAGCTTCCATCCTTCCATGGTGGGTAAAATGAGGAGCCAGATTGTTGGGGGGAATAAGCTGACTCTGTAAACCGCTTAGAGAGGACTGTAAAGCACTGTGAAGCGGTATATACAGTCAGGTCCAGAAATATTGGGACATCGACACAATTCTAACATCTTTGGCTCTATACACCATCACAATGGAGTTGGAATGAAACAAACACAATGTGCGTTAACTGCAGACTGTCAGCTTTAATTTGAGGGTATGTACATCCAACTCAGGTGAACGGTGTAGGACTTACAGCAGTTTTTTATATATGCCTCCCACTTGTTAAGGGACCAAAAGTAATGGGACAGAATAATAATCATAAATCAAACTTTCCCTTCTTAATACTTGGTTGCAAATCCTTTGCAGTCAATCACAGCCTGAAGTCTGGAACGCATAGACATCACCAGACGCTGGGTTTCATCCCTGGTGATGCTCTGCCAGGCCTCTACTGCAACTGTCTTCAGTTCCTGCTTGTTCTTGGGGCATTTTCCCTTCAGTTTTGTCTTCAGCAAGTGAAATGCATGCTCAATGGGATTCAGGTCAGGTGATTGACTTGGCCATTGCATAACATTCCACTTCTGTCCCTTCAAAAACTCTTTGGTTGCTTTTGCAGTATGCTTTGGGTCATTGTCCATCTGCACTGTGAAGCGCTGTCCAATGAATTCTGCAACATTTGGCTGAATGTGAGCAGATAATATTGCCCGAAACACTTCAGAATTCATCCTGCTGCTTTTGTCAGCAGTCACATCATCAATAAATACAAGAGAACCAGTTCCATTGGCAGCCATACATGCCCACGCCATGACACTACCACCACCATGCTTCACTGATGAGGTGGTATGCTTAGGATCATGAGCAATTCCTTTCCTTCTCCATACTCTTCTCTTCCCATTACTCTGGTACAAGTTGATCTTAGTCTCATCTGTCCATAGGATCTTGTTCCAGAACTGTGAAGGCTTTGTTAGATGTTGTTTGGCAAACTCTAATCTGGCCTTCCTGTTTTTGAGGCTCACCAATGGTTTACATCTTGTGGTGAACCCTCTGTATTCACTCTGGTGAAGTCTTCTCTTGATTGTTGACTTTGACACACTTACACCTACCTCCTGGAGAGTGTTCTTGATCTGGCCAACTGTTGTGAAGGGTGTTTTCTTCACCAGGGAAAGAATTCTTCGGTCATCCACCACACTTGTTTTCCAAGGTCTCCCAGGTCTTTTGGTGTTGCTGAGCTCACCGGTGCATTCCTTCTTTTTGAGAATGTTTCAAACAGTTGTTTTGGCCACGCCTAATGTTCTTGCTATCTCTCTGATGGGTTTGTTTTGTTTCTTCAGCCTAATGATGGCTTGCTTCACTGATAGTGACAGCTCTTTGGATCTCATCTTGAGAGTGGACAGCAACAGATTCCAAATGCAAATAGCACACTTGAAATGAACTCTGGGCCTTTTATCTGCACATTGTAATTGGGGTAATGAGGGAATATCACACACCTGGCCATGGAACAGCTGAGAAGCCAATTGTCCCATTACTTTTGGTCCCTTAATAAGTGGGAGGCACATATACAAACTGCTGTTAAGTCCTACACTGTTCACCTGAGTTGGATGTACATACCCTCAAATTAAAGCTGACAGTCTGCAGTTAACGCACATTGTGTTTGTTTCATTCCAACTCCATTGTGGTGGTGTATAGAGCCAAAGATGCTAGAATTGTATCGATGTCCCAATATTTCTGGACCTGACTGTAAGTCTTAAGTACTAGAGCTATAGCTAACATTGAGTAGGCAGGGGAACAGGAAGGAAGACCAAACTGGGACCGGGTGCTCTGCAGACACAATCCCCATTGCAAAAAAAGGGAATAAACAAATGATCCTTCTCTGACAGATTAGATTATGAAAGAAAATTTGAAGTTGTCCAGTTGATCTGTGTCTCACAACCACGATGGAGTTTTCTCCATTACCTGAGAATGGCAAAGAAGAAAACTAAATAAAAGAGAACTGGTAGTGCTGTCCAACCTCAATATTTCTTTAATAAACAGGAGATAGTATACATTTTTGCAACCAAATTATAAACAGGAAATCCAATATATAAACAAATGCAAATTAAGTACTCTTACTGGAGAGAGATCAAGCTACCAGAAGGAACCAATGAAAGAGAAAGAATTGAGAATTGGAAGCCTCCTGTTTGAGCAGGAGGTTGGATTAGAAGACTTCAAGGTCCTTTCCAACTTGGTTACTGTGTAAGTGAAGTTGGAATTAAGAAAATCAGACCTGGTATGTAGAAATATGCAAATTCAGTATTCATACGCAAGGAAAGACTAAAGTGCCAAGTCCTACTAACTGTTCCTCCATCTACTGCTTATAATGATCAGATTTATAGGTACTTGTCTCTAATAACCTATAGCTATTTCAAGATTTTTGATCCTGTCTGCCATCTTATTCCCTACATCTACTTCCTCTGATGATCAACAGGTTTATAGATATTTGTCAATGATATAGGATAGGATAGGATAGGATAGGATAGGATAGGATAGGATAGGACAGGACAGGATAGGATAGGACAGGACTAGGCAACACACGGCTCTGGAGCCGCATGTGGCTTTTGCATCCTTCTGCTGCAGCTGTTGCTGGTTGGCACCACAATTTTGAGGAGCTTCCGGTTAGGGAGGGAAAAGCACGGGATGCCAGGAGGAGACTCTATGGCAAGGGGCAGATTTTCCGGTTTGCTCCACAATTGATACGGCTTTTGGTTAGGACGGGTAGAGGAAAACTGACGCCGCGCTAGAAAGAGACTCTATGGTGGGAGAACCAGACTTCCAGTTGGCTCCAGAATTGAATGGGGGGCTTCCGGTTAGGACCTTTAAGGTTTAAAGGTTGCCAACCCCGGGATAGGATAATGGGAATGAGAGTAGAGTAGGAGTGGAACAGAACAGAAGAGAAGTCTCTGGTGCATAAACTCACACTGTACATATAAAAAGCAATGAATGGGTCATAGATCACAAATCATAGTTACAATCATTAATCCAGTCACACTTGGGCAATAAAGAATTCTATTCTATTCTATTCTATTTCTATTTCTATTTCTATTTCTATTTCTATTTCTATTCTATTGTTACAAATAATTGATAAATCATAAGGAACCAAAAGGAGAAGATAATTGGAAAGATGAGAAAAATGAGAAAATATGAAAAATAAGAGAGTTCTGTGGGAATGAAGTGTGATGGCATGGGGGAGGAGGAAGAAAACTATCTTTCTGTCTGGTTGTTTTGGTATGCAATGCCCTATAGCAGAGTCCTGAGGGGGGGGAAGATGAAATCGATTCTGTGCAGGATGTGAGGGGTCTATAGGTATTTTCTCAGCCCTCTTTCTGGTTCATGCAGTGTATCCTCAGTAGAAGGCTGGTTGTGATTGTTTTATCTTGCAGTCCTAACTATCCGTTAGGTACAACTATCCGTCTGTACCTATCCTGTTTGGTTGCTGTGTCAAACCAGACAATTATTGAGGTACAAATGAAAGACTCAATTAGTTGTAACTCTTCCAAGAGCCTTCAGTTGATCTCATCCACCATTTTATCATCTTAAATCTTATAAAATGAAATGAAACAATATATGTATCGTCCATCCATCCAATTTCTTAACCGCCCATCTCCCTGATAGAGGGATACAGGGCGATAATTCCTCGTTTTCCTTCCTTCAGCCATACCAATTTATTTTAGCCCATGATCCACTTCCATGACATTTCCTTGTGTAAAAAAAAAAAACGAATTCCGCTTATGTCCTATCACACTTGGCCAATAAAGAATTCTAACATTTCTGCATGAGGCTCCTAACCTCAGAACTGGGGTCTCTGAAGTTCTGTCTACAGTCCGTGCACTCATATGGTTTCTCCCGTGTGGATTCTTCTGTGGGAAGTCACAGAACAACTCTTTCTAAATCTCTTTCCACATTCTGCACAGTTGTACGGTTTCTCCCCTGTGTGGATCCTTTTATGAGAACTAAGGGAACTGCTTACAGTGAAGCTCTTTCCACATTCCGTACATTTATAAGGCTTCTCCCCCGTGTGGGTCCTTTTATGGGATGTCAGGGAACTGCTTATGCTAAAACTCTTCCCACACTCCAGACACTGATACGGCTTCTCTCCAGTGTGGATCCTTTTATGGGAAGTAAGGTAACCTGCATCACTGAAGCTCTTTCCGCACTCCAGGCACTGATACGGTTTCTCCCCTGTGTGGATCCTCTTATGGGAAATAAGGCGGCTTTTCCGACAGAAGCCCTTCCCACACTCCGTACATTGATAGGGTTTCTCCCTGCTGTGGATTCTCATGTGAGAAGTGAGGTAAGTTCTCTTAATGAAACTCTTTCCACACTCCAAGCATGGATGTGGTTTTTCTCCACGGTGGATCCTTTCATGGGTCATAAGGTGACTTTTCTGATGGAAGCTCTTCCCACAATCCATGCATTGATATGGATTCTCCCAGACCTGACTCTTTTGATGGTTAATGAGATGGCTACTCTGGCTGAAGCTCTCTCCACATTCCACATAGTTATATAATTTCTCCCCAAGCAATATATTTTGATTTAAAGTAAGAGGAAATGTCCGTTCCCTATTTTCATGTTGTGCCTCAACAGGCGGCCTTCTGCAATATCCACACAATCCTGATTCCTCCTTCAATATTTTTCCACAGCCTGGACACATTCCGGTTCCTTGGTGATTTTTTTCAGCCTGGAGCGCATTGTTATCTGCACAATGAAAAGCGAGGGCTTTCTCTGGCTCTCCGTTTAGCTGGTTTTCCTCAGGACTTTGGACTCCCCACTGACATCGGAACATCCTTTCTCCAATTTCATTGTTGACTGTTGGCAAGTGCTCTATCATCTCCGTCTTAGAGTCCTCGTTCTCCCATCTTTCGCCTGATTGCAACAAAAAGAAGAAACAGAGGTGAGTTTCACAAGATGTTCAAAGCCCAAGCTAAGGCACCCTCGGGGATCATGCTCTATTGCCACATCCCTGTATTTGAACATTACAGGTAGTTTTCAACTTATGAGCCCTGGTGGCGAAGTGGTTAGAATGCAGTATTGCAGGCTAATTCTGCTGACTGCCAGTAGTTCAATTCTTACCGGCTCAAGGTTGACTGAGCCTTCCATCCTTCTAAGGTCGGTAAAATGAGGAGCCAGATTGTTGGGGGTAAGATGCTGACTCTGTAAACTGCTTAGAGAGAGCTGTAAAGCAGTGTGAAGTGGTATACAAGTCTAAGTGCTCTCTCTAACACTACAACTGAGCCCAAAATTTCTAAGGGTGATAATTGTTTTGTCCCCTTATACGAGTTTCCTTGTCATGGTTGTTAAGTGAATTACTGCAATTGTTAAGTTAGTAACATGGTTCTGAAGTGAATCTGGCTTCTCCACTGACTTTGCTTGTCAGAAAGTCGCAGGTGATCACATGACCCCTGAACACTGCAACAATTGTAAATACATGTCAGTTGCCAAAGCGTCTGAATGTTGACCAAACAACCGTAGGGATACTGCAATGGTTGTAAATGTGAAAAATGGCCATCGGTCACTTTTTTACCTGATGTTATAACTTCAAACAATCACTAAACAAATATTTGTATGACTACCTGTACAGGTTTCATTCCTCCTGGACCCTGGACTATCTTGTTCTCATTCCTCCTGGACCCTATGGGGGTACAGATTACACCCAGGGTATTAATTTTACTATCGGCCCGGTGCCCAGCACGGAACTTGGAACTAATATTTTGACCTTGGGACATCGATATAATGTACAGATCTACCTTGCTTCCCATGATGTTCAGTGTCAACATAAAACTGTTGGGGAAGATTATTTGGGTTTCAGCTTGTTTTTGAGGAGGTTGCTGAAAGTAAGTCTTCAGTTTGGGAGTCTACAGCAAAGAGGCCTTGGGGCAAATGGGAGGGAGACATGACAGAGAATAACAGAATTGGAAGGGACCTTGGAGGTCTTTTGTCCAAACCGCTGCTCAAGTGGAGACTCGATACCATTTCAAACAAATGGTTGTCCAATCACTTTAAAACTTCCAGTGATGGAGCACCCATAACCTCTGGAGGCAAGTTGTTCCACTGGTTAATAGTTCTGTCAGATAACGTCTCCTTATTTCTTAGTTGGTTCTCTCCTTGGTTAGCTTCCACCCATTGCTTCTTGTCCTGCCTTCAGGTGATTTGGAGAACAGCTTGACCCCGTTCTTTGTGGCAACCCCTGAGATATCGGAACACTGCTATCATGTCACATACCTAATTTAGCCTCCAGTCCCCTAACCAACTTTATTGCTCTTCTCTGCACTTTAGAGCAGGGAAGCCAAATTGCCTCATCATGTTGATGTCACATGACGTATCACGTTTTCTTCCCTTTGCGGAGCTGGGATGGACGTGGCCTGTGCGTGACGCATCCAACCCTTGGGCTGCCAGTTTGACACCCCTGCTCTAGAGTCTCAACATCTTTTTTATATCATGGTGACAAACCTGGATGCAATATTCGAAGTGTGGTCTTATCAAGGCAGTATGAAGTGGTACTAACACTTCACGTAATTCGAGCCTATTAGGATTTCCAAACTCCAGAAAAATGAAAGGCACTCCCTTAAGGCTACCACCCAAAAAAGAACAGCATGAAGATTTTTAGCCCTGCCTGCCTGATCGGGTGGGAGAATCAATACATTCTCCTTCATTGTACGAAAGGAACAGACTAACATTTTCTGAGAAACAGGTCAGCTGGTTACGTCTGACCAGAAAAGTAGAAAGAGAATCTTACTGTCAAGCCGGATCTCCAGTATCGGTTTTCCCTTTGATGCTTGCTAGCTAAAAGCTGCCATAGTAACAGGGAGGGGGGGGCATGGCCTTGGGGTTTGGGAGTGAGCTGGTGTGAAGAAGGCCCATCTGAATATAAAGGGAGGTTTGCTCGCCGGAATTACTGCGCTGCTGAATGGAGTTGTTTACATCCAGTCAAGGCCAACTGTCCCGGGGACGATGTACTCCACATGACACTATGTAGGATGGGGATTGAACAGTCAGCCTGGATCCCTGGTGGGGGAAGGATTTGTAGTACCTCTTCTCTACTTCAGTGGATTCGGCGGTTTTCCTTCTTGGGTTTTGAACAGAGGCAGGCTTGACACTTACCTATGCAGGTCACATTCCTTGCATTTTCCAACGTGATTTCCCTGTACAGCAATTTCTGATCAGGATTCAGCAGGGCCCACTCCTCTTCAGAAAAAAATATGGCTATATCTTCAAATGACATATGATTCTGAAATTGAAAAAAAAATCCCTCTTAATGTACAGTTCCAAGTTGTACTAGAGGTCGTAAATTGAGGATTACCTGTACCACCTGAAAATCGCCCAAGATCACTCTGAGAGTGAGATGGGTGGTATCTAAGCTTAATAAATAAATACAAATAAATCAAATTTATCAAGCTTAGATACCATACCCATCCCAAATCTCAGAGTGACTCTGGGCAATTTTGACAGAGTTCAGATAGTCCTCAATTTATGACAATTGACTCCAAAATTTCTGTTGTTAAAAGAGACAGTTGTTAAGTCAGTTTTGGCCCCATTTTACGACCTTGTTTGCTGCAGTTGTTAATAACATGGTTAAGTGAACCTGGCTTCCCCCTTGACTTTGCTGGTCAGAATGTCGCAAAAAGGGATCACATGATCCCAGGACATTGCAACCGTCATAAACATGAGCCAATTGCCAAGCGTCCGAATTTTCATCACATGACCATGGAGATGCTGCAATGGTCATAAGTGTGGAAAATGGTCCTAAGTCATTTTTTCCAGTACTGTTGTTACTCATTGTCATTTCCTGACAGTTAGAACAATTAATCAGTGGAACAAACTACCTCCAGAAGTTGAGAATGATCTAAGTGGACGTTTTTAAGAAGAGACTGGACAACCATCTCTCTCTGGGCACAATGAGAATATATCTGCTAAATAGAACTCCGCATTGGCAACAGGAAGGGTGTCCGGCTAGTAAACACTCAGCTCCATTCAGTCGCCCAGACTCCACCCTGCAAGGGATTATGGGGTTTCCTGCCTGAACAGGTGTTTGAGCTAGAAGACCTCCAAGGTCCTTTCTAACTCTTCTGTTCTGTTCTGTTCTATTCTATTCTAATATTCTATTCTATTCTTCTATTTTTTTTCTTTCTATTCTATTCTATTCTATTCTATTCTATTCTATTCTATTCTATTTATTCTATTCTATTCTATTCTATTCTATTCTATTCTATTCTATTCTATTCTATTCTATTCTATTCTATTCATTCCATTCCATTCTCATTCCATTCTATTGCAACCCTCCACTGAAGCAGGAGACATTTCAGAGAAATGGTTGTCCGGTCTCTTCTTAAAAGCCTCCAGCAATGGAGCAGCCACAGCTTCTAAAGAAAAGCTGTTCCACTGGTTAATTGTTCTCATTGTCAGGAAATTTCTTAGTTCTAGATTACTTCTCTCCTTGATTAGTTTCCATCCATTGCTTCTTATCCTGCCTTCAGGGGCTTTGGAGAATAGTTTGACTCCCTCTTCATTATGGCAGCCCCTGAAATATTGTAACACGTTTCATTAAACTAGAGATACCCAATTCTTGCAACCATTCTTCATATGTTTTAGTCTCCAGTCCCCTATTCAATTTCACTGCTTTTCTCTGCACTCTTTGCAGAGTCTCAGTACCTTTTTAAAATTGCAGTGATCAAAACTGGATGCAATATTCTGAGTGTAGGTCTTACCAAGGCATTATAAAGTGGTACTAGCACTTTAGGCGAGCTTCAGCCCTCCTACCTGAGTTGGAATGACGACAGCAGTTTCAGTTCCACCACAAAGCAAAGGCATTTCTGCAGGAAACTTCAGGGTTGCTCCATTCCCTGATAAGACAGAAATGGAGGAAGACATTTTGAAAACATTCCTAATGTATTCTCGAGCAAAATTATACCATACACATAGATAGATAGATAGATAGATAGATAGATAGATAGATAGATAGATAGATGCACACACACACACAAAATAAAAGGAGCATTCTTTCACACAAGTGGGACTGCAAGTAAGCAATATCAATAGCACTTAGACTTATATACCGCTTCATAGTGGTTTACAGCTCTCTCTAACCAGGTTACAGTCAGCATATTACCCCCAATAATCTTCCTCAACAGTTTTTATGTTGACAATGAGCATCATCGGAAGCAAATATTAATTCCAAGTTCCATATTGGGGAGTGGGCTGATAGGGAACCCCAGATTGATAGTAAGAAATAATGACGTGGGTGTAATCTATACCCCCATAGGATCCAGGAGGAATGAGAACAAGGGAAACCTATACTGTTTAGTGATTGTTTGAAGTTGCAACGGCAGGTAAACAAGTGACTGAGGACTATTTTTCACACTTACTACCGTGGCAATATCCCCGTGGTCATGTGACCAAAATTCGGATGCTTGGCAACTGGCATGTATTTATGACATTCACAGTGTCCTGGGGTCATGTGATCACCTGAGACTTTCCAACAAGCAAAGTCAATGGAGAATCCAGATTCACTTAACCATGTTTCTAATTTAAGAACTGCAGTAATTCACTTCACAACTGTCTCAAAATTGCTTTTTCAAAAGGCAGTTGCAACTTTGGGACGACCATGACCTGGATGACTGTGAATCTCCATAGACACTTAACAACTGTGGCAAGGAAAGTCATAAAATGGGGCAAAACTCACTTAACAACTGTCTTGCTTAGAAATGTTGGGCTCAGTTGTGGTGTTAGCAATAGGACTACCAACAGCACTTAAGACTTACAGTATATACTGCTTCATATTGCTTTTATAGCCCTCTCTAATGGTTTAGAGCAGTGGTCACCAAGGTCCGTGAGAAAATTTTGGTGGTCCAGGGTGCAGGAGCTGCTCCAGGATGAGCAATGGCCAGTCCTGTGACTGGAGCTCTGGAATATGGGACTGGCCAGGCAGCTCATGGTAGGGCTGTAAATCTCCGCTGTAGACGGAGGTTTGTGCAATTTGCAACTATGCAGCGCAGCCCTCACCGGCCGGAATGAGCTAATGGTGCAGGGGGGGGGGGTGGCGGTGCAGACGGACCAAAGCAACGGGTGGCGGCAACCCCGGGCTGTTTCTTCCCCCTGCTGTAGCTTCCTCTCGGCTGAACCCACCAGTGGCTGTCCCCGCCCCTCGCCCTCCCTTTCCAGTCACTCCTTGGGAGTGAGGGGCGATGGAGATTCACTCCATATTCCAGAGCGGGAGCAAAGCTTCATTTCTTGCTGGATCTCGCGGCTGTTTCTTCTGGCCCTTGTTGGTGCTCCGCACACCTCGGTCTCTCGGAGAGATGCTTGACTTCCTCTCAGCCCCAAGACACATAAGATGGCCCATGAGATGGGAGAGGGAAAGAGAATCAGAGAGAGAATCAGAACAAGAGAGTGAGAATGAGAGAGAGAGAGAGAGGGAGAGAAAATGAGAGAGAATGAAAGAGAGAGAATGAGAAAGAGGGGGAGAGAGAGAATGAAAGAGAGAGAGAGAGAGAATGAGAAAGAGGGAGAGAGGGGGGACAGAGAGAGAGAATGAGAGGGGGGAGAGAAAGAGAGAGAGAAAGAGAGAGCGGGAGTGAGAAAGAGAATGAAAGAAAGAGAGAATGAGAGGGGGAGAGAAAAAGAGAGAAAGAGAGAGAGACAGAATCAGAGAATGAGAGAGAGACAGAATGAAAGAGAATCAGAGAATCAGAGAGAATCAGAATGAGACACACAGAGACAGAGAATTAAAGAGAAGACAGAGTGAAAAAGAGAGAATGAGAGACAAAGAGACAGAATGAGAGAATGAAAGTGAGAAAGAATGAAAGAGAATGAGACAGAATGAGAGAAAGACAGAATGAGAGAATGAGAGAATCAGAGAATGAGAGACAGAATGAGACAGAATGAAAGAGAGAAAGAGAGAGAGAGAATGAGAGAGAGAGACAGAGAATGAAAGAGAAAGAGAGAAAGAGACAGAATGAAAGAGAGAGAAAAAGGAAGAGGGAATCAGAGAAGAGGGAAGAGAGAGAGGGAGAGAGAGGGGAAGAGAGGAAGAAAAAACGAGAGGAGAGAGAGAGGAGGGAGAGTGCCTGAAAGACCCCATCCTGTCACTGGGAGTCCAGGCGCTTCAGAAAGCGGCGCACTGGATTCGTATTAGTGGTCCGTGGGATTTAAAATTATGAACTTGGTGGTCCGTGAGGTCCAAAAGATTGGGGACCCCTGGTTTAGAGAGTTAGCACTTTGCCCCCAACAACCTGGGAAGGGTGACAGTCAGCAGAGTTAGCCTGCAATATTGCACTCTAACCACTGCACCACCATCGCGATAAGGCCTCTCTGATTAACTGTGTAGGTGGCAAGGAGTGAATTAAAGAGGCCTAAATGGTTAGGCTTTGAAGTGGCTCTCTCGTCATGAGAGACAAGGGCTTCTGTCAATCCCTGAAGGCCCAGTGAACTATGAGGTTCCTTAAATCTGGATTTAAGAATCTACTGAAATAAAGAGAGATTTTAAGATTGTATCTTGGGTTCATTTTTTCCCAGGATTTCAAAGAATTGGGCAGCTGCTGAACAATACAATTTCCATTAGACGGGACTTTTGCCTTATATTTGGAGCTGTGGTGGCGTGGTGGTTAAAATTTATTGCAGGCTAACTCTGCCCACAGACAGGAGTTCGATCCTCACCGGCTTAAGGTTGTCTCAGCCTTCCATCCTTCCGAGGTCAGTAAAATGAGGACCAGATTCTTGGGAGCAATAGGCTGACGCTGTAAACTGCTTAGAGAAGGCAGTAAAGCACTATGAAGTGGTATATAAGTCTAAGTGCTATTGCTAGTGCTATTTGGGAGTTTGGTAGGAGTTGATTGGCTGGATCAGGGTGCTCAATGCCTCATTGGAAGAGATGATGTTACATGCCTTGAAAGAGGCATCTCTGTCTGGGAATGCTAACAGTTCAAAGGGGCCTTTGTTGGTTAAATATTTGCTTATTGGGACCCTGGAGAAACACTGGACTAAGCTTCCAAGCTGAACCAATGTGCTCAATGAATGAATAACCTTCTGTAATATGTTTCTTTTCAACTGCACCCCATTATGTTTCCTTATGGAGTACACCAATATAAAAATGTAACAAATGAAGAAGCATTTATTACCTTCTGATGTGATGTGAGCTGGATCCTCTTGGGAGATCCCTCCAAAGGCCAGTTCCTTTGAGAGAGATGACATGTCTCTGTGTGGTCGGGAGTTTTGAGCATCCACTTCTATGAAGGGATCCTGAACCTGTCAAAAGAAAAAGAGGGAAGATTTTATGGTCTGCGGCAACCAAGTTCACTCTAAAAAGAGAGGGCTTCTCACATACAGGTAGAATAGAATAGAGCAGAATTGGAAGGGACCTTGGAGGTCATCAAGTCCAACCCCCTGCTCACACAAGAAACCCTACATCATTTCAGACAAGTTGTTGTATCATCTCTCCTTAAAAACTTCCAGTGTTGGAGCATTCACAACTTCTGGAGGCAAGTTGTTCCACTGATTAATTGTTTTTACTGTCCTGTGGCAATTCCTGTTGCCCAGGAATTTATTTATCCCAATCCTGTATTGTATGCAGATGCCTCAAGCTCTGTGGTGAGAATTAGAGACCTAATTGCCATTGCCAACAGCCTAGGAAAATTCTACAGGGAACAGCCTTTGAAGTGATTATCTGCATTAGCAGGCACCTCCCGGACAATTTGCCCTCTTTGCTTGAAGCTGTGGACCTATTGTTTCTGTGTATGTGGGTTTTTTTTTAAGAACCAATCCTCCTTACCAGAGGGAGCCCCTTTGTGGAGCACTGTGAAGCCGTTACCATGGCAACTCCACTGTGCTATACAGTAGATGCCATTTTAAGGCACATCAGGCTGTATCTTAACAGAACTTGAATCCAAAATGCACACTATCACTGTCAAAAGTACTCTGATTTGACACTATAAATTTTCTTTTTCATTTTGGAGGCCCAGGCGTTCCAGAGTTATGCTGGAACACACACACACACACAGATACACACATCCCACGAGGGATGTTGGGGTGTTTTACCAGAGAGGAGTTTTTTTTTCCAGAGAGCAAGTGATCTGTGTACCTAGTTTGGCTGAAATTGCTCGAGGCATTCCAGAGTTATGCTGGAACATACACACACAAAGAGAGTCATTTATATATATATAGCTAGATAAGAAAAAGTTATTGTATTTAAAAATTCAGCAGCATTGCTGCTCACGCTGTGTAGTCCTTGACTTACAACTACAATTGGGCCCAAAATATATGTTGCTAAGCGAGACATTTGTCAAGTGAGTTTTGCCCCGTTTTACAACCTTTCTTGCCATGGTTGCGAAGTGAATCACTGCAGGGGTTAACTTAGTCATGCATTTGTTAAGTGAATCTGGCACCCCCATGGACTTTGCTTAGTCAGGTGGTTGCAAAAGGAAATTGTTTGACTCTGGGATGCTGCAGCTGTCAGAAATACGAACCAATTGCCACAGCGTCACAATTTTGATCATTGGGATGCTGCAATGAAGAATGAAAAATGGTCATAAGTCACTTTTTTCAAAGTTGTAACTTTGGATGGTCACTAAGTGAACTGTTGTAAGTCAAGGAGTAGCTGCACAATTATTTTTGCCTCACCTGCATCTCTCCCTGTTTCTTTTCCTCTTCCTGGCTCAGGAGAAAGCCTTCCGCAAGGGCCACTGCCTGGGAGCTGGTCTCTGCTCCACACTCTCGCACCCAGCTCTCCATCTTTGGGGGCAGTACTGCCAGGAACTGCTCCAGGACCACCAGGTCCAACATCTGAGTTTTCGTGTGTTTCTCTGGCTTCAGCCATCGACGATAAAGACGGTGTAAGCGAGTGCAAAGTTCGCGAGGTGCCTCGGCTTCTTTGTAGAACTCCTGGCAAAATTGATGTCCTCCAGCCCATTTGGTGGTTTCTCCTTCCAGGACGTTGTCCTTCTTCGTTCTTCTCCAGAATTTCTCAGTAGAACCAAGCAAGGCAACACGGGATCCATTTCCTTCTGGGTCTCGTGAGCCGGTTTTTGGGGTGTACCGAGACGCTGGTTCACATCCATCTGAAGTCTGTCCTGCGTTTGCAAAAGGACTTTCGGTTGGAGGAGCAGAATGGCAAGAAGAGCCACTGTGAGCCATTTCGGGAGATGTGGGACTTTGATCCTCAAACGATAAGAATCCTCCCACAGAGCAAAATAAATAAATGCTTTCAGTTTTCAAGCTAAGGGAAAGGAACAAAAGGAAAGAAAAGATGAGGAAAAAAAGAGAGCTGCCTTCGTAGACATCGATAGGATGTTCTTGTTCACAAACATTTAACAGAAGACAGAGAAGACACTGCTGTTAAACACACCCACACACACCACCAACACGTGCAATCACTTTTCAAAAAGGAAGTACGTGTAGGACTCAATTGAGGTCAAAATTTATGTTGCTAATTAAGGCAGTTGTTAAGTGAGTATTGGACTGTTTTATGACCTTCCTTGCCACGGCACCCTGGTAACTTTGCAAAGAACACAAAAAAGTCCTAGATTTTCCAAGCTGGAGATACCTCCAATGCTCAGCACTCAGCTCGGATCCAGTGTGGGGACCCCTAAATGCTCTGGCCTTTTATCCAGCAGCCACATCCCCAAAACGGTCTGGATTTTTCTCAGCACCCCCAAAAGGCTGTGGCTTTTTCTCCAGCACCTCCACCCAAAACGGATAGTTTGCACAGGAAAAACCATTGCAAGACACTTCGGGTGGGGATGGGGGTTGTCATCCTTTCTGCAGGACAAGGTCCGCACCAGCCAGCCACGAGCCCTACCAAGGGTGGGAAAGGGGGCCATGGGGTGGGGTGTGTGTGGAGAATAGAGGTGGAGCAGTCCCAGGCTGCCAAGTTGAATGCTTCCTTCCAGGGAGGCCACCGACAAAGCGCTTTGCAAACCCCGCGGGGCGTCTGCAACTAGGGACCTCCTGGAAATAGCAAAGCAAAAGCAACGCTGAGCTGAGCTGAACCAGACGGAGCTCTGCCTGACTTTCCTCCCTTCCCTCCCCCTATCGTTCACATTTGGGGGGTTGGGGGGGAGAGAAAAGCATCCAAATTTAAGGCTGCAAGGGACGCCCCAACCTTGAGAAGGGAAAGATCCGTAGAAGGGGTGAGTTGCCTCGCCTGGATCAGTCGATGAGCTGCAAGGGATCGACTGCCCAGCTCGACTCCTCCCACCCGCCCGGGATTCCAGGCTCCACCCACCTCGGAGTTCTGCCCTCGCCTTAAGAGTTGGAGAGCAAGTTCGCACCTGCGCACTCTCCTGCACACAATGTAAGGGCGAATCCCAGATTCAAGCTGCACCCATCGACCTGGAGAACACGGGCTATGCCTTGCTCGCTGCTCCGCCCCTGCCACTTAGGGTTTGAGCAGGTTCGCGCCTGCGCACTCCTCTGCAGGCAATCTTAAGGGTTAAAGAGAAGGCCTCCCTCGTGATGGGCCCCTGCCTCTCTTGCGAAGGCTCGCTGCTGCTCCTTTCCCGCTCGCCTGGGAAGGGAAGGGTAGCTTACTCTCTGGGCAGCACCTAATGGATCTCGCCTGCCAACTGCGCAAAGCGAGCGACTCTGCCCCGTTTGCGCACCGTCTGCGATCCGTCGAGTTTCTGATCCCGAAATCGGTTCTCGTTCAAATGCAATCGGTTTGCGTTTGCGGTCGGGGGCAAAAGGGATCCCTCGGGGCTGCCAGCGTGGCAGACGGGTCTGTACGTAAAACTCAGGTCTTTCTCCCAGATTATGGTGTATTTTACGCTTTTTCTTTCCTTTGACTGTTTTTCATAGGGTTTTCTTGTGGCTTTCGCCTGCAGGTCCAGCTCCGCTTTTGCAAAGTTGACAAGATTCTAGACCTAGTTTAGACAGGTCGTCCTCGATTTATGACTACCATTGAGGCCCAATTTTTTGCGGCTACCCGAAACAGTTCTTAGCTGAATTTCCTCATCTTACGACCTTTTTTCCATAGTTGTCAAGTGAAACACTGCAACTGTTTTGTTAGTAACACAGTTGTTAAATGAATCTGGCTTCCTGATTGATTTTGCTTGCCAGGTCACAAAAGGGGAAATCACATGAACCCCAGGACACTGCAGCCCTCATAAATGAGTCAGTCGCCAAGCGTCTGAATTTTGATCACGTCTCCATGTGGATGCTGCAATGGTTATGAGTACGAAAAATGGCCATGCCACTTTTTGCAGTGCCATTGTAACTTTGAATGGTCACTAAATGAACTGTTGTAAATCAAGGACAGCCTGCAGTAGTTTCAGCTAAAATACTTCTCTTACTTCCCATGAAAGGGTCCATATAGAGATGAAACCGTATCAATGCATGGATTGTGGGAAGAGGTTCAGACACAGCAGTTATTTTAGTATTCACAAGAAGATTCACTCAAGGAAGAAACCATGTAAATGCACAGATTGTAAAAAGAGCTTTCACAGAAACAGTTCCCTGATATCACATAGAAGAATCCACTCTGGTGAGAAACCGTATCATTGCGTGGACTGTGGAAAAAATTTCACTGTAAGCAGTTCCCTTAAATCACATAGGATCCACACGGGAGAGAAACAGTGCCAGAAGTGTGGAAAGAGTTTCAGACACAGCACTTCCCTCTCTTCTCATAAAAGGATCCACACAAGGGAGATCCAACCTACCAGCATATAACACTGAAGGAGCTTTATTCAGAAGAGTGAACTTCTCATAAAAAGAGCCACCTGAAGGAGTGGCCATATACAAACTTGTAGTGTGGAAAGAACTTCAGTGGTTCCATTTTTTATCACAATGTCAAAATGGAAATGTGGTGGATTATGATTACTAAAAAATGAGTTAAGAGTGAAGGAAGGTAGGGGAAGAGAATAAAAGAGATGGGCCAGATGAAGGCGATTACAGGAAATCTTTGGGAGAGCTTCAAGTTACTACAAGAGGGAGGCTAATATCTTTGTGTAGTAGGTCCAGGAAGAGTAGACTTGATGCCATCTAATAAGCATAGTCTCAAATGTAATCCCAGCTGGTAAAGATAAGGGATCCCCAGATTTTATTAATGGGGCTTTTAGGGTTTGTTTTTTTTTTATTCCTAATCATTATCTGTGAGTTCAGTTGTGGATGCTGACTTACCTTTTGTTTGGAGCAGACAACTGTACTGAATATGAGTAGGAAAGAGGTGTAAATGACTATGTACCTATGTGTGAATATATTTCAGCATTAGCCAGCCTTTAATCCTAATCCTTTTTGGGATGTGACTTTTGACAGTCATACATATACACACATACAGATTTATACACACACACAAAACACATGTATAGGAGCAATGGTGGCATAATGGCTAGAATGCAGTATTGAAGGTTGACTGCTCACAGCCAGGAGTTCAATCCTGACCAGTTCAGTTTTCCATCCTTCCGAGGTCAGTAAAAATGTGGACCCAGATTGTTGGGGGCAATATGCTGACGTTATAAACTGCTCAGAAAGTGCTGTAAAGCACTAGAGAGGTTATGTAAGTCTAAATGCTATTGCTACATTTATTGAGAAGGTGCTATGTTAAATTTATGGACCAATTTCTTTTTTAATATAAAGGTAAAGGTAAATGTAAAGGTTCCCCTCACACATATGTGCTAGGTTGGTAGAAGCTGGGACAAGTAACGGGAGCTCACCCTGTTACACAGCACTAGGGATTCGAACCGTTGAACTGCCAACCTTTTGATCAACAAGCTCAGCATCTTACCCACTGAGTCACCGCATCCCTTTTTGAATATAATAACCCACAATTGGATATGTAAGAGAAACTATTTTGATCAACCATATTTGGAGACCACTGGAAGAAAATGCAATGCAATGTTACGGCTGCTTGTTTTTTGATTAGCTATAAAAATAGGCAAAGTTCAAAAGCAGCCATTCAAATGATTGGGGGCTTGGATATGTTTGTGAAAAAAAATATTTTTAAGCATGAAAAAAATAAATTACCTTGGTAGAAAACATCAGGTTTCAGATATCATCCAATTCAGCTGTTTAGGAAAAGATTTGAAATAGGCAAAAGAGTGGAGGGTTTTCACACTTATTTTTATATTGTTAGCATCTAATCAAGCATATGAAGAAAAATCATTAGTAAAGGAAACAATTGAGTTCATATGGAATTGAATTTAATAGATTCCTGAGAAAATGTATCCACCTAAAAGGGAATATACATTTTATATAATTCTGCCCCAGAATTTTTAGGCTGGATTATTTTTTAATATCAACTTTATATCACAAAATTTAAGAATGTATATTGATATTTGTTTATCCAATGGTTTATGTTTATCTTGTCATAGAATCTGTGTTTCAGAAGGTATCAAGGGATTGATATTTCAGTGTTTCCCTGTTGAATAATAAAGAATTTGTACAGTCTTTAATTTCAGAAATAGTCTTTTGTCCCTACTTATCTCTGAAGTATTACTTGTAACCATATCATTGGCTTTGTTGGCAACCTAAACTATTTGGTATGACATTTTTAAAACATTATTTATTTATTTAATATAACTGCCAAGTCTTTAGTTACAGTAATACCACAGCATGTTTCTACCAAAATACATATCATCATCACCACCTTTTAATGACCCTATAGTAACAAATTTTGGGCTCAACTTACTGTGATCATAAATCGAGGACTACCTGTATTTCCCCACTTCTGCAATTCCTGAGGTAACTTTTTGTTTTGAAAACAAATTGGATGCCTCTGAGAAACATTCCCATTGGGGAAATTCGATTCCTTTCAATATTCTGGATTTTTCTTTCCTTCAGGACGGCCACAGCCTCTCCTTAGAGATGTCGCAGCAATCATCTTTTGACCACTATTCCTCAGGGACACTGTTTGCTAGTACCGTATCTTCAAGTCCTACCCTTGAAAAGGACTTTAGGGCAGAATCCCTCGGCACTACTATTATTTTTTAATTATATATTATAATATTACTACTGTCATTTTACCAGAAGAGGAGGATGTCTTTGTCACTCGGTGCTTCCTCACAGACAGGCGGGAAATCGTAGCCCCGCCCCTTCCAACGGTTCTTTTCCGAAGGTTCGCAAGATGCTTCAAAGGCGGTTTTTTTTCCCTGAGGGGAGTCCGCCAGGACAGCGAAAGGGAGGGCCGGAAGGGTCCCTACTCAATATTGTCTTTCTAGGGAGAAGAACTCGCTCTCTTTAACCCTTGGAAAGTCTGGAGAGACCCAATATGCCCGGAGCCTTTGATGTCCGTGTCCGCGTCTGCATCCGCGCGGCTCTCCCGCCTATTTTGGGATCGAGGTCCCCGGCGAGGAAAAGCCTTGGGCGGATCCGTCTCTTTTCCACCGGCACCGGGAAAGAAAGCCGTTTCTTTCTTCCAAGGCTGTCTCCGGAGTTTTCACGAAGGGTTTGAAGAGCTGGCTGCATTGCATTCCCAAGAGGACAAAGGGAGCCGGTTGAATGAAGCTTTCGTCCTGGAAGCCCCAGTTGCAGATGGTGGGAGGGGGAAGAGGGGGCTCAGGTGTCTGGTCAAATAGGTAGTCCTCGACTTACAACCGTTGAAACGGCACTGAAAAAAAATGACCCTTTTTTTCCACTTAACGACCATTGCAGCATCCCCGTGGTCATGTGATCAGAATTCCGACACTTGGCAATTGATTCATATTTATGACCATATTTATGCGAAGTCTTGGAGTCCCGTGATCCTATTTTCCGACCTCCCGGCCAGCAACGTCAATGGGGAATCCAGATTCACTTAACAACCTGTGTTACTAAGGTCACAACTGCAGCGCTTCACTTTTTTTTTTTTTACTTAACAAATGTGGCAAGAAAAGTTGTAAAATGGGGCAAAATTTAACACTTAACAGATGTCTCGTTTAGCAATGGAAATTTTGGGCTCAATTGTCGTAAATTGAAGACTACCTGTAGTAGTGACTTTCATGGCATTGGCTTTCTATTAGGATTACCCTTGTTAGGGTAAGACGAAATAGGGGGAAATGATGGTCTATTTTGACAAGGAAAAAAACAAGGGAATGGAATGCCTAGAGAGAATTGAGATAAAGGCCTGCACTTTTAGTATTGGAATTGGGGTCACAATACAGGGTTGGAGAAGTTAAAAAGCTTCTGATCTGTGCGCGCACATGCGCGCGCACACACACACACACACACACATTTTAACAGGATACTTTAGACTCAGGGAAATTCTCCCCACACCCTTGCTTAATCTGAAGTTGCCCGTGAGTCAAATACATTCATATAAAAATCCATTTTTGTTAAGCACTTACCCTAACTGAAGGTGAGGATTGCCCCCCCCTCTATAGTTCATTTGCAATACTGACTGGGAACATTCACAAATGAGCAGGAGGCATAGCTATGAATGCCAGATCCTTGCTGGAATTAGACTTCCATTATTGTGAGACCAACTACTTTCTCAGCCCACTTTCTGGTTCATGCAGTGTACAGCTCAATGGAAGGCAGGTTTGGTTGTGATTGTTTTTCCCCACAACTATCCGTTGAAGTGTGTATCTGTCCTGTTTGGTTGCCGTGCCAACCCAGACAATTATTCAGGTACAAATGACAGACTCAATTAGTTGCAACTCTTCCAAGAGCTTTCAGTTGATGTCATCCCCCATGTTATCATCTTAAATCTTATAAAATCAAATGAAAAGATAATATATCTATCATCCATCCATCCATCCTATTTCTTAACCGCCCATCTCCCTGATAAGGGTAAAGGTTCCCCTTGCACGTATATGCTAGTCGTTCCCGACAAAAGGGGGCGGTGCTCATCTCTGTTTCAAAGCTGAAGAGCCAGTACTGTCCAAAGACGTTTCTATGGTCATGTGGCCGGCATGACTAAACGCCAAAGGCGCACAGAACGCTGTTACCTTCCCACCAAAGGTGGTCCCTATTTTTCTACTTGCATTTTGTTTTTATGTGCTTTTGAACTGCTAGGTTGGAGGAAGCTGGGAAAAGTAACGGGAGCTCACCCCGTTAAGCAGCACTTAACGGGATTTGAACAGCTGGACTGCCGACCTTTCGATCGACAAGCTCTTAGCCACTGAGCCATCATGTCCCTTTGATATAGGAATAAGGGGCGATAATTCCTCGTTTTCCTTCCTTCAGCCACACCAATTTATTTTAGCCCATGATCCACTTCCATGACATTTCCTTGTGTGAAAAAAAACCAAATTCCGTTTGTGTCCAATCACACTTGGCCAATAAAGAATTCTAACATTTCTGCACGAGGATCCTAACCTCAGAACTGGGGTCTCTGAAGTTCTGTCCACAGTCCATGCACTCATATGGTTTCTCCCGTGTGGATCCTTCGGTGGGAAGTCACAGAACTACTCTTTCTAAAGCTCTTTCCACATTCCACACATTTGTATGGTTTCTCCCCCGTGTGGATCCTTTTATGAGAACTAAGGGAACTGCTTACAGTGAAGCTCTTTCCACATTCCGTACATTTGTATGGCTTCTCCCCTGTGTGGGTCCTTTTATGGGATGTCAGGGAACTGCTTACGCTAAAACTTTTCCCACACTCCAGACACTGATATGGCTTCTCTCCGGTGTGGATCCTTTTATGGGAAGTGAGGTAGCGTGCATCACTGAAGCTCTTTCCGCACTCCAGGCACTGATACGGTTTCTCCCCTGTGTGGATCCTCTTATGGGAAGTAAGGCGGCTTTTGCGACTGAAGCGCTTCCCACACTCCACACATTGATAGGGTTTCTCTCCTCGGTGGATCCTCATATGGGATGTCAGGGAACAGCTCACGCTAAAACTCTTCCCACACTCCATACATTTATATGGCTTCTCTCCGGTGTGGATCCTTTTATGGGAAGTGAGGTGACTTACATCGCTGAAGCGCTTCCCGCACTCCAGGCACTGATACGGTTTCTCCCCCGTGTGGATCCTCTTATGGGAAGGAAGGTGGCTTCTCTGAGAGAAGCCCTTCCCACACTCCACACATTGATAGGGTTTCTCCCCGCTGTGGATTCTCATGTGAGAAGTGAGGTAAGTTCTCTTAATGAAGCTCTTTCCACACTCCAAGCATGGATGTGGTTTCTCTCCTTGGTGGATCCTTTCATGGGTCATAAGGTGACTTTTCTGAAGGAAGCTCTTCCCGCAATCCATGCATTGATTTGTATTCTCCCGGATGTGACTCTTTTGATGGTTACTGAGATGGCTACTCTGGCTGAAGCTCTCTCCACATTCCACATAGTTATATAATTTCTCCCCAAGCGATATATTTTGAACTAAAGTAAGAGGAAAGGCCCGTTCCCTGTTTTCATGTTGTGTCTCGACAGGCGGCCTTCTGCAATATCCACACAATCCTGATTCCTCCTTCAATATTTTTCCACAGCCTGGACACATTCTGGTTTCTTGGTGATTTTTTTCAGCCAGCAGCGTGTTGCTATCTACACAATGAAAAGCGAGGGCTTTCTTTGGCTCTCCGTTTAGCTGGTTTTCCTCAGGACTTTGGACTCCCCATTGACATCGGAACATCCTTTCTGTAATTTCATTGTTGACTGTTGGCAAATGCTCTATCATCTCCTTCTTAGAGTCCTCGTTCTCCCACCTTTCGCCTGATTGCAACAAAAAGAACACAGAGGTAAGTTTCACGAGATGTTCAAGGCCCAAGCAAAGGCACCCTCGGGGATCATGCTCTATTGCCACATCCTGTATTTGAACATTACAGGTAGTTCTCAATTTATGACCCCTGGTGGCGAAGTGGTTAGAATGCAGTATTGGAGGCTAATTCTGCTCACTGCCAGTAGTGCGATTCTCACCGGCTCAAAATTGACTGAGCCTTCCATCCTTCTAAGGTCAGTAAAGTGAGGAGCCAGATTGTTGGGGTAAGATGCTAACTCTGTAAACTGCTTAGAGAGATGTAAAGAAGTGTGAAGTGGTATATAAGTCTAAGTGCTCTCTCTAACACAGCGGTCAGCAACCTGCAGCTCCGGAGCCACATACGGCTCTTTGGGCCCTCTGCTGTGGCTCCCTGTCAGGTGATCCCACCACTGGCTGGCCCCACCCCTCACCTTCCCCTCCCAGTCACTCCTTGCCTGGCCTGAGAAGGTAAGGGTGAAGGCAGGGGATGGAGAAGTGGCAAGGGCAGAGACAGAGAGATATAGAGAGAGGGGAAGAGTGGGAGGGAGGGTAGAGAGAGAGATGTCAAAAGGATTTTGTGGTTCCTGGTGTTTTTTAACAACTGGTTCTCTGCCCTAATGACCGGCTGGCTACGCATGGCTAGGGGGGGGGGGTCATGTGACTGGTGGAAGTGAGTGACATTGAGTTGGCCACGCCCACGCAGGTTTTGTGGCTCTTTTCTGTGGGAAATGGGTCCAAGTGGCTCTTTGAGTATTTAAGGTTGCAGATCCCTGCTCTAACACTACAACTGAGCCCAAAATTTCTAAGCGAGACAATTGTTAAGCGAGTTTTATCCCCTTTTACGAGTTCCTTGTCGTGAATTACTGCAGTTGTTAAGTTAGTAACATGGTTCTGAAGTGAATCTGGCTTCTCCACTGACTTTGCTTGTCAGAAATTGCAGGTGATCACATGACCCCAGGACACTGCAAACGTCATGAATACATGCCAGTTGCCAAAGTGTTTGAATGTTGACCAAACAACTGTAGGGATACTGCAACGGTCGTGAATGTGAAAAATGGCCATCAGTTACTTTTTTACCTGATATTGTAACTTCAAACAGTCACTAAACAAATGTCTGTTAAGCCGATGACTACCTGTACAGGTTTCATTCCTCCTGGATCCTGCACCACCTTGTTCTCATTCCTCCTGGACCCTATGGGGTACAGATTACACCCAGGGTATTATTTTTACTATCCCTGTCAGCCCAGTGCCCAGTACGGAGCTTGGAACTAATATTTTGACCTTAGGACAGCAATATCATGTACAGAGCTACCTTGCTTCCCATGATGTTCAGTGTTAACATAAAACTGTTGGGGAAGATTATTTGGGTTTTAGCTTGTTTTTGAGGAGGTTGCTGAAAGCAAATCTTCAGTTTGGGAGTGTACAGCAAAGAGGCCTTGGGGAAAATGGGAGGGAGACATGACAGAGTATAACAGAATTGGAAGGGACCTTGGAGGTCTTTTGTCCAAAAGTGCTGCTCAAGTAGGAGACACTATACCATTTCAAACAAATTTATTTATTTATTTATTTATTTATTTATTTATTTATTTATTAAATTTATATACCGCCCTATTCCTAAGGGACTCAGGGCGGTGAACAGCGAACGATAAAAATACATGTAATACAAACGTTAATAATAATAATAATAATAAAAAAAAACCAATTAAAATATACTAAACATTCTGGTCCTAGATAATTCAAGACATCCCAGTTTAAAATAAAATCAAAAAGCAATATAAAGGGAAAGTTAGGCCAGGCCTAACATAGATGTAACACAGATGTCTGTGCGAGTAAGATTATCACCCCTGCTGTCAACCAAAACCAAGCATTTAATAGTGAGTGCCATACCATGTGCATTAATCAAACAGGTGGCAATAAAGTAGGGGCAGTCAGGCACAACACAGGTTATGTAGACAGTAAACATAGAGTCAATCAAAATGGACTCAAATGTCTATACACCAATGCACAGAGTATGAGGAATAAACAGGGTGAATTAGAAATTCAAGTAAATGAGGGCAGATATAATATTGTTGCCATTATGGAAACTTGGTGGGATGAAACCCACAAATAGAACATACAGCTAGAGGGATATAAATTATTTAAAAGAAATAGACAAAATAAAAGAGGAGGTGGAGTTGCACTATACATAAGAAATAACTACATCTCTACAGAATTAGAGCACAACAATGATGAAAATTATCTTGAATGCATTTGGGTCAATATTAAAGGGGGGGGGATGACATTGTCATAGGTCTATACCCATGATGGCGAACCTATGGCACGCGGAGCCATATCGGTGGGCACGTGAGCTCAGCTCCAGCGCACATGTGCACGCCGGCCAGTTGACTTTCGGGCCTTCTGGGCTCACCGGAAGTCAGGAAGCAGGTTGTTTCCGGCCTCCGGGGGGATGGGGAAGGCCCATTTTTCTCTCTCCCCAGGCTCCAGAGCCTTTCTAGGAGCCTGGAGAGGGTGAAAACGGCCTTCCCCAACCCCCCAGAGACCCTCTGGAGGCTGGAAATAGCCCGTCCAGGGGGATGGGAAAGGCCATTTTCGCCCTCCCCAGGCTCCTAGAAAGGCTCTGGAGCCTGGGGAGAGAGAAAAAAGGGCCTACTGGGCCCACCGTGCCATCCCGTGCCAAAAGCAGGGGAGTCACGTGCGCGCAACCCCCCTGCTTTCCTCCCGCTTTTGGCACACAATGGCAAAAAGGTTAGCCATCACTGGTCTATACTATAGGCCACCCAACCAAACAGAGGAAGTAAATGAACTTTTTGCTAGTCAGCTAATTAAGGTATGTAGGAAGCACATCACAATAGTAATGGGGGATTTTAATTACCCTGATATCAATTGGGAGACAAACTCTGCACCAAGTGGAAGATCCAACAGGTTCCTAACAAACCTAGCAAACAATTTTATTTCCCATAAAGTAGGGAAGAGAACAAGGGGATCAGCCATATTGGACTTAATTCTCACTAACAGAGACAAAATGATAGAAGGTGTTGAAGCTACAGGAACCTTGGGGACAAGTGATTACACAATACTGGAATTCAACATTATGCAAACACAAGTAGTAGAATAAAGTCAAACTAGAATTTTGGACTTTAAGAGAGCTAATTTCAATAAACTTAGAGAGAGCTTGAGAAGGATTCCATGGATGAGAATCCTCAAGGGAAAAACAACTCAAGAAGCTTGGGAAACTTTGAAAAGTGAGATTATAAAAGTCCAGTCTAGCACAATACCAACGAAGAAGAAAAATAATAGATTTCAAAAGAAACCAGCATGGCTGCATAAAGAACTCTCTAACAAATTGAAAGATAAAAAGAACGTATAAAAAAGTGGAAGTGGACAAACATGGGTTTGTCAAAAACTGATCATGCCAGACTAATCTTATTGCATTCTTTGATAAAGTGACAAAATTAGTGAACCAGAGGAATGCTGTCGATATAATTTACTTGGACTTTAGTAAAGCATTTGGTAAAGTAGACCATAACCTACTATTAGATAAAGTAGAAAAATGTGGGTTAGACAGCATCACCACCAGATGGATTCGTAACTGGCTGACCAACCGCACTCAACGTGTAGTCCTCAATGGAACTGCATCTACATGGAGGGAAGTATGCAGTGGAGCCCTATGCAGGGCTCTGTTTTAGGCCCAGTGCTCTTCAACATCTTCATCAATGACTTGAACGAGGGGATAGATGGGGAACTCATCAAATTTGCAGATGACACCAAGTTGGCAGGAATAGCCAACACTCCAGAAGACAGGCTCAAGATACAGAAGGATCTTGACAGACTTGAACATTGGGTGCTATCTAACAAAATGAAATTCAACGGTGAAAAAAGGAAGGTTCTACATTTAGGGAAGAAAAACAAAATGCACAGGTACAGTATATGTGGTACCTTGCTCAATAGTAATAACTGTGGGAGGGATCTTGGAGTCCTAGTGGACAACCATTTAGATATGAGCCAGCAATGTGCAGCAGCTGCCAAAAAAGCCAACACAGTCCTAGGCTGCATAAACAGAGGGATAGAATCAAAATCACGTGAAGTGTTAATACCACTTTATAATGCCTTGGTAAGGCCACACTTGAAATATTGCATTCAGTTTTGGTCGCCACGATGTAAAAAAGATGAGGAGACTCTAGAAAGAGTGCAGAGAAGAGCAACAAAGATGATTAGGGGACTGGAGGCTAAAACGTATGAAAAACGGTTGCAGGAACTGGGTATGTCTAGTGTAATGAAAAGAAGAACTGGGGAGAGATGATAGCAGTATTCCAATATCTCAGGGGTTGCCACAAAGAAGAAGGAGTCAAACTATTCTCCAAAGCACCTGAGGGTAGAACAAGAAGCAATGGGTGGAAACTAATCAAGGAGAGAAGCAATTTAGAACTAAGGAGAAATTTCCTGACAGTTAGAACAATTAATGTGGAACAATTTGCCTGCAGAAGTTGTGAATGCCCCAACACTGGAAATTTTTAAGAAGATGTTGGATAACCATTTATCTGAAATGGTGTAGGGTTTCCTGCCTGGGCAGGGGTTGGACTAGAAGACCGCCAAGGTCCCTTCCAACTCTGTTATTCTATTCTATTCTATTCTAAATGGTTGTCCAATCGCTTCTTAAAAACTTCCAGTGATGGAGCACCCACAACCTCTAGAGGCAAGTTGTTCCACTGGTTAATTGTTCTCACTGTCAGGAAATTTGTCCTTATTTCTAGGTTGGTTCTCTTCTTGGTTAGCTTCCACCCATTGCTTCTTGTCCTGCCCTCAGGTGCTTTGGAGAACAGCTTGACCTCATTCCTTGTGGCAACCCCTGAGATATCGGAACACTGCTATGTCACCCCAGTCCTTCTTTTCATTAAATTAGACATACCTAATTCCAGCATGTTTTAGCCTTCAGTCCCCTAACCACCTTTGTTGCTCATCTCTGCACTCTTTGTAGAGCATGTATGTCAAACTCGCTGCATCATGTTGATGTCACATGACAGCTCAAGTTTTCTTGACTTTGCGGAGCTAGGGTGGACATGGCCTGCACATGACGCATCCAGCCCATGGGCCACCAGTTTAACACACCTGTTCTAGAGTCTCAGCATCTTTTTTATATCGTGGTGACAAACTTGGATGCAGTATTTTAAGTGTGGTCTTATCAAGGCGTTATGAAGTGGTACTAACACTTCATGTGCTCCATATAATTCGGGCCTATTAGGGTTTCCAAATTCCAGAAAAATGAAAGGCACTCCTTAAGGCTGTCACCCAAAAGATAAACTCGGTAAGGAGGGTGTTTGCTCTCTTCTATAGAGGAGACAGCATGAAGATTTTTAGCCCCGCCTGCCTGATCAGGTGGGAGAATCAATACATTCTCCATTGTAGGAAAGGAACAGACTAGCATTTTCTGAGAAACAGGCAAACTAGTTACGTCTGACCAGAAAAGTAGAAAGAGAACCTTAATGTTAGCTGGATCTCCAGCATGGGTTTTCCTTTTGATGCTTGCTTGTTAACGGCTGCCATAGTAACGGGGAGGGGGGGGCATGGCAGAGGGATTTGGGAAGTGAGCTGGTGTGAAGAAGGCCCACCTGAATATAAAGGGAGGTTTGCTCGCTGAAATTACTGCGCTGCTAAATGGAGTGGTTTACACCCAGTCAAAGCCAACCGTCCTGAACTCCAGCTGGACGAAAACACCTGAAGATGTGTCTGACACTATGTGGGACGCGGACTGGACATTCAGCATGGATCCCTGGGGGGAGGGATTTGGGAAAACTTTCTATATGTACCTTTCCCGCCTTTTGGCTTAGATCTTGCCTTTCTTTTGCTACCATCATTTCAAACTCAGTAAAAGTATCTCTTCTCAACTTTAGTGGATTCAGCGGTTTTCCTTGTTGGGTATTGAACGGAGGCAGGCCTGACACTTACCTATGCAGGTCACATTCCTTGCATTTTCCAACATGATCTCCCTGTACAGCAATTTCTGGTCTGGATTCAGCAGGGCCCACTCCTCTTCAGAAAAAAATACGGCTATATCTTCAAATGACATATGATTCTGAAATTGAAAAAAAAATCCCTCTTAATGTACAGTTCCAAGTTATACTTGAGGTCGTAAATTGAGGATTACCTGTACCACCTGAAAATCGCCCAAGGTCACTCTGAGAGTGAGATCTAATTAATTAATGACACACATACGTACAAATAAATAATTATTTATCAAGCATAGATACCTCTCATCCCAAATCTCAGTGACTCTGGGCATTTTTCACAGAGTTCAGGTAGTCCTCAATTTATGGCCACAATTGAGTCCAAAAATTATGTTGTTAAACAAGACAGTTGTAAAGTCAGTTTTGGGCCCATTTTACAACCTTATTTGCCGCACTTGTTAATAACATGGTTGTTAAGTGAACCTGGCTTCCCCCTTGACTTTGCTGGTCAGAAGTTTGCAAAAGGGGATCACATGATCCCAGGACATTGCAACCGTCATAAACATGAGCCAGTTGCCAAGCATCCTAATTTTCATCATGACAATGGAGATTCTGCAACGGTCATAAATGTGAAACATAGTCCTAAGTCATTTTTTCCAGTATTGTTGTTACTCACTGTCATTTCCTGACAGTTAGAACAATTAATCAGTGGAACAAATTACCTCCAGAAATTGTGAATGCTCCAACTAAACGTTTTTAAGAAGAGACTGGACAACCATCTCTCTCTGGGCACAATAAGAATATATTTGCTAAATAGAACTCTGCACTGGCAACAGGAAGGGCTAGTAAACACTCAGCTCCATTCAGTTGCCCAGACTCCACCCTGCAAGGGATTATGGGGTCATTAAAAGATGATGATGACTGGACAACCATTGGTTAGAAATGGTATAGGATTTCCTGCCTGAACAGGTGTTTGGACTAGAAGACCTCCAAGGTCCTTTCTAACTCTTCTCTTCTCTTCTCTTCTCTTCTCTTCTCTTCTCTTCTCTTCTCTTCTCTTCTCTTCTGCTCTGCTCTGCTCTGCTCTGCTCTGTTCTTTCTATTCTATTCTTCTATTGTTTTTTTCTAATTCTATCCTATCCTATCCTATCCTATCCTTATTGCTGATTTTGCAGGATTTTAAAACTTGTTTTAGTTGGTAGCAAACAGTAGGTTATGGAACAACTGATGGGATGAATCTTGGATGCACCATTGATCAGGGTTTTCAGGGCTTCCTGGAAGGTGACTTCCTCAACACAGTGCTGGGACAATCCTAGTTGATACATTAACAGCTTCCTTATGTTGTCTCTGACAGATACACACAGTTCAACAGCTATATGAAGTTGCTGGAAAAGGCCTTCTAGAAGCATGAGATGCCAGCAATGTTCAGATAATACCATGAAACTGCTCCTACTCTGAAAAAAGATGGCTAGAAGGGAGCAAATTAAGGGAACTAACTTTGGAAGACAAATCCAGCTTGCTTTGGAATGCTCCTTGTCAAAACCACATTTGGACACTGAAGGAGAAAAGAATCCTCCTCAAAATAGCAGAGTTAGAAAGGACCTTGGAGGTCTTCTAGTTCAATCCCCCGACTCAAGCAGGAGACCCTTTACCATTTCAGAGAAATGGGGTTGTCCAGTCTCTTCTTAAAAACCTCCAGCGATGGAGCAGCCACAACTTCTAAAGAAAAGCTCTTCCACTGGTTAATTGTTCTCATTGTCAGGAAATTTCTTACCTCTAGGTTGCTTCTCTCCTTGATTTTCCCATCCATTGCTTCTTATCTTGCCTTCAGGTGCTTTGGAGAAAAGCTTGACTCCCTCCTCTTTGTGGCAGCAAAGAGTAAATATATATCTAAGGGGCCCCTTATATGTTTTAGGTGCTTCTGATCAACTTGATGCTATGATGCTCCTAATCATCTTTATTGCACATGATGGCCTGTCACCCCTAGTCCTTCTTTTCATTAAACTAGACATACCCAATTCCTGCAACTGTTCTTCGTATGTTTTGGCCTCCAGTCCCCTAATCATTTTCATTGCTCTTCTCTCCACTCTTTCCAAAATCTCAACATCTTTTTTATATTGCGATGATCAAAACTGGATGCAATATTCTGAGTGTAGGTCTTACCAAGGCATTATAAAGTGGTACTAGCACTTCAGGCGAGCTTCATCCCTCCTACCTGAGTTGGAATGACAACAGCAGTTTCAGTTCCACCACAAAGCAAAGATGTTTCTGCAGGAAACCTTAGGGTTGCTCCATTCCCTGATAAGACAGAAATGGAAGAAGACATTTTGAAAACATTCCTGCTGCATTCTCGAGCAAAACTATACCATAATTGTGTGTGTGTGTGTGTGTGTGTGTACACAAAAAAAATTAAAAGGAGCCTTCTTTCACACCAGTCGGACTGCAAGTAAGCAATATCAATAGACTTATGTACCGCTTCATAGTGCTTTACAGCTCTCTCTAAGCGGGTTACAATCAACATACTACCCCCAATAATCTTCCTCAACAGTTTTTATGTAAAAAATAATGACGTGGGTGTAATCTATATCCACATAGGATCCAAAAGGAATGAGAACAAGGGAAACCTATACCGTTTAGTGATTGTTTGAAGTTGCAACAGCAGGTAAACAAAGTGACAGATGACCATTTTTCACATTTCTGACTATCGCAGAATCCCCGTGACCAAAATTTGGATGCTTGGCAATTGGCATATATTTATGACATTCGCAGTGTCCTGGGGTCATGTGATCAACTGCGACCTTTCGAAAGGGAAAGTAAATGGGGAAGCCAGATTCACTTCTCAACCATGGTGCTAACTTAAGAACTGCAGTAATTCACATCACAACTGTCCCAAAGTTGCTTTTTCAAGAGGCAGTTGCAACTTTGGGACAACAATTTTGTTGTCTGGATGACTGAATGACTGAAACTCTCCATAGATACTTAACAACTGTGGCAAGGAAAGTCGTAAAATGGGGTAAAATTCACTTAACAACTATCTTGCTTAGAACGTTTGGGCTCAATTGTGGAGTTAGCAATAGGACTACCAACAGCACTTAGACTTGCATACGGCTTCATCGTGCTTTCATAGCCCTCTGTAAGTGGTTTACATACTCCGTACTTTGCCTCCATATTTCGTAATATGTTTCTTTTGAACTGCACCATGTTATATTTCCTTGTGGAATACACCAATATAAAAATATAACAACTTTCGGATGTGATCTGAGCTGGATCTTCTTGGGAGATCCCTCTGAAGGCCAGTTCCTGAGAGAGAGATGACACGTCTCTGTGTGGTCGGGAGTTTTGAGCATCCACTTCCATGAAGGGATCCTGAACCTGTCAAAAGAAAGAGGGAAGAAGATTTTATGGTCCACAGCAACCAAGTTCACTCTAAAAAAGAGAAGGCTTCTCACATACAGGTAGAATAGAGTAGAATTGGAAGGGACCTTGGAGGTCTTCGAGTCCAACCTCCTGCTCAGGCAGGAAACCCTATACCATTTCAGACAAATAGTTGTACCAATCTCTCCTTAAAAACGTCCAGTGCTGGAGCATTCACAACTTCTGGAGGTAAGTTGTTCCACTGATTAATGGTTCTCACTGTCAGGAAATTTCTCCTTAGTTCTAAGTTGATTCTCCCCTTGATTAGTTTCCATCTATTCTATTCAGGGGCTTTGGAGAATAGTTTGACTCCCTCTTCTTTGGGGCAACCCCTGAGATATTGGAACACTGCTGTCATGTCACCCCTAATCCTTCTTTTCATCAGACTAGACATATTCAGTTCCAGCAACTGTTCTTAATGTTTTAGCCTCCAGTCCCCTAATCAACTTTGTCGCTCTTCTCTGCCCTGTTTGTAGAGTCTCAAGATCTCTTTTTATATCATGGCGATCAAAACTGGCTGCAGTATTTCAAGTGTGGTCTTACCATGGAATTATAAAGTGGTAGTCCTCGATATACGACAACAATTGAACCCAACATTTCCATGGCTAATGGAGATGACCGCTAAGTAAATTTTGCTCCATTTTACGACTTTCTTGCCACAGTAGCTAAGTGAATCACTGCAGGGGTTCACTTAGTCATATGTTTGTTAAGTGCATCTGGCTCCCCCATGGACTTTGCTTAGTCGGGTGGTCACAAAAGGGGATCATGTGACCCCAGGATGCTACAACCATCATAAATAAAAACCAGTTGCCACAGCCTCAGAGCCTCAGGTGACTGTAAGGCTACTGCAACCAAGAATGAAAAATCATCATAAGTCACTTTTTTCAACGCTGTTGTAACTTTGGATGGTCACTAAGTGAACTGTTGAATGTCGAGGATGATTTTTGTCTCACCTGCGTTTCTCCCTGCTTCTTCTCCTCTGCTTGGCTCAGGAGGAAACCTTCCGCAAGGGCCACTGCCTGGGAGCTGGTCTCTGCTCCACATTCTCGCACCCAGCTTTCCATCTTTGGGGGCAGGACTGCCAGGAACTGCTCCAGGACCACCAAGTCCAACATCTGAGTTTTCGTGTGTTTCTCTGGCTTCAGCCATCGACGATAAAGACGGTGTAAGCGAGTGCAAAGTTCTCGAGGTGCCTCGGTTTCTTTGTATATGAACTCGAGGCAAAGTTGATGTTTTCCAGCCCGTCTGGTGGTTTCTCCTTGCAGGACATTGTCCTTCCTCATTCTTCCCCAGAACTTCTCAGTAGACCCAAACAAGGCAACACGGGATCCATTTCCTTCTGGGTCTCGTGAGCTGGTTTTTGGGGTGTTGTAGGAAGGGAACACCACCAAGACAGTGTCAAAACCTCATCAACTCATGAAGGGGAAAACCCAGACATAAGGAAATGACCTTCCCAAATAGAACACATAGATATCAGAGTCAGATAGAATTAAAAAAGGAAATCCCAGGAAACGATACACAAAGACTCTAGACAAGATCAGGAAAGAAACTATTAACAGCAGAATAAAAACAAAAGGTATGGCAGGGGATTAACCAAGGAAAAGATTTAATCAATAACCCAAAGCAATATGATAAGAGTCAAACCGGGGGTAAGGGCTTACCAAATAATAACATGATCATCTTAAGGGAGGAAGCAAATAATGAATCAGGAGAAAACAAAAGAATACCAAATCAGATAACACAAACACCACCTAGTCTGAAGTAGGAAACGATCAGAATAAGAAAAACAGAGCACACACACAAAGGAAACATAGACAAAAGTAACAATAGAAAACAAAGGATTCCCTTTGATCAAGAGGGTATAAGAATGTATGCTTACCTGGTAAAGATGTGAGCTCACCCAGGAACGCTGGTCTGCGACATCGCTCGATCTGACTTCCTGAAAAATAAAGAAAACTTGCTTTCACGCAGCTTGCTTCTCTCGCAGTTTTGCGCGGCGCTGGAACGCTCTCCCAGCCGGGAAATTCGAATCCTCGGGGGGGGGGGAAACCTCTCCTCCCTTCTAACAATTGGTGACCACGAAGAATTCCCAGCCAACCCAGCCACCGGACGGGGCCTGGAGATTCATCCCAGCCGGCACGGACCACTTTGTCCGGGGAAAAATCCACGGACCCTGCCCGGAGGTGTCGGGTAGTAAAGGGAGTTTTGAGCCTTTGCCTCAACAGCTGCTTGAAAGCAGGTAAGTACCGCTTTAAATTACAATAAAATCCCTAGAATACGGGGCGTATGAGAGTGTGTGAGTGAGTGTGTGCATGTGGGATTTCACCTGGACAGCAGCCTGATCCTACCCCTTTGAACGATCCCTAGCCGCACCTCTGCCTACTGCTAGCTCCGAGCCGTGACGTGACCGGTAGAACAGAGAAAGCAAGGGGGGATCACCAAATGTAGGACTTTCTGCCTAACAGGGAACGAAAGCCGAGCGAATAGAAGCGCGTGGAAGGGGGAAATAAATTGCGAGAGGGAATCCCAGTGTACGTCTCAGAAGGTGCAAAGCCCAGACACGGAGATAGTGTGAGGAGGGGCCAGTACTCACTGCTGGGGTCAGCAGGTCCTCCCAGATCCCCTTTTTGGATCTGAAAACTGTGGCGAGTTCCCTACGGAAGGGGCCCATACTTCGTAAGGGAATCGAAGTCCTTCCAGAGCTTTTTTCTCTGCAAACTTGAGGCGGGCCACCCGGCTAAGTCGAAGTGATCCTTCAGGTGAAAAGACAGGATCATGGGTAGCGGTAGTTCGCGCGGGTGGCAGGAACCCCGATTGGAGAGTTGCTCGAGGCCTGGGACGCCAGGCGGATGCCCATTTTAAATGGCATGGATCGAAAACGAGCGGAAAAATTGTGTCAAAAGTGGGCTTTGCTTAGAGACGAAAACGGGAAACAAATTTGGCCTGATAGCGGTACCTTTGATATAAAAATCCTAAAAGCACTTAGACCCAGACTAAAGCCCAGCCACATACCCTATTGGTATTGCTGGGCCGAACTAGCTAGGAATAAGGAATCCTTCATAGAAAATAACACACCTAAGATAGAAACAGATAGAGAAGCGAAGATAATGGCCCCCTTAATAAGCAGACCCGTACCAGGGAGACAGAGGGGCGAAACTGACTACATTCTAACACACACACCCTTTTCGGCCTCAGATTTAGTAATCTGGAAGAAAGATGCCCCAACCTTCAGAGCAGACCCCCAAACAGTGATCAGGACCCTAAAAACCATTATAGAGAGCCACAATCCATCATGGGGGGACATGAACCAACTACTGCATGTTTTTTTGACAAAAGATGAGTTGTTAAAACTTTTTGAAAAAACGGATCAGATTGCTAAACAACCGGTCATAAGGGTCCCGGGTCAGGCTACCCGCCCCAGGGTCGCCTGGCCCCTTGAGAACCCAGAATGGAACTATAACGATGACACCCACTGGGGCACTTATACCAGGGCAAAACAAAACCTACTGGAAGCCCTGGAAGAGATCGGGAAAAAACCCCTGAATTGGTCAGAATTCCAGCGAGTTACCCAGAGGGACCAAGAGAACCCCGATGCCTTCTGGGTCAGGCTTATAGAGGCAGCCACAACTTACGCCCACCTGGATGTGAACTGCCAGAAGGACCAGAGGATTTTAGCCTCGGCCTTCGTTGACCAATCTGCCCGAGATATTAAAGAACACTTTCACAGAATAGTCTCTAACTGGTCCACCTTAGATATCTCAGAATTGCGCAGAATTGCGAATTTCGTTTATGACCAGAGAGATAGACTCAAGGAGGAAGAAAGGGAAAGGAAAGAATTAGAGAAAGAAAGAAGGAAAAAGACAGAAAGACAGGAAGAAATGCAGATATTCGCTGCCATACACAGTAACAACAGGCAAACCCAAGGGCGGTTTCCCAGTAATTGGCAACGATGTATTAGGTGTGAGAAGACGGGATGCCCAGCGTATAAATGCCGCCACTGTTTCCGATGCGGGGAATTAGGACATTCAAGCCGGGACTGTAACCAGCCCCCTCCCCGCCGACAAACAGGACCCCTCCGAGACTTTAGACATAGGGACAACCCATTTAATCAAGACAGCCAGAGAAACCATTACCACAGGGAACCACCAACGGCACCCCTACCTCCAAACACCTCATTTTATCACAAAGAACGAACTAATCCAAACAATAATCATTGGGAGATAGAAAGGGAAAACAACCCTCAAGCTTCATGACTAGGAACAGACGAGGGTGAATTCTCAGCTACCCTCCAAGGGCTTGCGATTCCCCTAAGGAATGGTCCGGAGGGAGAGCCCATGATTTCCCTCCTCATAGGGGGAAAAGAATATGACTGTTTGGTAGACACCGGGGCCACTGCCTCTTTAATTGTCAAACCACCACACAGAAACTCAGTAAAACCTGGAGCTCATGATAAAATAATGGGAGTGGGAGGAACAGCTATCCCGGTAGAATACACAAATGATGTAACAGTTGAAGTAGGTCCCTTTTCATTGAAACATTCTTTCACCATATGCCCCCAATCTCCAGTCTCTCTCCTTGGAAGGGACCTCCTATGTAAATTAGGAGCAACCATCAGGTGTGGGAAAGGGGGCCTTGCCTTAGACATACCAGGAAGGAAAACCTTTCTACTAGCCACTCAAAGCACACTATTACATGCAGATTTGGCAACCTTACCTTCCTCTTTATGGGGATGGGATGCGACAGAGGTAGGACTCCTTAAAGGAGCCACACCAGTTACGATCAGAGTAAAACCAGGACCACCCCCCTGCATACCACAGTATAAAATCCAGGCTGAAGCCATCCAGCCCATACGCAAACTGATAAACGCCTATTTGGAGCAGGGAGTTTTGCGCAAATGCACCTCCCCATGCAATACCCCAATTTTTCCTGTGAAGAAATCCACAGTGGACAAAGATGGAAACCCAATATTCAGATTTGTTCACGATCTAAGGTTAATTAATTTGCATGTAATTCCCCGAGCGCCGATCGTACCGAACCCGGCCACGATAATTACGGAGGTGCCGGCTTCAGCTACCCATTTTACTGTTGTAGATTTATGCTCCGCTTTCTTTAGTATTCCCGTGGACCACGCTTCCCAGTACCTTTTTGCTTTTACCTGGGAAGAACAGCAGTACACGTGGACCCGCCTCCCTCAGGGCTACACAGAATCCCCCACCCTATTTTCCCAGATCCTGAAGGCAGACCTCTCTTCCATCACACTGCCAGAAGGATCAACCTTAGTCCAATACGTAGATGATCTCCTGCTAGCCTCTAACAGTGAACAGGCATGTAAAATTGACACCTTTCACTTGCTGAAATCCCTGGCTGAGAGGGGACACAAAGCCTCCCCCTCAAAACTACAATACCTAAAAAAGGAAGTAACATACTTAGGTTATATCATTGGCCGGGGGTGAGGAAATTGGCTCCAAGCCGAGTAGAAACCATATTATCAATGAAACGCCCCCACACTAAACAACAAGTCAGAGCACTCCTGGGGGTTCTGGGATTCTGCCGCCCCTGGATCCCATCTTTTGGGGAAATGGCGAAACCTTTAATACAATTAACAAAACAGGACATGCCAGACCCCATAACATGGACTAAATCTCTAGAGCAAAACCTCTCAAGAATTAAAAAGACCCTGGCTTCGGCTCCCACGCTAGGTCTCCCAGACTACAACAAGCCTTTCACCCTATTCATTCACGAAAAACTAGGCATCGCGTCTGGAGTCCTGACCCAGCGCTTCGGTCCAGGGCAGAGACCAGTCGCATACTATTCTGTTAGACTAGACCCGGTAGCCCAAGGGACACTCCCATGCTTAAGAGCAGTAGCGGCAACCGTTGAAATAGTAAAAAGAACCAAAGATCTCGTTCTAGGGCAACCTCTGACATTAAAAGTGCCTCATGAGGTTTTTGCCATTCTTCTAAAATCACAGACCCAAGCCTTCACGCAACAACGCTTAGCACAATACGAGGCTGAATTGTTTACTTCAGACCACATAACATTTGAAAGATGTAGCACCTTAAATCCTGCTACCTTGCTTCCCACGGATCAAACAGATGATCACTTACATGACTGCCTCCACCTAATACAGGATGCAGAATTGCCTCGCCCAGATTTAACCGACACCCCCTTGCAAAACCCAGACTTAGAAGTTTTTACGGATGGCTCTTCCTTCATTCATCAGGGAAACAGGGTTGCTGGAGCTGCGGTAGTATCTCTTTACGAGATCATTTGGGCAGAACCACTTTCCCCCTCTTTTAGCGCCCAAGCTGCTGAACTCATTGCTCTAACGAAAGCCTGTGAAGCAGCTAGGCATCTATCTGCTAACATCTATACAGACTCCAAATATGCATTTGGAGTCTGCCATGCTACTGGAGCCTTGTGGAAACAGAGAGGGTTCCTAACATCAGCAGGAAAACAAATTGCACATGCCACCCAAGTCTCCCAACTATTACAAGCCATCCAGCTACCGAAAGCCCTTGCAATCATCCATTGTAGAGCCCATCAAACAGATGATTCCATGGTCACTAAAGGAAATCACTATGCTGATACAACAGCCAAGTGGGTAGCTACAGAACCCCTTCCCTACAACATAGCTGCCCCAACAATGAGAGTTGATCCTGAAATTCAGTACAGGGACTTCCTAGAGCAGGGAGAAGCACAGATGTGGGAGGATAAATTAGGGGCAACATTTTCAGATGGGTTTTGGAGAGTCCCAGATGGTAGACCTATTGCCCCACGCCGCCTCATACGCTTAATCTGTCAGAGGCTACATGCAAAAGGTCACTGTGGGACCCAGGCTATAGTGGATGCTGCTAGGAGAGTATGGCATGCACCAGGTATATACACAGAGGCAACCAGAGTAACCAGCAGTTGCCAGACATGCCAAGCCAACAATAGCACATCCCGAAAAGCTATCTATGAGGGAGGGAGGCCATGGGCACAAAGACCATTTGAGGCAATACAAATGGACTATATCCAATTGCCCAAAGCCAATGGATACCAGTATGCCCTCGTGTGTAGGGACCAGCTGACACACTGGGTGGAGGCTTTCCCATGCCGCCATGCTACGGCCCTGGAAACTGCCAGACACCTCATTAAAGATGTAGTGCCAAGATTCGGTGTGCCACGAATCTTAGATACAGACAGAGGGACACATTTCATAGCACAAGTCCTAACATACATATACCAAGCGCTAGGCATAACACAAAATCTCCACTGCCCGCGTTCTCCACGTTCATCGGCAGGGACAGAACGTGCGAACCGCGAGGTGAAAACACTATTAAGCAAGCTTTGCCAGGAGACACACCTCTCCTGGCCACAAGTCTTGCCTATTGCCTTATTCTATATAAGGACGAGACCGAGAAGGGACATGGGAATCTCCCCTTTCGAGATTCTGTTTGGCCGTCCACCTGACACGCTACAAGGCCTTGACCCACAGTCTCTCAGCCTGGACAGGGGGGATATGGTCCTTTCTTCATATCTTTCAGCCCTACACAGGAGACTACAGGAGCTGTGGACACAGAGTGCCCTGACACAGACGCTGCCCCTGGAGGAAAACCTGCACCCGTTCGAGCCAGGTGATAGCGTGTGGATCCAATCCTTCACAAGGACCTCACCACTGCAACCGAAGTGGACAGGACCCTACCAAGTTCTGCTAACAACCCAGACAGCTATCCGAGTAGCAGAGAAGGACAGCTGGATACACTGGACACACGCCAAACCTGCAGTGGTGGACAACAGCCCAGAGATCCCTCCAATCAGGCTGAAGAAAAACCCAGGCACAGAAGAATGGACCTTGCAAGCATTTTTTGAACACAACGAACTTGACCAGTAATACCATTTTGGCTATCTGGATATACATATTTACCTTTTTTTCTCTTTTTTTTAATTATTAGTATTTGTTTAAGGGGGGGGATCGAATTGTACAATGGGAAAACAAAAATCTATTGCAAGCATGCTATGTAACCTTTATGGTATATTGTTAATTGTAACTCAAGTAACAGGGTTCCTAGAACCAAACCTTATCCCAGAAAAAGGGAACATCTGGGAATATCTGGCAAAAGAGATACTGAACACCACAGAATTTTGTTTAGCAGGAGGGAAATCAGTAAAAGACATTTTAAAAACATGTTTAATAGGAGTAGCAATAGGGCCACAGGTTATACTCAATCACACATGGCTTAGACATTTCCCCATCACACAACCATACTCAACCATTTATGAGTGGGGAAATATTTCTATAACAAAAGATCTTGACATGTACACCCTCCATGTGGCTGCTGTCTCTGCCTCATCCTTGTGTTTTGAAATCTATGGGTGCAACAAATTGGGAAATGGAAATTGCATCAATTTAAATAATACTGAATTGAGATGTAATAATACAGAGCAGATCCCTTTTTCCTATAGCTACTTGAGGCTCCCTCATGGCTGGTTCATACTGTGTGGACTACAAGCCTATTCATATCTGCCAGCCAACTCAACAGGAGGGCCATGCACCTTAGGGAAACTGACCATGCTAATGCCATCCCTACAGAGACGACACAGGAGAGCTTTTTATTCCCTAGAGGCAGACTGTGACTCTCAAGTAAGTTTACTCACTAAAGCAGAATATGTTTCATTGGCTGTTTCGCTAGTGGGAGTGCCAGGACTAGCGGTCCGGAATTCCAGAAACCTAAATAGCTTGGCATGTACCCTAGCAAAAAGTTTAAATTCGACTTCCCACGCATTGGATGCCCTAAACAGAGAATTGAGACAAGTCAGGGAGGCCACCCTTGAGAATCGCGCAGCGATTGATTATTTATTACTAAAACACCATCATGGCTGCGAAGAATTTAAAGGGTTGTGCTGTTTTGACTTGGAACAAAACTCAAAACTTGTAGACACAGAAGTCAACCACCTAGAGGAACTGGCACAAAACATTGGCCATAGCCAGCCATCCCTAGATCTTTCTTGGCTTTTTTCTTGGTTACCAGACTTCTCTTGGCTCAAAATTGCCCTAACAGGTGCGGTCACTATCTGTGTACTGGGAGGCCTTTTGTGTTGTCTCTGTCATTGCATCCCTCCCTGTCTTAGCTGCATAAGGGCATGTAAGCCAGATCTTCCCCAGAGAAAAGCAGGACATAATCAAACAGCCCTCATGATGGTCCAGATTGATCAGGAGTACCAGATCTACTCCGATTCAGAAGTAACCCAAACAGAAGACAAAGAGACACCCATTTAACACATGCACACACACAGAAAAGAGAGAAAAAGAAGTGGGGATTGTAGGAAGGGAACACCACCAAGACAGTGTCAAAACCTCATCAACTCATGAAGGGGAAAACCCAGACATAAGGAAATGACCTTCCCAAAATAGAACACATAGATATCAGAGTCAGATAGAATTAAAAAAGGAAATCCCAGGAAACGATACACAAAGACTCTAGACAAGATCAGGAAAGAAACTATTAACAGCAGAATAAAAACAAAAGGTATGGCAGGGGATTAACCAAGGAAAAGATTTAATCAATAACCCAAAGCAATATGATAAGAGTCAAACCGGGGGTAAGGGCTTACCAAATAATAACATGATCATCTTAAGGGAGGAAGCAAATAATGAATCAGGAGAAAACAAAAGAATACCAAATCAGATAACACAAACACCACCTAGTCTGAAGTAGGAAACGATCAGAATAAGAAAAACAGAGCACACACACAAAGGAAACATAGACAAAAGTAACAATAGAAAACAAAGGATTCCCTTTGATCAAGAGGGTATAAGAATGTATGCTTACCTGGTAAAGATGTGAGCTCACCCAGGAACGCTGGTCTGCGACATCGCTCGATCTGACTTCCTGAAAAATAAAGAAAACTTGCTTTCACGCAGCTTGCTTCTCTCGCAGTTTTGCGCGGCGCTGGAACGCTCTCCCAGCCGGGAAATTCGAATCCTCGGGGGGGGGGGAAACCTCTCCTCCCTTCTAACAGTGTACCGAGACGCTGGTTCACATCCATCTGAAGTCTGTCCTGCGTTTGCAAAAGGACTTTCGGTCGGAGGAGCAGAATGGCAAGAAGAGCCACTGTGAGCCATTTCGGGAGATGTGGGACTTTGATCCTCAAACGATAAGAATCCTCCCACAGAGCAAAATAAATAAAGGCTTTCAGTTTTCAAGCTAAGGGAAAGGAATAAAAGAAAAGAAAAAGTGAGGAAAAAAAGAGAGCTGCCTTCGTAGACATCGATAGGATGTTCTTGTTCACAAACATTTAACGGAAGACAGAGAAGACACTGCTTTTAAACACTTTCATAGCTGAAAAGATGCGAGTTACCTCACCAGGATCCGTCGACTGGCTGCAAGCGATCAAGTGCCCAGCTCCGAACTCCTCCCACCCGCCCGGGATTCCAGGCTCCATCCACCTCGCAGCTCCACCCTCGCCTTTGAGTTGGAGATTAGATTCGCACCTGCGCACTCTTCTGCAGCCAATCTTAACGGTTAGAGAAAATGGCATTGTTTCTAGAGTCCTCCCAAGTGATGGGCCCCTCCCTCTCCTGCGAAGACTCGCTTCTCCTCCTTCCCCGCTGGGCTGGGCTGGGCTGGGCAGCGCTTGCTCTCCTGACAGCGCCCCCTCGTAGATCCCGCCTGCCAATTGCGCAAAGCGAGCGACTCTGCCCCGTTTCCATCTAGTCCGCGATCCGTCGAGTTTCTGATCCCGAAATCGGTTCTTGCTCTAGTTTTCCGTTTGCGGTCGGGGGCAAAAGGGATCCGTCGGGGCTGCCAGCGTGGCAGACAGGTCTGTCTTTAAAACTCAGGTCTTTCTCCCACAGATTATGTTTTTTATGGTTTTTCTTTCCTTTGACTGTTTTTCATAGGGCTTTCTTGTGGGTTTTGGGTGCAGGTCCAGCTTCACTTTTGCAAGGCTGACAAGATTCTAGACCTAGTTGAGTTTAGACAGGTCATCCTCAACTTATGATTACCATTGAGGCCCAAATTTTTGCAGCTAAGTGAGACAGTTCTTAACTGAATTTCCCCCCAACTTAAGACCTTTCTTCCATAGTTGTTAAGTGAAGCACTGCAGCTGTTTTCTTAGTAACACGGTTGTTAAATGAATCTGGTTCCTGATTGATTTTGCTTGCCAGGTCACAAAAGGGGAAATCACGTGAAGACCTGGACACTGCAGCCGTCATAAATATGAGTCAGTCGCCAAATGTCTGAATTGTGATCACTCAGTCCATGGGGATGTGCAATGGTCATGAGTATGAAAAATGGTCATCAGTCACTTTTTACAGTGCCGTTGTAACTTTCAACGGTCACTAAATGAACTGTTATAAGTCAAGGAAAAGTTGCACATGTCCTCACAGAAACACATTTATATGTCTGGCACAATAAACACAACCACATCACAAGTTTACCACAGGAAGTGCCATAAAGATGTTTTTTTACACCAAAGACAAATTCCTTGTGTGTCCAATCACACTTGGCCAATAAAGAACAACCGGAACAACAATAAGTGTCAATGGGGCATGTTGGAGAGCAATACAAACTAGAGATGGCTCCCTTGCCCCAAAAGAGAATAAAACATTGATTGGTCTCATTTAAGATGATGATGAATCTGCATACAACGGGAGGTTGAACAACTAGCCTTATGGTGTGACCGAACAATCTGAATGACTGCAACCTTATTGCTTGTATCCTTATGATTTATATTGATATTTTTTCCCGATTGCTTATTTGTACCCTATGACTATCATTAAGTGTTGTACCTTATGATTCTTGATGAACGTATCTTTTATGTACACTGAGAGCGTATGCACCAAGACAAATTCCTTGTGTGTCCAATCACACTTGGCTAATAAAATTCTATTCTATTTTATTTCTAATAATTCTAATTCTAATTAATTCTATTCTATTCAAATGTAAGGTTTTTTTTGCAGGAACTGGGTATGGTTAGTCTGGAGAAACTAGGGGGGGACATGATAGCAGTATTCCAGTATTTGAAGGGCTGCCACAAAGAGGTTCAACTTATTTTCCAAAGCGCCAGAAGGCAGGACAAGAAACAATGGATGGATATTAATCAAGGAGAGAAGCAATCTGGAATTGAGGAGAAACTTCCTAACAGTCAGGACAATTAACCAGTGAAACAGCTTGCCTTCAGATGTTGTGGGCAGTGGCGAAATCTAAAAATTTTCCCTACCAGTTCTGTGGGCGTGGCTTGGTGGTCATGTGACCGGGTGGGTGTGGCGTGGCAAACTTGACATCACTTCACTCACTGTTAGAGCCAGGAACTGCACATTCTGCCCTTCTGAAGCCCCCAACACTTTGAGTTTCCCTCCGTCATCTGCCTTGAGTGCCCAAGTGAACCTCGGAGCCTTCTCTTGCCCCGCTCTCCATCCCAGAGGGCTGTGCATCCCTCCCTGCCAATTCTCTGTACAAATCACCTGCCCCATTTCTACAAAGGCGGAGCCCCCCCCCCACCTGCAGGGTGATCCAAAGAGGGGACAGGGATGCGGCAGAAAAGGCCGCCTTCCACCCCTCCCAGCTCCGAGGGGCTTGGGGCTCTGAAGCAGCCCACTGGCTTCCCACCTGGCCACCTGCCTGCTCTCTCTGACTGCCAGCACTACTCCAGGAACACAGCCTGTGGAATCCGGCGCTCCTGGGGAAGGAGGCTCAGCCACGGCGCCACTTCCTGCTGGTGAAGAAGTGGACCGAGAGAGGTGGAAGTCGCTGGCCCCCGTGCGGGGAGAGGGCTAGGCCCGGCCGTGCCACCCCGGAACTTGCAGCGCTTTCCCTTTTGCCTGGGCAGTAGCACTTATCCGCCATTGCGGGTAGCTCTTCATCTTGGCACTCCCTTGCCCGTCGCCTCTGCATTGCGCTTGAAAGGGGCTGCTGCCATTGCTCTCGCCACCCTCCTTCCGCGGCTGGCTGCAGACGTCCGCCTACCCGAAGCAACCACCCGAAGCAACCCGCTGCCATTCGCTTTCGTTTCACAACGGGAGAAGAAAGAAGGCGAATGGCGGTAGTGCAGCACATTCACGTGTGCATGTGCACATGCATAAGGCCCAGAACGTTCACGGTCCACCTGCCCTCCCGGAGCACTGCCGAGCCATTGCTGTTTGCTTTCTTCCTTCTCCCGCCACGAAACGAAAGCAAATGGCAGCAGGGTTGCTTTGGGCAGCCGGACATCTGCAAGCAAGCAGGGAGTGAGGGTGGTGAGAGCAGCAGCGGCCCCTTCCATGTACAGTGCACAAAGGCAGCAAAGCTGAGCAAGGCGGCCCCGGTAAGCCTATTGCTGTATTGGCCTCTCTGCCCACACCATGTTCCACTCCAGCTGCACGTCTACAAGTGTGGCGACCTACCAGCACTGGCCCACCTAGGTAAGTGCCACCACCCAGGTTGAAGGGAAAGCACCGCAGGCTCTGCAGTGGCACAGCTTGGCCTGGCCTGTTGTTCCCTTACTGTCCATAAGAGGATCCACATGGGAGAGAAACGATATCAGTGCCAGGAGTGTGGAAAGAAACAGCACTTCCCCCTCTTCTCATAACACGATCCACACAATGGAGAACCAACCTACCAGCATATAACATTGAAGGAGCTTTATTCAGAAGAGTGAACGTCTCATAAAAAGAGCCATTTTTATGAGGAGGAGTGGCCATTTACAGACTTGTAGTGTGGAAAGAAGTTCAGTGGTTCCATTTTTTTTATCACAATGTCAAAATGGAAATGCGGTGGATTATGATTACTAAAAAATGAGTGAAGGAAGGGGAAAAGAAAGAATAAAAGAGATGGGCCAGATGAAGGCGATTACAGGAAATCTTTGGGAGAGCTTCAAATTACAACGAGGCTAATATCTTTGTGTAGTAGGTACAGGAAGAATGGACTTGATGCCATCTAATAAGCATAGTCTCAAATGTAATCCCAGCTGGTAAAGATAAGGGATCCCCAGATTTTATTAAAGGGGTTTTTAGGGTTTTTTTAAATTTCCTAACCATTATATTGTTAGCATCTAATCAAGCATATGAAGAAAAGATTAGTAAACAGTTGAGTTCATATGGAAGAATTGAATTTAATAGATCACTGCGATAATTTACCCAGCTAAAAGAGAATATACATTTTATATAACTCTGCTCCAGAATTTTTAAGGTGGATTATTTTTTAATATCAACTTTATATCACAAAATTTAAGAATGTATATTGATATTTGTTTATCCAATGGTTTATGTTTATCTTGTCATAGAATGTTTCAGAAGGTATCAAGGGATTGATATTTCAGTGTTTCCCTGTTGAATAATAAAGAATTTGTACAGACTTTAATTTCAGAAATAGTCTTTCGTGCCTACCTACCTCTGAAGTATTACTTTAACCATATCATTGGCTTTGCTGGCAACCTAAACTATTTGCCTTGACATTTTTAAACTTTATTTTTTTAATATAACTGCCAAATCTTTATAGTACTACCACAGCGTGTTTATACCAAAACACATATCATCATCATCATCATCATCACCTTTTAATGACCCCATAATAACAAATTTTGGGCTCAACTCATTGTGATTCTAAGTCGAGGACTTAGAATTAGTATTCTAAATATTCTTAGTATTAGTATTTCCCCACTTCTGCAATTTCTGAGGTAACTTTTTGTTTTGAAAACAAATTGGATGCCTCTGAGAAACATTCCCATTGAGGAAATTCGATTCCTTTCAATATTCTGGATTTTTCTTTCCTTCAGGACGGCCACAGCTTCTCCTCAGAGATGTCGCAGCAATCATCTTTTCTCAATTTTAGACCGCTATTCCTCAGGGACACAGTTTGCTAGTACCGTATCTTCAAGTCCTACCCTTGAAAAGGACTTTAGGGCAGAATCCCTCGGCACAACTATTATTTTTTAATTAAATTACTATTATAATATTACTACTGTTATTTTACCAGAAGAGGAGGACGTCTTTGTCACTCGGTGCTTCTTCACAGACAGGCGGGAAATCGTAGCCCCGCCCCTTCCAACGGTTCTTTTCCGAAGGTTCGCAAAATGCTTCTAAGGCGTTTTTTTTCCCCTGAGGGGAGTCCGCCAGGACAGCGAAAGGGAGGGCCGGAAGAGTCCCCTGCAATCCTCAATATGGTCTTTCTAGGGAGAACTCGCTCTCTTTAACCCCTGGAAAGCCTGGAGAGAACGAAGACGCCCGGAGCCTTTGATGTCCGTGTCCGCAGCTGCATCCGCGGCTCTCCGGCCTTTTTGGGGATCGAGATCCCCGGCGAGGAAAAGCCTTGGGCGGATCCGTCTCTTTTCCACCGGCACCGAGCAAGAAAGCCGTTTCATTCTTCCAAGGCTGTCTCCGGAGTTTTCCGATTGCAGTGCTTCACTTAACAAATGTGGCAAGAAAAGTTGTAAAATGGGGCAAAATTCACTTAACAGCTGTCTCGTTTAGCAACGGAACTTTTGGGGTCAATTGTGATCATAGGTTGAGGACTACCTGTAGTAGTGACTTTCATGGCATTGGCTTTCTATTTCTAGGATTACCCATCCTAGGGTAAGATGAAATACGGACAAAGATTGGTCTATTTTGGCAAGGAAAAAAACAAGGGAATGGAATGCCTAGAGCAGTGGTGGGGAACCATTTACTTACCGAGTGCCAAACAGGAATGTGCTTCGCGTACTGTGCGCGCTCGCAGGCCATCTGGGCTAATGCACGGCTCCTCCCCATGTGCTGTGTGCACAACAGCACCATCTATGCACAGACCTTTCGCATGCAGCTTTCAAGCACGCGCCCCAACGCACACTGCACACACAATCTCACCATCTGCGCATGCGCATGCAATGCACACGTGATCTGCGCAAGCACGCGCTGCGTACCAGTCGCCTTGAATGCATGTACAAACATGCAGAGGAGAGCTGTGAAGACCAGCTGGGTCCCCTGAATTGCGCATGTGTGCCAAAGGCCTGAACACCAGCTGGGGTGCACACACATGCACAGCTTCGGGTAAGTTTGGCAACGGCTCATGTGCCTGGAACAATGGCTATGCGTGCCACTTCTGGCACACTGCCATAGTTTCGCCATCACAGGCCTAGAGAGAATTGAGATGAAGGCCTGCACTTTATTATTGGAATTGGGGTCACAGGGTTGGTAGAAGTTAATTTAATTTAATTTAATTTAATTTCCAATTTATATACCGCCCTTCTCCCTGAGGACTCAGGGCGGTGTACAGCCAAGATAAAAAAACATAGGATACAAATATTAAAACATTTAAAAATATATATAAATTTTGGCCCGAAAGTTAAGAATCACAGACTAATTAAAAGAATTTAAAAATTTTAAAATTTTAAAAATTTCTTCTTAGGCCAACCCGGCTTGTTGAAAAAGATGGGTTTTCAGGGAACGACGGAAGGCATTGAGGTCCTGGATTCTTCTTATCTCCGGGGGCAACTGATTCCAGAGGGTAGGAGCCCCCCACAGAGAAGGCCCTCCCCCTGGGGGCCACCAGCCTACATTGTTTGGCTGATGGCACCCTGAGGAGGCCCTCTCTGTGGGAGCGCACGGGTCGGTGGGAGGTCGTCGGTAGCAGCAGGCGGTCTCGGAGATAGCTAGGCCCTATGCCATGGAGCGCTTTAAAGGTGATAACCAACACCTTGAAGCGCACCCGGAAGACCACCGGGAGCCAGTGCAGCTCGCGCAGGAGCTGTGTTACATGGGAGCGCCATGTTGCTCCCATCACTACCCGCGCTGCTGCATTCTGGACCAGCTGGAGCCTCCGGGTGCTCTTCAAGGGGAGCCCCATGTAGAGAGCGTTGCAGTAGTCAAGGCGAGAGGTGACGAGGGCGTGAGTGACTGTGCACAAGGAATCCCGATCAAGAAAGGGCCGCAACTGGCGAATCAGGCGAACCTGATAAAAGGTCCCCCTGGTAACAGCCGTCAGATGTTCCTCCAAAGACAGCTGCCTATCCAGGAGGACTCCCAGATTGCGAGCCCTTTCAGTGGGGGCCAAAGACTCGCCCCCAATAGTCAGTGATGGAGTCAACTGACTATATCGGGATGCCGGGAGCCACAGCCACTCAGTCTTGGAAGGGTTGAGCCTGAGCCTGTTCCTCCCCATCCAGATCCGCACAGCCTCCAGGCACTGGGACATCACTTCAAGGGCATCGTTGGGGTGGCCTGGGGTGGAAATGTACAGCTGGGTGTCATCAGCGTACTGGTGGTATCTCACCCCAAAGCCACGGATGATCTCGCCCAGCGGCTTCACATAAATGTTGAACAGAAGGGGCGAGAGGACCGATCCCTGCGGCACTCCACAAATGAGAGGCCTCGAGGTCGACCTCTGCCCCCCTGCCAACACAAACTGCGACCGGTCGGAGAGAAAGGAGGAGAACCACCGCAACACGGTGCCTCCCACCCCCAACTCTTCCAGCCGGTGCAGCATGATACCATGGTCGATGGTATCAAAAGCCGCTGAGAGATCTAATAGGACCAGAACAGAGGAGTAACCCCTGTCCCGAGCCCTCCAGAGATCATCCGCCAACGCGACCAATGCCGTTTCCGTGCTGTGCCCAGACCTGAAACCCGACTGGAACGGATCTAGATAGGATGTTTCCTCCAGGAATTGTGGAAACTGTTGCGCGACCACACTCTCAACAACCTTCGCAATGAAGCGAAGGTTGGAGACAGGACGATAATTAGCCAATATTGCTGGGTCCAGGGACGGCTTCTTGAGGAAAGGCCTCACCACCGCCTCTTTCAGGGCAGCGGGGAAGTGACCCTCACTCAACGAAGCATTAATGACGCCCTGGAGCCAGCCTCGTGTAACCTCCCGGGAAGCCAGTACCAACCAGGAGGGACACGGGTCCAGTAAACATGTGGCCGCACTAAGTCTCCCCAAAATCCTGTCCACATCATCGGGAGTCACAGCATCAAACTCCTCCCAGATAACATTCTCAAGACTGTTCCTCGTCACCCTGCCCTGATCTACCCAGTCAGAGTCCAAATCCCCCCGGATCTGAGCGATTTTGTCATACAGGTATTGTCCGAAATCCTCCGCCCTGCCTTCTAAGGGATCCTCCCGCACTCCCAGATGGAGCAGGGCGCGGGTCACCCTAAACAGGGCGGCCGGACGATTCCCTGATGACGCAATAGAGGCGGAAAAGTAGTTAGACTTTGCCGTCTTTATCGCCACTAGGTAGGTCTTAATATGCGACCTTACCAGTGTTCGATCAGATTCAGCGAGACTGGCCCTCCAACCGCTCTCCAGGCGTCTTTTCCGGCGCTTCATTTCCCTCAGCTCCTCAGTAAACCAAGGAGCCGCCCGGGATCGGCATCGGGTCAGAGGCCGCAAAGGCACAACTCGGTCCAAGGCCCCACCAGCCGCCCGATCCCAGGCGGCTACCAGGTCCTCGGCCGAGTCATGTGCTAGATCCTCAGGAAATGGCCCAAGCTCCGTCTGGAACCTATCAGGATCCATCAGGCGCCTGGGGCGGATCCATCTAATTGGGTCCGCCTCCCTGCGGCGAGGGGTCGCGGTTCGAAGATCTAGGCGAAGGAGTGAGTGGTCAGTCCATGACAAGGGTTCCATGTCTATATCCCCTATAACAAGACCACTCAACCACTGGCCAGAGACAAAAATCAAATCCAGAGTGTGACCTCCCCTGTGAGTAGGGCCGTGAACTAACTGGGTCAGGTCCATGGCCGTCATGGAAGCCATGAACTCCCGAGCCACCTCAGACGTTTCACCGACGGATGGCAAGTTGAAATCACCCATGACTAAAAGCCTGGGTGTATCTACTGCCACCGTGGCTATCACGTCGAGTAGCTCAGGTAGGGCTGTTGCCACGCGGCAGGGAGCCAGGTACGTAAGCAACAAGCCCATCTGAACCCCACGGCCCCACCTCACAAGGAGGGACTCACATCCGGCTATCTGAGGCACAGTGGTCTCCCTCGGATCCAGAGATTAAAAAGCTTCTGAAACACACAAACGCCCTTTAACCAGGTACTTTAGACTCAGGGACTCGGAAATTCTCCCAACACACCCTTGCTTAATCTAAAGTTGCCCATGAGTCAAATACATTCATATCATACATTTACGGAAGGTGCCCCCATGCCATAGTTCATTTGCAACACTGACTGGGAACATTCACAAATGAGCAGGCGGCATAGCTATGAATGCCAGATCCTTGCTGGAATTAGACTTCCATTATTGTGAGACCAACTATTTTCTCAGCCCTCTTTCTGGTTCGTGCATTGTATAGCTCAATGGAAGGGAGGTTGGGTGTGATTGTTTTTTCCGCAACTATCCGTTCAAATCTGTAGCTGTCCTGTTTGGTTGCCATGCCAAACCAGACAATTATTGAGGTACAAATGACAGACTCAATTAGTTGTAACTCTTCCAAGAATTACAACTTACAGTTGATGTCATCCCCCATATTATCATCTTAAATCTTATAAAATTGAGGAGCACCTGGAGGCTCCAACTGGCGCAGAGTGCTGCCTTGCGGGTGGTTATGGGAGCGACATGGCGTTCCCATGTAACACCTCTCCTGCACGAGCTGCACTGGCTCCCGGTGGTCTTCTGTGTGCGCTTCAAGGTCTTGGTTACCACCTTTAGAGCGCTCCATGGCTTAGGACCTGGTTATCTACGGGACCGTCGGCTGCCATCAGTAGCCTCCCACCGGCCGGTACGCTCTCATAGAGAGGGGCTCCTCCAGGTGCCGTCGGCCAAACAATGTCGACTGGCGGCCCCCAGGGGAAGAGCCTTCTCTGTGGGGGGACCTACCATCTGGAACGAGCTCCCCCCGGAGATACGGAGGATCCCGGATCTGCGCACCTTCCGCCGTGCTCTCAAGACCTTTTTATTCCATCAGGTTGGCCTGGCCTAACTTTCCCTTTTTCCCTTTTAAAATGTAAATTTTAATCTGTTCTTAATTATTGGGGTGTTTTAAATCTGTCTTGGGCCAAATTGTTTAATTCGGTTTTATTTTGCTTTTAAATTTTGTATTTATGTGCTTTGTGTTCACCACCCTGAGTCCTTCGGGAGTAGGGCGGTATATAAATCAAATAAAACTAAATTAAAACTAAAACTAAAAAAAAAATGAAATGAAAAGATAATATATCCATCATCCATCCATCCATCCATCCATCCATCCATCCATCCATCCATCCATCCAATTTCTTAACCACCCAGCTCCCTGATAGAGGGATACTGGGCAATAATTCCTGGTTTTCCTTCCTTCAACTACACCAGTTTATTTTAGCCCATGATCCACTTCCATGACATTTCCTTGTGTGGAAAAAGACAAATTCCTTTCGTATCCAATAATATTTGGCCTATAAAGAATTCTAACATTTCTTTACGAGGATCTTAACCTCAGAACTGGGGTCTCTAAACTTCTGTCCAGTCTGTGCACTCATATGGTTTCTCCCATGTGGATCCTTCTGTGGGAAGTCACAGAACTACTATTTCTAAAGCTTATTCCACAGTCCACACAGTTGTACAGTTTCTCCCCCGTGTGGATCCTTTTATGAGAACTAAGGGAACTCCTTACACTAAAACTCTTCCCACACTCCAGACATTGATATGGCTTCTCCCCAGTATGGATTCTCGTGTGGGAAGTCAGGGAACTTCTCGTAATGAAGCTTTTTCCACATTCCGTACATATGTATGGCTTCTCTCCCGTGTGGGTCTTTTTATGGGATGCCAGGGAACTGCTCATGCTAAAACACTTCCCACACTCCAGACATTTATATGGCTTCTCTCCTGTATGGGTCCTTTTATGGGAAGTGAGGTGACTTCCATCACTGAAGCGCTTCCCACACTCCAGGCACTGATATGGTTTCTCCCCTGTGTGGATCCTCTTATGGGTAGTGAGATGACTTACTTCACTGAAGCGCTTCCCGCACTCCAGGCACTGATACGGTTTCTCCCCTGTGTGGATCCTCTTATGGGAAGCAAGGTTGCTTTTCCGAGAGAAGCCTTTCCCACACTCCGTACATTGATAGGGTTTCTCCCCGCTGTGGATTCTCATGTGAGAAGTGAGGTAAGTTCTCTTAATGAAGCTTTTTCCACACTCCAAGCATGGATGTGGTTTCTCTCCTTGGTGGATCCTTTCATGGGTCATAAGGTGACTTTTCTGAAGGAAGCTCTTCCCGCAATCCATGCATTGATTTGTATTCTCCCGGATGTGACTCTTTTGATGGTTACTGAGATGGCTACTCTGGCTGAAGCTCTCTCCACATTCCACATAGTTATATAATTTCTCCCCAAGCGATATATTTTGATCTAAAGTAAGAGGAAAGGCCCGTTCCCTGTTTTCATGTTGTGTCTCGACAGGTGGCCTTCTGCAATATCCACACAATCCTGATTCCTCCTTCAATATTTTTCCACAGCCTGGACACATTCCGGTTTCTTGGTGATTTTTTTCAGCCTGGAGCGCATTGTTATCTCCACAATGAAAAGCGAGGGCTTTCTCTGGCTCTCCATTTAGCTGGTTTTCCTCAGGACTTTGGACTCCCCACTGACATCGGAACATCCTTTCTCCAATTTCATTGTTGACTGTTGGCAAGTGCTCTATCATCTCCTTCTTAGAGTCCTCGTTCTCCCACCTTTTGCCTGATTGCGACAAAAAGAAACCAAAAGGTGACTTTCATGAGATGTTCAAAGCCCAAGCTAAGGCACCCTCAGGGATCAAGCTCTATTGCCACATCCTGTATTTGAACATTACAATTTATGAGCCCTGGTGGCGCAGTGGTTAGAATGCAGTTTTGCAGGCTAATTCTGCTGACTGCCAGTAAACCAACCACACTCAATGTGTAGTTGTTAATGGAACTGCATGTGTATCAAGGGTCACCAAACTTTCGGACTTCAGGGACCACTAAATTCATCATTTTAAATCCCGTGGACCACTAATTTGATCTGCCTAATGACTAGTCGGGTGGGCATTGCTCGGTGGTCACGTGACTGGCTGGGCATGGCCAACTCGATGCCACTCACATCGAGGGGCACCTCGCCGGCCTCTACTCGCCCCTCCCCTCCCAGCTTCTCCTCATCTGCCCACCTGGGCTCCTTAGGGCCCCAAAAGAAAGCAGTTGTTGGAGCTAAGCAGCCACCACGAAAAAGAGTTGGCAAAACAGGTCAGTTCAACTTGGATCTGGCCAAGGAGGAGGCTCAACAGAAGCACCTCATTGACGTCGAAGAGTACCTCAGAGTACCTCAGCAGGCTGAGATGGTAAGCCAGTTCCAGGCCATGATGCAGTCCCACTGAAACGAGGCCCTCTGGCTCCTTGCCACCAGTGGCACTTCCCTCCAGCCTTTGCCCCAAACCCCACACCAGGAGGCCAAAGCAGACCGTGAGTCGGAATTTCTGCCCCCATCAAACCCGCACAAAAAGACCCCAAAGGTGGAGAATCTCTGCAGCATCACAAGCGTTCATTGCATGTATCTAGCCCAGGAGCTGTAGTTTGAGGACCCCTGATTTAGTGCAATATAAAAAATGCAAATAATTTTTCTGCGGACCACCAAAATTTTCTCGCGGATCACCAGTGGTCCACAGACCACCAGTTGGTGACCACTGATCTATATGGAGGGAAGTATGCAGTGGGATACCCCAAGGCTCTGTTTTAGGCCCAGTACTCTTCAACATCTTCGTCAATGACTTGGACAAGGGGATAGATGGGGAACTCATCAAATTTGCAGATGACACCAAGTTGGCAGGAATTGCCAACACTCAATTCAAAATTCAATTCAATTCTAAGGGTAACGGGATGTGAAATAGTTAAAAAAGTCAAGTATTTAGGAGTTTATATTGCATCTTCTAATGGTAAATTGTATAAGTATAATTATGAATTGATATGGCATAAAATACAAGTTGAAATGGATAATTGGAAAAAACTACAATTGTCCTTGTTGGGTAGAATAGCAGTTATAAAAATGAATGTGTTGCCTAGGTTTTTGTTCCTCTTTCAAATGATACCAATACTAAAAAAGGATGCCAACCTGGAAGAGTGGCAGAAAGGTATTAATAAGTTCGTATGGCAAGGTAAGAAACCAAGGATAAAACTGAAAATAATGCAGGACATACGAGAAAGAGGAGGACTGAAAATGCCAAATTTAAAATTGTACTATGAAGCAGCTGTTTTATCAGCAATTAGTGATTGGATTAATTTAACAAATGGAAGGATATTGAATATTGAAGGGTATGATCTGGTCTATGGTTGGCATGCTTATTTAGTGTATGAAAAAAGGGTGGACAGAGCATTTAAGAGTCATATACTGAGAAATGCTTTATTGCGTGTCTGGAAGAAATATCAATATAAGTTAAATGAAAAAATACCTATATGGACAGCACCCAGGCACGCAATAGAGAATACGAGTATAGAATGTAGACAGGATGTAATTACGTATAAAGATATTCTCATTATGGAGGGAGGTATATTAAAATTAAAATCTGTGAATGTGTTGAAAGAGGAGAAAATAATTCAAACATGGTTTCAATATGTACAGTTACAAGCCAGATGGAGAAAAGACCAGAAAACTGGTGTTATACAAAGTGACGAAAATTTAATTAAACAAATTAGAGATCAAAGCCCAATGCATATAAAAAGATTGTATAATATATTGATAGAGATGGACTCGGAAACAGAGCTAGTTAAGGACTGTATGATAAAATGGGCGCAGAATTTTGAACAGCCAATAATGATGGAAACGTGGGAGAAAATATGGGTAACAAATGTGAAATTTACCAAAGCGCAAAATTTAAGGGAGAACTTTTATAAAATGTTTTATAGATGGCATCTAGATCCAAAAAAGTTATCTCGTATGTACCCGAATGTACAACCAAAATGTTGGAGATGTAATTGTGAGGATGCTACTTATTTTCACATTTGGTGGACATGTAAAAAGGTTAAAGCGTTTTGGATTAAAATCTGGTGGATTTTACAAAATATTCTTAAAAAGAGGTTGAAATTTACACCACAGCTGTTTCTTTTGGGTATAGTCACGGATTGTACAGTTATAGAGACTAAATTGATTTTGAATTTAATAACTGCAGCAAGACTGTTGGTGGCACAATATTGGAAGAAGCAAGGTTTACCTACAATCCAAGAGTGGACAATGAAAGTTATAAATCTAGCGGAAATGGCAAAAATCTCGGCGTACCTGAAGGATCATTCAAATGAAAGATATTTAAGAGACTGGAGAAGGTGGATAGATTATATTCAAAATAAATATCGGAATAAGAAATTGCAGATAGGTTATGAATGATTATATAGATATTTAGTGTGTCTTTAAGTAATAAAGCTAGGCGGGTAATTAGGGAATTGAAGAAACAAGAGATGTGAAATGTCATAATTGTTTAGATTAGGATTGATTATGATTGTTGAAGTTTATACCCTGTAATTTGTTCTGGGAAGGGGAGGGGGGGGAGGGGGGAGGTTGAGGTAGGGAAGGGGGGGAGAAATATGTAAACTTTTTGTAAAACTTTTCAATAAAAAAAAAAAAATTCAATTCAATTCAAAACAGTCAATACTACACACTAGTAGTAACTGTGAGAGATATCTTAGAGTCCTAGTGGAAAATCATTTAAATATGAGCCAGCAGTATGCAACAGCTGCCAAAAAAAGCCGACACAGTCCTAGGCTGCATAAACAGGGTTAGAATCAAGATCAGGTAAAGTGTTAATACCACTTTATAACGCCTTGGTAAGCCCACACTTGGAATATTGCATTCAGTTTTGGTCGCCATGAGGTAAAAAAGATGTGGAGAGTCTAGAAAGAGTGCAGAGAAGAGCAACAAAGATGATTAGGGGACTGGAGGCTAAAACATGAAGAACGGTTGCAAGAACTGGGTATGTCTAGTTTAATGAAAAGAAGGATTAGGGAAACATGATAGCAGTGTTCCAATATCTCAGGGGCTGCCACAAAGAAGAGGGAGTCAAACTATTCTTCAAAGCACCTGAGGGTAGAACAAGAAGCAATGGGTGGAAACTAATCAAGGAGAGAAGCAATTTAGAACTAAGGAGAAATTTCCTGACAATTAGAAAATTAATAAGTGGAACAATTTGCCTGCAGAAGTTGTGAATGCCCCAACACTGGAAAATTTTAAGAAGATGTTGGATAACCATTTGTCTGAAGTGGTGTAGGGTTTCCTGCCTGGGCAGGGGGTTGGATTAGAAGACCTCCAAGGTCCCTTCCAACTCTTATTCTATTCTATTCTATTCTATTCTATTCTATTCTATTCTATTCTATTCTATTCTATTCTATTCTATTCTATTCTATTCTATTCTATTCTATTCTACCCTACCCTACCCTACCCTACCCTACCCTACCCTACCCTACCCTACCCTACCCTACTCTTTTGATTCTGACCAGCTCAAGGTTACCTGACCTTCCATCCTTCTGAGGTCGGTAAAATGAGAAGCCAGATTGTTGGGGGTAAGTTGGTGACTCTGAAACTCCTTAGAGAGGGCTGTAAAGCAGTGTGAAGTGGTATATAAGTCTAAGTGCTATCGTTAACACTACAACTGAGCCCAAAATTTCTAAGCGAGACAATTGTTAAGCGAGTTTTATCCCTTTACGAGTTCCTTGTCGTGAATTACTGCAGTTGTTAACTTAGTAACATGGTTCTGAAGTGAATCTGGCTTCTCCACTGACTTTGCTTGTCAGAAAGCCGCAGGTGATCACATGACCCCAGGACACTGCAACCGTCATAAATACATGCCAGTTGCCAAAGCGTCTGAATGTTGACCACACAACTGTACAGATACTGCAACAGTCATAAATGTGAAAAATTGTTCAGTCACTTTTTTATCTGACGTTGTAACTTCAGTCACTAAATAAATGTTTGTATGACTACCTGCCATAGTAACAGGGAGGGAGGGCATGGCATTGGGGTTTGGGAAGTGAGCTGGTGTGAAGAAGGCCCACCTGAATATAAAGGGAGGTTTGCTCTCCGGAATTACTGCGCTGCTAAATGGAGTTGTTTACATCCAGTCAAGGCCAACCGCCGCCCTGTAATTCCAGATGGACGAAAACACCTGAAGATGTGTCCCACATGACACTATGTGGGATGGGGATTGGACATTCAGCCTGGGTCCCTGGGAGGAGGGATTTGGGGAAACCTTCAATATGTACCTTTCCCGCCTTTTGGCTCAGATCTTGCCTTTCCTTCAGGGCTATCATTTCAAACTCAGTAAAAGTACCTCTTCTCTACTTCAGTGGATTCGGCGGTTTTCCTTCTTGGGTATTGAACGGAGGCAGGCCTGACACTTACCTATGCAGGTCACATTCCTTGCATTTTCCAACATGATCTCCCTGTACAGCAATTTCTGGTCAGGATTCAGCAGGGCCCACTCCTCTTCAGAAAAAAATATGGCTATATCTTCAAATGACATGTGATTCTGAAACTGAAAAAAAAAATCCCTCTTAATGTACAGTTCCAAGTTGTACCAGAGGTTGTAAGTTGAGGATTACTTGTACCACCTGAAAATCGCCCAAGATCACTCTGAGAGTGAGATCTAATTAATTAATTAATTAATTACACACACACATACAAATAAATAATTATTTATCAAGTATAGATACCTCCCATCCCAAATCTCAGAGTGACTCTGGGCAATTTTCACAGAGTTCAGGTAGTTCTCAATTTATGGCCACAATTGAGTCCAAAAATTATGTTGTTAAACAAGACAGTTGTAAAGTCAGTTTTGGCCCCATTTTACAACCTTGTTTGCCGCAATTGTTAAAAACATGGTTGTTAAGTGAACCTGGCTTCCCCCTTGACTTTGCTGATCAGAAATTTGCAAAAGGGGATCACATGATCCCAGGACATTGCAACCGTCATAAACATAAACCAGTTGCCAAGTATCCTAATTTTCATCATGACCATGGAGATGCTGCAACCGTCATAAGTGTGAAACATGGTCCTAAGTCATTTTTTCCAGTACTGTTGTTACTCATTGTCGTTTCCTGACAGTTAGAAAATCAATGGAACAAACTACCTCCAGAAGTTGAGAATGATCTAAGTGGAAGTTTTTAAGAAGAGACTGGACAACCATCTCTCTCTGGGCACAATGAGAATATATCTGCTAAATAGAACTCCGCATTGGCAACAGGAAGGGCGTCCGGCTAGTAAACACTCAGCTCCATTCAGCTGCCCAGACTCCACCCTGCAAGGGATTATGGGGTCATTAAAAGATGATGATGACTGGACAACCATTGGTTAGAAATGGTATAGGGTTTCCTGCCTGAACAGGTGTTTGGACTAGAAGACCTCCAAGGTCCGTTCTAACTGTTGTTCTGTTCTGTTCTGTTCTGTCCTGTTCTGTGCTGTTATTCTATTCTATTCTATTCTATTCTATTCTATTCTATTCTATTCTATTCTTCTATCCTATCCTATCTAGTCCCATTCCATTCCTTTCCATTTATTCTATTCTGATTCCATTCTATTAAATGGATGATTCTAAGCCGAAGATCACCTGATTCTGCAGGATCTCCAAACTCATTCAGTGATAACAACCCTCATATCTTTCTGGATCAGCTGGTGGGATAGGCATTGGATCTCTTTTCCTTCCTGGAAAATTGTTTCTCCTCAACTAAGTCTTGTTTCCATGTTTTAACCAGTGGAAATAGATCCTAGTTCTCTTTTCTACTGCGCAAATTCCACTAGATGTCTGGTGTAAGTAAGTGTTTTTCCAGATAACTTTCCTGGGAAAAAAAACTGACAGAACTCAAAAGTTTCTGACTGAAAATATATCTGAATAAATGTTTTATTCTTATTGCTGATTTTGCAGGATTTTAAAACTTGTTTTGGTTGCTAGCAAACAGTAGGTTCTGGAACAACTGATGGGATGAATCTTGGATGCACCACTGATCAGAGTTTTCAGGGCTTCCTGGAAGGTGACTTCCTCAACACAGTGCTGGGACAATCCTAGTTGATACGTTAACAGCTTCCTTATGTTGTCTCTGACAGGAACACACAGTTCAAGAGCTATATGAAGTTGCTGGAAAAGGCCTTCTAGAAGCATGAGATGCCAGCAATGTTCAGATGATACCAGGAAACTGCTCCTACTCTGAAAAAAAATGGCTAGAAGGGAGCAAATTAAGGGAACTAACTTTGGAAGAGAAATCCAGCTTGCTTTGGAATGCTCCTTGTCAAAACCACATTTGGACACTAAAGGAGAAAAGAATCCTCCTCAAAATAGCAGAGTTAGAAAGGACCTTGGAGGTCTTCTAGTCCAACCCCTCCACTCAAGCAGGAGACCCTTTACCATTTCAGAGAAATGGTTGTCCAGTCTCTTCTTAAAAACCTTCAGTGATGGAGCAGCCACAACTTCTAAAGAAAAGCTGTTCCACTGGTTAATTGTTCTCATTGTCAGGACATTTCTTAGTTCTAGGTTGCTTGTCTGCTTGATTTTCCCATCCATTGCTTCTTGTCCTGCCTTCAGGTGCTTTGGAGAAAAGCTTGACTCCCTCCTCTTTGTGGCAGCAAAGAGTAAATATATATCTAAGGGGCCCCTTATATGTTTTAGGTGCTTCTGATCAACTTGATGCTATGATGCTCCTAATCATCTTTATTGCACATGATGGCCTATGTCACGCCTAGTCCTTCTTTTCATTAAACTAGACATACCCAATTCCTGCAACTGTTCTTCGTATGTTTTGGCCTCCAGTCCCCTAATCATTTTCATTGCTCTTCTCTCCACTCTTTCCAAAATCTCAACATCTTTTTTATATTGCAATGATCAAAACTGGATGCAATATTCTGAGTGTAGGTCTTACCAAGGCATTATAAAGTGGTACTAACACTTCAGGCGAGCTTCATCCCTCCTACCTGAGTTGGAATAACAACAGCAGTTTCAGTTCCACCACAAAGCAAAGGTGTTTCTGCAGGAAACCTCAGGGTTGCTCCATTCCCTGATAAGACAGAAATGGAAGAAGACATTTTGAAAACATTCCTGCTGCATTCTCGAGCAAAACTATACCATAATTTCGTGTGTTTGTGTGTGTGTGTGTGTGTGTGTACACAAAAAAATTAAAAGGAGCCTTCTTTCACACCAGTCGGACTGCAAGTAAGCAATATCAATAGACTTATGTACCGCTTCATAGTGCTTTACAGCTCTCTAAGCAGGTTACAATCAACATATTACCCCCAATAATCTTCCTCAACAGTTTTTATGTTGACAATGAGCATCATGGGAAGCAAGGTAGATTTGTACATGGTATAAATGACCCAATGTCAAAATATTAATTCCAAGTTCCATATTGGGAAGTGATCTGATAGGGAACCCCAGATTGATAGTACGAAATAATGACGTGGGGTGTAATCTGTACCCCCATAGGATCCAGGAGGAATGAGAAACAAGGGAAACCTATACCGTTTAGTGATTGTTTGAAGTTGCAATGGCAGGTAAACAAGTGACTGATGACCATTTTTCACACTTACCACCGTGGCAGTATCCCTGTAGTCATTTGTTTATTTATTGTATTTATTTATTTATTGGTTCGATTTATATGCCGCCCTTCCCCGGAGACTCAGGGCGGCTTACAATGTGTTAAGCAATAGCCTTCATACTTTTGTATATACCTGCTTAGTAGGGCTTTCGGGCCCCCCTAAGCGGTGCTCTTTTTTTATACAAAGTCAGCTTATTGCCCCCACAATCTGGGTCCTCATTTTACCTATCTCGAAAGGATGGAAGGCTGAGTCAACCTTGAGCCTGGTGAGATTTGAACTTGCAGTAACTGCAGGCAGCTGGTGTTACTTAACAGGACTTTAGTTTGCTGCGCCATCAAGGCTCTTGTGACCAAATTTTGGATGCTTGGCAACTGGCATGTATTTATGACATTCACAGTGTCCTGGGGTCATGTGATCACCTGCAACTTTCCAACAAGCAGTCAATGGAGAATCCAGATTCACTTTACAACCATGTTGTTAAGAACTGCAGTAATTCACTTCACAAATGTCCCAAAGTTGCTTTTTAAAGAGGCAGTTGCAACTTTGGGACAAACATGACCTGGATGACTGAGAATCTCCATAGATACTTAACAACTGTGGCAAAGAAAGTCGTAAAATGAGGTAAAATTCGCTTAACAACTATCTTGCTTAGAACGTTTGGGCTCAATTGTGGATTTAGCAATAGGACTACCAACAGCACTTAGACTTGCATACGGTTTCATCGTGCTTTTACAGCCCTCTATAAGTGGTTTACATACTCAGTACTTTGCCTCCATATTTTGTAATATGTTTCTTTTAAACTGCACCATGTTATACAGTATTTCCTTGTGGAGTACACCAATATAAAAATATAACAAATATAGAACCGTTGTTTTTTTTTTACTTTCGGATGTGATCTGAGCTGGATCTTCTTGGGAGATCCTTTCGAAGGCCAGTTCCTGAGATAGAGATGACACATCTCTGTGTGGTTGGGAGTTCTGAGCATCCACTTCCATGAAGGGATTCTGAACCTGTCAAAAGAAAAAGAGGGAAGAAGATTTTATGGTCCGCAGCAACCAAGTTCACTCTAAAAAGAGAGGGCTTCTCACATACAAGTAGAATAAAACAGAATTGGAAGGGACCTTGGAGGTCTTCCAGTCCAACCTCCTGCTCAGGCAGGAAACCCTATACCATTTCAGACAAATAGTTGTACCAATCTCTCCTTAAAAACGTCCAGTGCTGGAGCATTCACAACTTCTGGAGGCAAGTTGTCCCACTGATTAATGGTTCTCACTGTCAAGAAATTTCTCCTTAGTTCTAAGTTGATTCTCCCCTTGATTAGTTTCCATCTATTTTATTCAGGGGCTTTGGAGAATAGTTTGACTCCCTCTTCTTTGGGGCAACCCCTGAGATATTGGAACACTGCTGTTATGCCACCCCTAATCCTTCTTTTCATCAGACTAGACATATTCAGTTCCAGCAACTGTTCTTAATGTTTTAGCCTCCAGTCCCCTAATCAACTTTGTCGCTCTTCTCTGCCCTGTTTGTAGAGTCTCAAGATCTCTTTTTATATCATGGCGATCAAAACTGGCTGCAGTATTTCAAGTGTGGTCTTACCAGGGAATTATAAAGTGGTAGTCCTCGATATACGACAACAATTGAACCCAACATTTCCATGGCTAATGGAGACGACCGCTAAGTAAATTTTGCTCCATTTTACAATTTTTTTTTGCCAGAGTTGATAAGTGAATCACTGCAGTTGTTAACTTAGTAATATGTTTGTTAAGTGAATCTGGCTCCCCCGTGGACTCTCTTTGTCAGAAGGTCGCAAAAAGAAATTACATAATCCTGGGACACCACAATCATCATAAATATGAGCCAGTTGCCAAGCATCTGACTTTTTGATCATGTGGCCATAGGAATGCTTCAATGATCATAAGTGTGAAAAAAATTTTCCGCGCTGTTATAGCTATTAACAGTCACTAAACGAAAGGTTGTAAGTGAAGGATTCTATCCTGAGAAATCAGTAGGAAAGGCCACTAGAACTATTTCAGTGATGAAGAATTTTTCAGTAATTATAGGAAAAATCTTATTGGTTCCCAGAAGTTATTGTATTTAAAAATTCAGCAGCACTGCTTCTCACGCTGTGTACAACTTACAACTACAATTGGGTCCAAAATTTATGTTGCTAAGTGAGACATTTGTCAAGTGAATTTTGTCCCATTTTATGACTTTCTTGCCACAGTTGCTAAGTGAATCACTGCAGGGGTTAACTTAGTCATATGTTTGTTCAGTGCATCTGGCTCCCCCATGGACTTTGCTTAGTCAGGTGGTCACAAAAGGGGATTGTGTGACCCCAGGATGCTGCAACCATCATAAATACAAACCAGTTGCCACAGCCTCAGAGTTTTGATCAGGTGACTATGGGGCTACTGCGACCAAGAATGAAAAATAGTCATAAGTCACTTTTTTCAATGCTGTTGTAACTTTGGATGGTCACTAAATGAATTGTTGAAAGTCGAGGATTAGCTGCACCATGATTTTTGTCTCACCTGCGTTTCTCCCTGCTTCTTCTCCTCTTCCTGGCTCAGGAGGAAACCTTCCGCAAGGGCTACTGCCTGGGAGCTGGTCTCTGCTCCACACTCTCGTACCCAGCTTTCCATCTTTGGGGGCAGGACGGCCAGGAACTGCTCCAGGACCACCAAGTCCAACATCTGAGTTTTCGTGTGTTTCTCTGGCTTCAGCCATTGACGATAAAGACGGTGTAAGCGAGTGCAAAGTTCTCGAGGTGCCTCAGTCTCTTTGTATATGAACTCCCGGCAAAGTTGATGTTCTCCAGCCCGTCTGGTGGTTTCTCCTTGCAGGACGTTGTCCTTCCTCATTCTTCCCCAGAACTTCTCAGTAGAGCCAAGCAAGGCAACACGGGATCTATATCCTTCTGGGTCTCGTGAGCCAGTTTTTGGGGTGTACCAAGACGCTGGTTCACATCCATCCGAAGTCTGTCCTGGATTTGCAAAAGGACTTTCGGTCAGAGGAGCAGAATGGCAAGAAGCCATTTTGGGAGATGTGGGACTTTGATCCTCAAACGATAAGAATCCTCCCACAGAGCAAAATAAATAAATGCTTTCAGTTTTCAAGCTAAGGGAAAGGAATAAAAGAAAAGAAAAAGTGAGGGAAAAAAAGAGAGCTGCCTTCGTAGACGTCGATAGGATGTTCTTGTTCACAAACATTTAACAGAAGACAGAGAAGACACTGCTGTTAAACACACCCACACACACCACCAACACATGCAATCACTTTTCAAAAAGGAAGTACGTGTAGGACTCGATATAGGACCACAATTGAGGTCAAAATTTATGTTGTGAATTAAGGCAGTTGTTAAGTGAGTATTGGCCTGTTTTATGACCTTCTTTGCCACAGCACCCTGGTAACTTTCCAAAGAACACAAAAAAGTCCAAGCTGGAGATACCTCCAATGCTCGGCAGTCAGCTCAGGTCCAGTGTGGGGACCCCAAAATGTTCTGGCTTTTTCTCCAGCACTCTCACCCCCTCAAACTGCTCTGGTCTTTCCTCCAGCAGTCCTATCCCCAAAACGCTCTGGCTTTTTCTCAGCACCCCCAAAATGCTGTGGCTCTTTCTCCAGCACCTCCACCCAAAACTGATAGTTTGCACAGGAAAACCCATTGCAAGACAGTTCGGGTGGGGATGGGGGTTGTCATCCTTCCTGCAGGACAAGGTCCGCACCAGCCAGCCACGAGCCCTACCAAGGGTGGGAAAGGGGGCCAGGGGTGGGGTGTGTGTGGAGAATTGAGGTGGAGCAGTCCCAGGCTGGCAGGTTGAATGCTTCCTTCCAGGGAGGCCACCGACAAAGCGCTTTGCAAACCCCGCGGGGCGTCTGCAATTAGGGACCTCCTGGGAATTGCAAGGCGAAAGCAAGGCTGAGCTGAAACAGACGGCGCTCTGCCTGACTTTCCTCGCTCCCTCCCAACCTTTTATGGCTGAAAAATCCGAAGGGGTGAGAGTTACCTCACCTGGATCCGTCGACGGGTTGCAAGCGATCAAGTGCCCAGCTCCAAACTCCTCCCACCCGCCCGGGATTCCAGGCTCCACCCACCACGCAGCACCGCCCTCGCCTTTGAGTTGGAGAGCAGCTTCGCACCTGCGCACTCTTCTGTTACCAATCTTAAGGGTTAGAGAAAAAGGCATTGTTCCTAGAGGCCTCCAGAGTGATGGGCCCCTCCCTCTCCTCCGAAGACTCGCTTCTCCTCCTTCCCCGCTAGGCAGGGCTGGGCTGGGAAGCGCTTGCTCTCCTGACAGCGCCCCCTCGTGGATCCCGCCTGCCAGTTGTGCGAACGAGCGAGTCTTTGCCCCGTTTCCATCCAGTCCGCGATCCGCCGAGTTTCGGAATCCGAAATCGGTTCTTGCTCTAGTTTTGCGTTTGCCGTCGGGAGCAAAAGGGATCCCTCGGGGCTGCCAGCGTGGCAGACGGGTCTGTACGTAAAACTCAGGTCTTTCTCCCACAGATTATGGTGTTTTTTATGGTTTTTCTTTCCTTTGACTGTTTTTCATAGGGTTTTCTTGTGGCTTTCGCCTGCAGGTCCAGCTCTGCTTTTGCAAGGCTGACAAAATTCTAGACCTAGTTGAGTTTAGACAGGTCATCCTCGACTTATGATTACCATTGAGGCCCAAATTTTTGCAGCTAAGTGAGACAGTTCTTAACTGAATTTCCCCCCTATCTTACAACCTTTCTTCCATAGTTGTTAAGTGAAGCACTGCGGCTGTTTTCTTAGTAACACGGTTGTTAAATGAATCTGGTTCCCGATTGATTTTGCTTGCCAGAAGGTCACAAAAGGGGAAATCACATGAAGCCCCGGACACTGGAGCCGTCATAAATATGAGTCAGTCGCCAAGTGTCTGAATTTTGATCACTCAGTCCATGGGGATGTGCAATGGTCATGAGTATGAAAAATGGTCAACAGTTACTTTTTGCAATGCCGTTGTAACTTTCAACGGTCACTAAATGAACTGTTATAAGTCAAGGAAAAGTTGCATATGTCCTCACAGAAACACATTTATGTCTGGCACAATAAACTCAACCACATCACAAGTTTACCACAGGAAGTGCCATAAAGATGTTTTTTTACACCAAAGACAAATTCCTTTTGTGTCCAATCACACTTGGCCAATAAAGAACAACAATAAGTATCAATGGGGCATGTTGGAGAGCAATACAAACTAGAGATGGCTCCCTTGCCCCAAGAGAATAAAACATTGATTGGTCTCATTCAAGACGAGGAATCTGCATACAATGGGAGGTTGAACTAGTCTTGTGGTGTGACCGTAACAATCTGAATGACTGTAGTAGGTTCAGGAAGAGTAGACTTGATGCCATCTAATAAACATAGTCTCAAATGTAATCCCAGCTGGTAAAGATAAGGGATCCCCAGATTTTATTAAAGGGGTTTTTAGGGTTTTTTAAAAAATCCTAATCATTATCTGTGAGTTTAGTTGGGGATGCTGACTTACCTTTTGTTTGGAACAGACAAATATGAGTAGGAAAGAGATGTAAATGGCTATGTACATATGTGTGAATATAGTTGAGCATTAGCCAGCCCTTAATCCTAATCCTTTTTGGGATGTCATACATATACACACATACAGATTTACACACACACACACACACAAACACCCACACGTGTATAGGAGCAATGGTGGCACAGTGGCTAGAATGCAGTATTGCAGGCTGACTGCTCACAGCCAGGAGTTCAGTCTTGACCAGCTCAAGGACTCAGTCTTCCATCCTTCCGAAGTCAGTAAAAATGTGGACACAGATTGTTGGGGGCAATATGTTGACATTATAAACTGTTCAGAAAGTGCTGTAAAGCCCTATAGAGGATATGTAAGTCTATTGCTATGTGATACACAGGTACATTTATTGAGCAGGCACTGTGTTAAATTTATGGACCAATTTCTTTTTTAATATAATAACCCACAATTGGATATGTAAGAGAAACTATTTTGACCAAACATATTCAGAGGCCACTGGAAGAAAATGCAATGCAATGCAATAGCTGCTTGTTTCCTTGATTAGCTATAAAAATAGGCAAAGTTCAAAAGCAGCCATTCAAATGATTGGGGACTTGGATGTTTGTTTGTGTTTGAAAAAAATTATTTTGTAAGCATGAAAAAATAAATTACCTTAGTAGAAAACATCCGGTTTCAGATATCATCCAATTCAGCTGTTTAGGAAAAGATTTGGAATAGGCAAAAGAGTGGAGGGTTTTCACACTTATTTTTATATTGTTAGCATCTAATCAAACATATGAAGAAAAAATAATTAGTAAACAGTTGAGTTCAAATGGAAGAATTGAATTTAATAGATCCCTGAGATAATGTACCCAGTTAAAAGAGAGTATACATTTTATATAACTCTGTTCCAGAATTTTTAGGCTGGATTATTTTTTAATATCAACTTTATATCACAAAATTTAAGAATGTATATTGATATTTGTTTATCCAATGGTTTATGTTTATCCTGTCATAGAATAGTGTGTTTCAGAAGTTATCAAGAAATTGATATTTCAGTGTTTCCCTGTTGAATAATAAAGAATTTGTAGTCTTTAATTTCAGAAATAGTCTTTTGTGCCTACTTATCTCTGAAGTATTACTTTAACCTTTATGTTGCTTTGCTGGCAACCTAAACTATTTGCCTTGACAATTTTAAACATTATTTATTTCTTTATTTAATATAACTGCCAAGTCTTTAGTTACAGTACCACAGCATGTTTCTACCAAAATACATATCATCATCATCACCTTTTAATGATGCCATAATAACAAATTTTGGGCTCAACTCACTGTGATCGTAAGTCGAGGACTACCTGTATTTCCCCACTTCTGCAATTCCTGAGGTAACTTTTTGTTTTGAAAACGAATTGGATGCCTTCGAGAAACATTCCCATTGGGGAAATTCGATTCCTTTCAATATTCTGGATTTTTCTTTCCTTCAGGACGGCCACAGCCTCTCCTCAGAGATGTCGCAGCAATCATCTTTTGTCACTTTTAGACCACTATTCCTCAGGGACACTGTTTGCTAGTACCGTATCTTCAAGTCCTACCCTTGAAAAGGACTTTAGGGCAGAATCCCTCGGCACTACTATTATTTTTTAATTATATTACTATTATAATATTACTACTGTTATTTTACCAGAAGACGAGGATGTCTTTGTCACTCGGTGCTTCTTCACAGACAGGCGGGAAATCGTAGCCCCGCCCCTTCCAACGGTTCTTTTCCGAAGGTTCGCAAGATGCTTCTAAGGCGTTTTTTTTTCCCTGAGGGGAGTCCGCCAGGACAGCGAAAGGGAGGGCCGGAAGGGTCCCCACTCCTTAATATTGTCTTTCTAGGGAGAACTCGCTCTCTTTAACCCCTGGAAAGCCTGGAGAGAACGAAGACGCCCGGAGCCTTTGATGTCCGTGTCCGCAGCTGCATCCGCGGCTCTCCGGCCTTTTTGGGGATCGAGATCCCCGGCGAGGAAAAGCCTTGGGCGGATCCGTCTCTTTTCCATCGGCACCGAGCAAGAAAGCCGTTTCTTTGTTCCAAGACTGTCTCCGGGGTTTTCCCGACTGCAGTGCTTCACTTAACAAATGTGGCAAGAAAAGTTGTAAAATGGGGCAAAACTCACTTAACAGCTGTCTCGTTTAGCAACGTAACTTTTGGGCTCAATTGTGGTCGTAAGTTGAGGACTACCTGTAGTACTGACTTTCATGGCATTGGCTTTCTATTTCTAGGATTACCCATCCTGGGGTAAGATGAAATAGGGGCAAAGGTTGGTCTATTTTGGCAAGGAAAAAAACAAGGGAATGGAATGCCTAGAGCAGTGGTGGGGAACCATTTACTTACCGAGTGCCAAACAGGAACACGCTTCGCGTACTGTGCTCACTCGCAGGCCATCTGCGCTAATGCACGGCTCCTCCCCATGTGCTGTGTGCGCAACAGCACCGTCTATGCGCAGACCTTTCGCATGCAGCTTTCATGCACGCACCCCAACGCACACTGCACACACAATCTCACCATCTGCGCATGCGCATGCAACGCACATGTGATCTGCGCAAGCACGCGCTGCGTGCCAGTCGCCTTGAACGCATGTACAAACATGCAGAGGAGAGCTGTGAAGACCAGCTGGGTCCCCTGAATTGCGCATGTGTGCCGAAGGCCTGAACACCAGCTGGGGTGCACACGCATGCACAGCTTCGGGTAAGTTTGCTGTATGCCCAACTGCACCATCTATGCATGGCCAGCTTTTGCGTGCGCCCCCATGAGCTTTCATGCATGAGCCCCAGAGCGTGCTGCCCAATCTCACCATCTGCGCATGCGCGTGGTTTTCACGTGCACAATGCGCCTATGTGAACGCTCTCTGCGCATGCACGCGCTGCGTGCCAGTCGTCTTGAGCGCATGGACTCAGCCTCCCATCCTTCCGAGGTAGGTAAAATGAGTACCCAGTTTGTGGGGGCAATAAGCTGACTTTGTATAAAATAGAACACCGCTTTGGGGCGGGGCCAAAAAGCCCTACTAAGCAGGTATATACAAAAGTATGAAGGCTGCTGCTTAATACATTGTAAGCCGCCATGACCTCCAGAGAAGGGCGGCATATAAATCAAACTAATAAATGGACAAACGCGCAGAGGAGACCTGCGAAGACCAGCTGGGTCCCCTGAATTGCACACATGTGCACCAGAGGCCTGAATACCAGCTGGGGGTATGCACGCATGCACAGCTTTGGGTGAGTTTGGCAACAGCTCGTATGCCCAGAAAAATGGCTATGCGTGTCACTTCCGGCACACTGCCATAGGTTCGCCATCACGGGCCTAGAGAGAATTGAGATAAAGGCCTGCACTTTATTATTGGAATTGGGGTCACAGGGTTGGTAGAAGTTAAAAAGCTTCTGATCTGCGCACACACACAAAGACACGCCCTTTAACCGGGTACTTTAGACTCAGGGACTCGGAAATTCTCCCTTGCTTAAGCTAAAGTTGCCCATGAGTCAAATACATTCGTATAATAAATTTACGGAAGGTGCCCCCACGCCATAGTTCATTTGCAACACTGTCTGGGAACATTCACAAATGAGCAGGAGACATAGTTATGAATGCCAGATCCTTGCTGGAATTAGACTTCCATTATTGTGAGACCAACTATTTTCTCAGCCCTCTTTCTGGTTCATGCATTGTATAGCTCAATGGAAGGCAGGTTGGTTGTGATTGTTTTTTCCACAACTATCCGTTCAAATCTGTAGCTGTCCTGTTTGGTTGCCATGCCAAACCAGACAATTATTGAGGTACAAATGACAGACTCAATTAGTTGCAACTCTTCCAAGAATTACAACTTATAGTTGATGTCATCCCCCATATTATCATCTTAAATCTTATAAAATGAAATGAAAAGATAATATATCCATCATCCATCCATCCATCCAATTTCTTAACCACCCAGCTCCCTGATAGAGGGATACCGGGCAATAATTCCTGGTTTTCCTTCCTTCAACTACACCAGTTTATTTTAGTCCATGATCCACTTCCATGACATTTCCTTGTGCGGAAAAAGACAAATTCCTTTCGTATCCAATCATTATTTGGCCTATAAAGAATTCTAATATTTCTTTACGAGGATCATAACCTCAGAACTGGGGTCTCTAAAGTTCTGTCCACAGTCTGTGCACTCATATGGTTTCTCCCATGTGGATCCTTTTGTGGGAAGTCAGAGAACTATTTCTAAAGCTTATTCCACAGTCCACATACTTGTACTGTTGTGGATTTAATAAGACCAACACAACTTTTTGGGGTTAATCAGAGACAAGGTATATTGCGCAATAGGTTCAAAGCTCTGTACATGAAGCGTTGAACAAAAGACAGAAATTAGGTACAATCGTTTTTCTACCCTTCTAGACAAAGGATTCTGTTAACTCAGCAATTCATATGGTCATATACATTTGTCATTTTTAATTGACACTTTCATTTTATTCTTTGCCAACAGTTATAATTCTTTTTGTAGATTACTGAAGCATAGACTCAAATCATCTTCTAATGATAGACAACTTTTAACTCATGTGGATCCCCTTGACCTAACCAACCTTTAAGCTGTATGTCATTAGAATGTTCCTTTCTTCTGACAACTTAGAGGCCTCCTAGAGGTACCAAAAGGATTTTGGCTGAGTTTGTACATTTTCCAACCGGATGCATTGCTTTTTAGAATAGAGTGAATAGAAAGTTATCCAGTGGTCATCTATCAGAGCCCGCTTCATTTACATTAGTACAGTTTCTCCCCCGTGTGAATCCTTTTATGAGAACTAAGGGAACTGCTTACAGTGAAGCTCTTTCCACATTCCGTACATTTGTATGGCTTCTCCCCTGTGTGGGTCCTTTTATGGGATGTAAGGGAACTGCTTACACTAAAACTTTTCCCACACTCCAGACATTGATATGGCTTCTCTCCAGTGTGGATCCTTTTATGGGAAGTGAGGCAACTTAAATCACTGAAGCTCTTTCCGCACTCCAGGCACTGATACGGTTTCTCCCCTGTGTGGATCCTCTTATGGATAGTGAGGTGACTTATTTTACTGAAGCGCTTCCCACACTCCAGGCACTGATAGGGTTTCTCCCCTGTGTGGATCCTCTTATGGGAAGCAAGGTTGCTTTTCTGAGAGAAGCCCTTCCCACATTCCAGGCACTGATACGGTTTCTCCCCTGTGTGGATCCTCTTATGGGAAGCAAGGTGGCTTCTCTTAGGGAAGCCCTTCCCACACTCCACACATTGATAGAGTTTCTCCCCAGTGTGGATTCTCATGTGGGAATTCAGGGAACTTCTCTTAATGAAGCTCTTTCCACACTCCAAGCATGGATGTGGTTTCTCTTCTCGGTGGATCCTTTCATGGGTCATAAGGTGACTTTTCTGAAGGAAGCTCTTCCCACAATCCATGCATTGATATGGATTCTCCCAGACCTGACTCTTTTGATGGTTACTGAGATGGCTACTCTGGCTGAAGCTCTCTCCACATTCCACATAGTTATATAATTTCTCCCCAAGTGATATATTTTGATCTAAAGTAAGAGGAAATGTCCGATCCCTATTTTCATGTTGTGCCTCGACAGGCGGCCTTCTGCAATATCCACACAATCCTGATTCCTCCTTCAATATTTTTCCACAGCCTGGACACATTCCGGTTTCTTGGTGATTTTTTTCAGCTAGGAGCGCACTGTTATCAGCACAATGAAAAGCGAGGGCTTTCTCTGGCTCTCCGTTTAGCTGGTTTTCCTCAGGACTTTGGACTCCCCACTGACATCGGAACATCCTTTCTCCAATTTCATTGTTGACTGTTGGCAAGTGCTCTATCATCTCCTTCTTAGAGTCCTCGTTCTCCCACCTTTCGCCTGATTGCGACAAAAAGAAGAAACCAAGAGGTTGACTTTCACGAGATGTTCAAAGCCCAAGCTAAGGCACCCTCAGGGATCAAGCTCTATTGCCACATCCTGTATTTGAATATTACAGGTTATTCTCAATTTACGAGCCCTGGTGGCGCAGTGGTTAGAATGCAGTATTGCAGGCTAATTCTGCTGACTGCCAGTAGACCAACCGCACTCAACGTGTAGTCCTCAATGGAACTGCATCTCTTTGGAGGGAAGTATGCAGTGGGGTACCCCAAGGCTCTGTTTTAGGCCCAGTACTCTTCAACGTCTTCATCAATGACTTAGACGAGGGGATAGATGGGGAACTCATCAAATTTGCAGATGACACCAAGTTGGCAGGAATAGCCAACACTCCAGAAGATAGGCTCAAGATACAGAAGGATCTTGACAGAATTGAACATTGGGTGCTATCTAACAAAATGAAATTCAATGGTGAAAAAAGGAAGGTTCTACATTTAGGCAAGAAAAACCAAATGCACAGGTACAGTATATGTGGTACCTTGCTCAATAGTAATAACTGTGGGAGGGATCTTGAAGTCTTAGTGGACAACCATTTAGACATGAGCCAGCAGTGTGCACCAGCTGCCAAAAAAGCCAACACAGTCCTAGGCTGCATAAAAAGAGGTATAGAATCAAAATCACACAAAGTCTTAATACCACTTTATAATGCTTTGGTAAGGCCACACTTGGAATACTGCATTTAGTTTTGTTCGCCACGATGTATAAAAAATGTGGAGACTCTTTCTAGAGTGCAGAGAAGAGCAACAAACATGATTAGGGGACTGGAGGCTAAAACATAGTCAGGTCCAGAAATATTGGGACATCGATACAATTCTAACATCTTTGGCTCTATACACCACCACAATGGAGTTGGAATGAAACAAACACAGTGCTTTAACTGCAGACTGTCAGCTTTAATTTGAGGGTATGTACATCCAACTCAGGTGAACGGTGTAGGACTTACAGCAGTTTGCATATGTGCCTCCCACTTGTTAAGGGACCAAAGGTAATGGGACAATTGGCTTCTCAGCTGTTCCATGGCCAGGTGTGTGATATTCCCTCATTACCCCAATTACAATGTGCAGATAAAAGGCCCAGAGTTCATTTCAAGTGTGCTATTTGCATTTGTAATCTGTTGCTGTCAACTCTCAAGATGAGATCCAAAGAGCTGTCACTATCAGTGAAGCAAGCCATCATTAGGCTGAAGAAACAAAACAAACCCATCAGAGAGATAGCAAGAACATTAGGCGTGGCCAAAACAACTGTTTGGAACATTCTCAAAAAGAAGGAACGTACCGGTGAGCTCAGCAACACCAAAAGACCCGGGAGACCATGGAAAACAACTGTGGTGGATGACCGAAGAATTCTTTCCCTGGTGAAGAAAACACCCTTCACAACAGTTGGCCAGATCAAGAACACTCTCCAGGAGGTAGGTGTCTGTGTGTCAAAGTCAACAATCAAGAGAAGACTTCACCAGAGTGAATACAGAGGGTTCACCACAAGATGTAAACCATTGGTGAGCCTCAAAAACAGGAAGGCCAGATTAGAGTTTGCCAAACAACATCTAACAAAGCCTTCACAGTTCTGGAACAAGATCTTATGGACAGATGAGACCAAGATCAACTTGTACCAGAGTGATGGGAAGAAAAGAGTATGGAGAAGGAAAGGAACTGCTCATGATCTTAATCATACCACCTCATCAGTGAAGCATGGTGGTGGTAGTGTCATGGTGTGGGCATGTATGGCTGCCAATGGAACTGATTCTCCTGTATTTATTGATGATGTGACTGCTGACAAAAGCAGCAGGATGAATTCTGAAGTGTTTCGGGCAATATTACCTGCTCACATTCAGCCAAATGCTGCAGAACTCATTGGACGGCGCTTCACAGTGCAGATGGACAATGACCCAAAGCATACTGCAAAAGCAACCAAAGAGTTTTTGAAGGGACAGAAGTAGAATGTTATGCAATGGCCAAGTCAATCACCTGACCTGAATCCCATTGAGCATGCATTTCACTTGCTGAAGACAAAACTGAAGGGAAAATGCCTCAAGAACAAGCAGGAACTGAAGAGTTGCAGTAGAGGCCTGGCAGAGCATCACCAGGGATGAAACCCAGCGTCTGGTGATGTCTATGCGTTCCAGACTTCAGGCTGTGATTGACTGCAAAGGATTTGCAACCAAGTATTACGAAGGGAAAGTTTGATTTATGATTATTATTCTGTCCCATTACTTTTGGTCCCTTAACAAGTGGGAGACACATATGCAAACTGCTGTAAGTCCTACACCGTTCACCTGAGTTGGATGTACATACCCTCAAATTAAAGCTGAAAGTCTGCAGTTAAAGCACATTGCATTTGTTTCATTCCAACTCCATTATGGTGATTTATAGAGCCAAAGATGTTAGAATTGTATCGATGTCCCAATATTTCTGGACCTGACTGTATGTATGGTTGCAAGAACTGGGTATGCCTAGTTTAATGAAAAGGACTAGGGAAACATGATAGCAGTGTTCCAATTTTTCATGGGCTGCCACAAAGAAGAGTGAGTCAAGCTATTGTCCTGCTTTTTGTCCTGCCTTCAGGTGCTTTGGAGAATAGCTTGAGCTTGTTTTTTGTGGCAACCCCCGAGATATTGGAACACTACTATCATGTCACCCTTAATGCTTCTTTTCATTAAATTAGACATACCTAATTCCAGCATGTTTTAGCCTCCAGCCCCCTAACTATCTTTGTTGCTCTTCTCCGCACTCTTTCTAGAGCACAGATGTCAAACTCGCCTCATCATGTTGATGTCACATGACGTATCACAACATTTTCTTGTCTTTGTGGAACTGGGGTGGACGTGGCCTATGCATGACGCATCCAGCCCATGAGCCGCCATTTTGACATCCCTGTTCTAGAGTCTCAACATCTTTTTTTATATCATGGTGCCCAAAACTGGATGCTGTATTCTAAGTGTGGTCTTATCAAGGCAGTTTGAAGTGGTACTAACACTTCACGTGATCCATGTAATTCAGGCCTATTAGGGTTCCCAAATTCCAGAACAATGAAAGGAACTCCTTAAGGCTACTACCCAAAAGAGAAACTCGTTAAGGAGGGTGTTTGCTCCCTTCTATAGAGAAGAGACAGCATGAAGATTTTTAGCCCTGCCTGCCTGATCGGGTGGGAGAATCAATACATCCTCCATCATTGTAGGAAAGGAACAAGGTAGCATCTTCTGACAAACAGGTCAGCTGGTTACGTCTGACCAGAAACGTAGAAAGAGAACCTTACTCTCAGCTGGATCTCCAGCATGGGTTTTCCCTTTGATGCTTGCTTGCTTGCTATCAGCTGCCAATGCCATAGGGTGGCATGGCATTGGGGTTTGGGAAGTGAGCTGGTGTGAAGAGGGCCAACCTGAATATAAAGGGAGGTTTGCTTGCCGGAATTACTGTGCTGCTAAATGGAGTTGTTTACATCCAGTTAAGGCCTGAGTGACGCAGCAGACTAATGCTACTGTTAAAAGGTAATATTTAGCTTCCAGTTGCCTGCAATTACTGCAAGTTCAATTCTCACCAGGGTCAAGGTTGACTCAGCCTTCCATCCTACCTAAGGTAGGTAAAATGAGGACCCGGTTTGTGGGGGCAATAAGCTGACTTTGTATAAAATATACAAAAGTATGAAAGTTATTGCTTAACGCCTTGTAAGCCGCCCTGAGTCTCCGGAGAAGGGGCGGCATATAAATAATTTTTTTTTTAAAAAAGGCCAACTGTCCTGAAACTCCAGATGAACGAAAACACCTGAAGATGTGCCCCACAAGTCACTATGTGGGACGGGGATTGGACATTCAGCCTGGGTTCCTGGGGGGAGGGATTTGGGGAAACTTTCAATATGTACCTTTCCTGCCTTTTGGCTCAGATCTTGCCTTTCCTTCGGTGCTATCATTTCAAACTCAGTAACAGTACCTCTTCTCTACTTCAGTGGAGTCGGCGGTTTTCCTTCTTGGGTTTTGAACGGAGGCAGGGCTGATACTTACTTATGCAGGTCACATTCCTTGCATTTTCCAACATGATCTCCCTGTACAGCAATTTCTGATCAGGATTCAGCAGGGCCCACTCCTCTTCGGAAAAAAATACGGCTATATCCTCAAATGACATATGATTCTGAAATTCAAAAAAAAAATCCCTCTTTGCGTACAGTTCCAAGTTGTACTTGTAAATTGAGGATTACTTGTGCCACCTGAAAATCGCCCAGGTCACTCTGAGAGTGAGATGGGTGGTATCTAAGCTTAATAAATAAATACAAATAAATAATTACTTATCAAGCTTAGATACCACACCGATCCCAAATCTCAGAGTGACTCTGGGCAATTTTCACAGAGTTCAGGTAGTCCTCAACGTATGACCACAATTGAGCCCAAAATTTATGTTGTCAAACAAGACAGTTGTTAAGTCAGTTTTGCCCCTTTTTTACCACCTTGTTTGCCGCAGTTGTTAAGTTAATAACATGGTTGTTAAGTGAACCTGGCTTCTCCCTTGACTTTGCTGGTCAGAAGGTCGCAAAAGGGGATCACATGACATCAGAAACATGAACCAGTTGCCAAGCAGCTGAATTTTGATCACATGACCATGGAGATGCTGCGACGGTCATAAGTGTGAAAAACGGTCCTAAGTGACTTTTTTCAGTACTGTTGTTACCCACTGTCATTTCTGACTGAACAATTAATCAGTGGAACAAATTACCTCCAGAAGTTGTGAATGCTCCAACTGGAAGTTTTTAGGAAGAGATTGGACGGCCCTTTGTCTGAAATGGTAGAGGGTTTTCTGCCTGAGCAGGTGTTTGGATTGAAGGCCTCAAGGTCCTTTCTAACTCTTCTGTTCTGTTATTGTTCGGTTCTTTCCTCTTCCCCTTCCCCTTCCTCTTATCCTATTCCTATTCTATTCTAGTCTAGGTCTACTCTACTCTACTAAACCAAGGGTGTCAAACTTGATTTCACTGAGGGCCGCATCAGAGTTGTTTGACCTGGGGGGGCCGGAGTGGACATGGCCAGGATGAGCATGGCCAGTTCGATGTCACTCATGTCAGGGGTGCCTGTGGTGGGCTGAGCACTCTGCCAGCGAAAACAGGCTCCCGAGCTCCATTTTCAACTGCAACGGCCTCCTGCAACCTTCTGCCAGTTGAAACAGAGCTCACAAGGGCCCTCGTGAGCTCCTTTTTCACTGGCAGAGGCACCACGGGCCGGTCCTTCACTGTTTCCAGGGTGGCCCCAGGGACAGATCTAAGCACCCCGTGGGCCAGATCCAGCCCCCGGGCCTTGAGTTTGACACCCCTGTAGTAAATGAATGACTCTAAGTCGAGGATCACCTGCAATGTTTTCTATCTTATCTCTTTATGAAGTGATTCTGCAGGATCTCCAAACTCATTCAGTGGTAACAACCCTTATATCTTTCTGGATCAGGTGGTGGGATAGGCATTGGATCCCCTTTCCTTTCTGGAAAATCGTTTCTCCTCAACTAAGTCTTGTTTCCATGTTTTAACCAGTGGAAATAGATCCCAGTTCTCTTTTCTACTGCGCAAATTCCATTAAGTGTCTGGATAAGTAAGTGTTTTTCCAGATAACTTTCCTGGAAAAAAAAAACTGACAGAACTCAAAAGTTTCTGACTGAAAATACACCTGAATAAACGTTTTATTCTTATTGCTGATTTTGCAGGATTTTAAAACTTGTTTTGGTTCGTAGAAACAATAGGTTCTGGAACAACTCAAGGGATGAATCTTGGATGCACCATTGATCAGGGTCTTTAGAGCTTCCTGGAAGCTAACTTCCTCAACATTGTTGGGACAATCATAGTTGATACATTGTCCCTGAGAGGAACACACAGTTCAACAGCTATATGAAGCTGCTGGAAAAGGCCTTCTAGAAGCATGAGATGCCAGCAATATTCAAATGATACCAGGAAGCTGCTCCCACTCTGAAAAAAATGGCTAGAAGGGAGCAAATTAAGTGAATTAACTTTGGAAGAAAAATCCAGCTTGCTTTGGAATGCTCCTTGTCAAAACCACATTTGGACACTGAAGGAGAAAAGAATCCTCCTCAAAATAGCAGAGTTAGAAAGGACCTTGGAGGTCTTCTAGTCCAACCCCTCCACTCAAGCAGGAGACCCTTTACCATTTCAGAGAAATGGTTGTCCAGTCTCTTCTTAAAAAACCTCCAGCAATGGAGCAGCCACAACTTCTAAAGAAAAGCTCTTCCACTGGTTAATTGTTCTCATTGTCAGGACGTTTCTTAGTTCTAGATTGTTTGTCTCCTTGATGTTCCCATCCATTGCTTCTTGTCGTGCCTTCAGGTGCTTTGGAGAAAAGCTTGACTCCCTCTTCTTTGTGGCAACCCCTTAAATATTGGTACTTTTCATTAAACTAGACATATCCTGTTCCTGCAACCATTCTTCATATGTTTTAGCCTCTAGTCCCCTAATCATCTTCATTGCTCTTCTCTGCACTCTTTGCAGAATCTCAGTATCTTTTTAAAATTGCGGAGATCAAAACTGGATGCAATATTCTGAGTGTAGGTCTTACCAAGGCATTATAAAATGGTACTAGCACTTTACGTGAGCTTCATCCCTCCTACCTGAGTTGGAATAACGACAGCAGTTTCAGTTCCACCACAAAGCAAAGGTGTTTCTGCAGGAAACCTCAGGGTTGCTCCATTCCCTGATAAGACAGAAATGGAGGAAGACATTTTGAAAACATTCCTGCTGCATTCTCGAGCAAAATTATGCACACACACAAAAAAGAGGCATTCTTTCACACAAGTGAGACTGCAAGTCAACAATATCAATGGCACTTAGATTTATATACCACTTCACAGTGCTTTGCAGCCCCCTCTAAGCGGTTGACAGAATCAGCATACTGTCCCCAACACTCTGGGTCCTCATTTTACCAACTTCGGAAGGATGGAAGGGTTGAGTCAACCTTGAGTCTGTCAAGATCGAGCTGCTGGCAGTCGGCAGAATTAGGGGCCTTTGTCGGTTAAATATTTGCTTATTAGGACCCTGGAGAAACACTGGACTAAGCTTCCAAGCTGAACCAATGTGCTCAATGAATGAATAACCTTCTGTAATATGTTTCTTTTCAACTGCACCCCGTTATGTTTCCTTATGAAGTACACCAATATAAAAATGTAACAAATGAAGAAGCATTTATTACCTTCTGATGTGATCGGAGCTGGATCCTCTTGGGAGATCCCTCCGAAGGCCAGTTCCTCAGAGAGTGATGACACGTCTCTGTGTGGTTGGGAGTTTTGAGCATCCACTTCCATGAAGGGATCCTGAACCTGTCAAAAGAAAAAGAGGGAAGAAGATTTTATAGTTCGCAGCAACCAAGTTCACTCTAAAAAGAGAGGGCTTCTCACATACAGGTAGAATAGAACAGAATTGGAAGGGACCTTGGAGTCTTCTAGTTCAACCACCAGCTCAGGCAGGAAACCCTGGTCTACACCATTTCAGACAAATGGTTGTACCAATCTCTCCTTAAAAACTTCCTGTGTTGGTGCATTCAGAACTTCTGGAGGCAAGTTGTTCCACTGGTTAATTGTTCTCACTGTCAGGAAATTTATCTTTAGTTCTAGGTTGATTTTCCCTTTGATTAGTTTCCATACATTCTTGTCCTGCCTTCAGGTTCTTTGGAGAATAGTTTGACTATTCTTCTTTGTGGCAGCGCCTGAGACATTGGAACACTGCTGTCATGTCACCCCTAATCCTTCTTTTCATCAGACTAGACATACCCAGTTCCTGCAACGGTTCTTCATACGTTTTAGCCTCCAGTCCCCTATTTATCTTTGTTGCTCTTCTCTGCACTCTTTCTAGAGTCTTAACTTCTTTTTTTATATCGTGGCGACCAAAACAGGCTGCAGTATTTCAAGTGTGGTCTTACCAGGGAATTATAAAGTGGTAGTCCTCAACATACAACCACCGTTGAGCCCAAAATTTCCATTGCTAATTGAGATGGCCGCTAAGTGAGTTTTGTTCCATTTTACAATTTTTCTTGCACAAGTTGTTTAGTGAATCACTGCAGGGGTTAACTTAGTCATACATTTAAGTGAATCTGGCTCCCTCATGGACTTTTGCTTAGTCCAGTGGTCGCAAAAGGGGATTGCATGACCCTGGGGCACTGCAACCGTCATAAAAATGAGTCAGTTGCCAAGTGGCCTAATTTTGATCACGTGATCAATGGGGATGCTGCAGCAAAGAATGAATAGCAATAACACTTAGACTTATATACTGCTTCATAGTACTTTTACATCCCTCTTTAAGCTGTTTATAGTCAGCCTATTGCCCCCAAGAATCTGGGTCCCCATTTTACCCACCTCGGAATGATGGAACACTGAGTCAACCTTCATAATGGTCATAAGTCACTTTTTTCAACGCTGTTGTAACTTTGGATGGTCACTAAGTGAACTGTTGAAAGTCAAGGATTAGCTGCACCATGATTTTTGTCTCACCTGCGTCTGTCCCTGCTTTTTCTCCTCTTCCTGGCTCAGGAGGAAACCTTCCGCAAGGGCCACTGCCTGGCAGCTAGTCTCTGCTCCACACTCTCGCACCCAGCTCTCCATCTTTGGGGGCAGGACGGCCAGGAACTGCTCCAGGACCACCAGGTCCAACATCTGAGTTTTCGTGTGTTTCTCTGGCTTCAGCCATTGACGATAAAGATGGTGTAAGCGAGTGCAAAGTTCTCGAGGTTCTTCATAGAAGAACTCCCGGCAAAGCTGATGTTCTCCAGCCCGTCTGGTGGTTTCTCCTTGCAGGACGTTGTCCTTCCTCATTCTTCCCCAGAACTTCTCAGTAGAGCCAAGCAAGGCAACACGGCATCCATATCCTTCTGGGTCTAGTGAGCCAGTTTTTGGGGTGTACCAAGACGCTGGGTCACACCCATCCGAAGTCTGTCCTGGATTTGCAAAAGGACTTTCGGTCAGAGGAGCAGAATGGCAAGAAGCCATTTTGGGAGATGTGGGACTTTGATCCTCAAACGATAAGAATCCTTGCACAGAGCAAAATAAATAAATACTTTCAGTTTTCAAGCTAAGGGAAAGGAACAAAAGGAAAGAAAAAGTGAGGAAAAAAAGAGAGTTGCCTTCCTAGACGTTGATAGGATGTTCTTGTCCAAAAACATTTAACGGAAGACAGAGAAGACACTTCTGTTAAACACACGCAATCACTTTTCAAAAAGGAAGTACAGATAGGGCTTGATTTACAGCCACAATTGAGCCCAAAATGTATGTTACTAAGCAAGATAGTTGTTAAGTGAGTTTTGGCTCATTTTTATGACCTTTCTTGCCACAGTAGTTAAGTGAATCACGGCCGTTGTTTTAAGTTAGTCAAACGGTTGTTAAGTGAACCTGGCTCCCCCCCCCCATTGACTTTTCTTGTCAGAAGGTCATAAAAGGATCCCACGACACCACGGCACTGCAACCGTCATAAAAGTGAGTCAGTTGCCAAGCGGCTGAATTTTAATCACATGATCAGGGGGGGATGCTGCAATGGTCGTAAATGTGAAAACCTTTCACAATTCCCTTTTTTCCGGGGTGTTGTAACGATGAACAGTCACTAAATAATGGTTGTAAGTTGAGGCGAGGGCTACCTGTATTTCTTGTGGCAAGCAAAGTCATTGTGCTGGAGAGCGTTTCTTTACATCAGCAACCCTGGTAACTTTGCAAAGAGCAGAAAATTCCCACATCTTTCAAGCTGGAGATGCCTCAGCTCAGGGCCAAGGAGGAAAACAGGGAGAAAGAGCTTGCCCAGAATGGAACTTTTTTTTTTTTTTTTACACATTTTTCCTCCAGCACCCTCCCACCCCGAAATATGCTCTGGCCTTTCCTCCAGCACCCCCAACCAATGGTGGAATTCAATTTTTTTTTACTACTGGTTCTGTGGGCGTGGCTTGGTGGGCGTGGCAGGGGAAAGATACTGCAAAATCCCCATTCTCTCCCCACTCCAGGGGAAGGATATTGCAAAATCCCCATTCCCTTCTCACTCCAGGGGAAGGATATTGCAAAATCTCCATTCCCTTCCCACTCTTGGGCCAGCCAGAGATGGTATTTACAGGTTCTATTCAAAATTTCTGCTACCGGTTCGCCAGAACCTGTCGAATTTCACCCCTGCCTCCAACCTTTCCTCCAGCACCCCCAAGCCCCAAAATGAATGCTTTGGATAGGAAAAACCATCACCGGAGCTTTCGGGGGGGGGGGGGGGAGGGAATCTTCCTGCCTGCAGGACAGGCTCCCCACCAGCCAGCCAGGACCGTCCCTAGGGTGGGAAAGGGGGTCATGGAGTCGGGGGAGATAGAGATTGAGCAGTCCCAGGCTGGCAGGTTGAATGCTTCCTTCCAGGGAGGCCTTTCCTCCAGCATCCCCAACCAATGGTGGAATTCAATTTTTTTTACTACTGGTTCTGTGGGCGTGGCTTGGTGGGCGTGGCAGGGGAAAGATATTGCAAAATCCCCATTCTCTCCCCACTCCAGGGGAAGGATATTGCAAAATCCCCATTCCCTTCCCACTCCAGGGGAAGGATATTGCAAAATCTCCATTCCCACCCCACTCTGGGGCCAGCCAGAGGTGGTATTTGCAGGTTCTATTCAAAATTTCTGCTACCGGTTCGCCAGAACCTGTCAGAACCTGCTGAATTTCACCTCTGCCCCCAACCTTTCCTCCAGCACCCCCAAGTCCCCAAACGAATGCTTTGGATAGGAAAAACCATCGCCGGACCTTTCGGGGGGGGGAGGGAATCTTCCTGCCTGCAGGACAGGCTCCCCACCAGCCAGCCAGGACCCTCCCCAGGGTGGGAAAGGGGGTCATGAGGTGGGGGGGAGATAGAGGTGGAGCGGTCCCAGGCTGGCAGGTTGAATGCTTCCTTCCAGGGAGGCCAACGAGAAAGGGCTTTGCAAACCTCGCGGGGCGTCTGCAAACAGGGACCCGCCTGAGAATTGCAAGGGAAAAGCAACGCTGGGCTGAAGCAGACGGAGTTCTGCCTGTCTCTCTTCCTCCCCCCCTTCAACCTTTCACAGCTGTTTTTTTGGGGAGGGGGGGAGAAAAGCATCCAAATCTAAGACTGCAGGGGACGCCCCAACTTTGAGAAGGGAAAGATCCGAAGGAGGAGAGTTGACTCACCCGGATCCATCGATGGGCTGCAAGGGATCACGTGCCCAGCTCCAGACTCCTCCCACCCGCCCGGGATTCCAGGCTCCACCCACCTCGCAGCTCCGCCCTCGCGGCTGCGCACTCTTCTGCAGGACATCTAAGGGTTAATCCAAGCTCCACCCAACCGACCTGGGAAAGGACGCCCTCGCCGCGAGGATTGGAGAAGAGGGTTGCGCCTGCGCACTCTTCTGCAGGCAATCTAAGGGTTAAAGAATCCCAGCTCCAGCTTCTTCCATCGATCCGGGATTCTAAGCTCCACACACCTCTAGGATTGGAGAGCACTTCCGCGCCTGCGTACTCTTCGGGGGACATACAAGCCTTAAGAGTCCCAGCTCCAGGCTCCTCCCACCCACCTGTAATTCCGAGCTCCACCCCACCGACCCGGAAAAGGACGCGCGTTCCGCCCTCCTCTCACAGCTCCGCCCTCGCCACTTAAGTGTTGAAGAGCAGGTTAGCGCCTGCGCACTCTTCTGCAAGGAATCGAAGGGTTAAAGAGAAGAAGGTATTTTTTCCTAGAGGGGCGTCTCGAGTGATGGGCCCCTCCCCTCCCTCTCTTGCGAAGACTCGGTGCTCCTCCTTCCCCGCTCGGCTGGGAAGGGAAGCGTAAGCGCTCAGTTGATGGGCAGCGCCATCTCGTGGATCCCGGCCGCCAGTTGCGCGAAGGGAACGACTCTGCCCCGTTTGCACCCCGTCCACGATCGGTTGAGTTTCAGATCCCGAAATTGGTTCTCGCTATATTTTTGCGTTTGCGGTCGGGGGCAAAAGGGATCCCTCGGGGTTGCCAGGATGGCAGACGGGTCTCAGGGCGTTCTCCCACAGATTATGGTGGGTTTTTTTATGGTTTTTCTTTCTTTGACTGTTTTTCATAGGGTTTTCTTGTGGGTTTGGGGTGTTAGAAGTCTTAGAATAAGAGTTGGAAGGGACCTTGGAGGTCTTCTAGTCCAACCCCCTGCTTAAGCAGTGAAGGTCCAGCTCCGTTTTTGCAAGGTTGACAAAATTCTAGATCTAGTTGAGTTTAGACAGGTCGTCCTCGACTTACGACCACCATTGAGCCCACAATTTTTGCCGCTAAGCGAGACAGTTGTTAAGTGAATTTTTCCCTATCTTACAACCTTCCATAGTTGTTAAGTGAATCAAGTGCAGCTCTTCAGTTAAGTGAATCTGGCTTCCCCATTGATTTTGCTTGCCAGGAGGTCACAAAAGGGGAAATCAGGTGAACCCCAGGACGCTGCAGCCATCATAAATATAAGTCAGTCGCTAAGCGTCTCAATTTTGATCACATGACCAGTAGGGAAGCTGCAACGGTCATGAGTGAAAAAGTGTCATTAAGTCACTTTTTTCAGTGCTGTTGTAACTTTGGTCACTAAATGAACTGTTGGAAGTCGAGGACTACCTGCACACATCCTCACACAGACACACATTTATATGCCTGCCACAATAAACACAACCCCATCACAAGTTTACCACAGGAAGTGGCATAAAGACAATGTTCTTTTACAAATGTAAAACGTTTTTTTTTCTCCTGGCTAGAGGTAGAGTATGATTTCAGCACAAAGGAGAATTCCTGCTCTCTAAGAAGGAACATATTCCAGAAAAAAAGGGTGTGGATCTATTGGTAAAATCATGAAGACTAAAACATATGAAGAACAGTTGCAGGAACTGGGGATGACTAGTCTGGAGAAAAGAAGGACTAGTGGGGACATGATAGCAGTATTCCAGTATTTGAGAGGCTGCCACAAATCATCATCACAACGGAGAATTCCTTCTGAGAGACCTCCAGTGATGGAGCACCCACAACCTCTGGAGGCAAGTTGTTCCACTGGTTAATTGTTCTCACTGTCAGGAAATTTCTCCTTATTTCTAGGTTGGTTCTCTCCTTGGTTAGTTTCCACCCATTGCTTCTTGTCCTGCCTGTTTTCGAGAAACCCCTGTTCTTTGTGGCAACCCCTCAAATATTGGAACATTGCTATCATGTCACCCCACTCCTTCTCTTCATTAACTAAATCTTTCTTGTCCTAACTTCTGGTGCTTTGAAAAATAAATTGACCCTGCTATCACGTCACTCCTAATCCTTCTTTTCTCTAGACCCGTGATGGCGAACCTATGGCACGCGTGCCACAGGTGGCACGCGGAGCCATATTAGTGGGCACGCCAGCTCAGCTCTGGGGCGCATGTGCGTGCCGGCCAGCTGATTTTTGGGCCTTCTGGGCCCACCAGAAGTAGGGAAACAGGCTGTTTCCTGCCTCTGGAGGCCTGGGGGGGGGGGGAAGGCCCGTTTTTTTTTTTTTTCGCTGGCCCCCGATCCCCCCTGTGGACCCGGGGACGGGGAAAACAGCTTTTCCCACCCCCTTGGGGGCCCTATGGAGGCTGAACAAGCCCATTTCCCCACTCCCGGTGGGACAGGAAGTGACGTTTTTTCCTGTCCTCAGCCTCCAGAGACTCCTAGAGAGGCTCCTACAGACTCCTAGAGAGGTTCTGGAGGCTGGTGACAGGACAAAAACGTCACTTCCTGTCCCACCAGGAGTGGGGAGATGGGACCTTTCAGCTTCCATAGGGCCTCCAAGGGACTGGGAAAGGCTGTTTCCGCCCTTCCCACATACACGGAGAGGATCTGGAACCAGGTAAGAAAGAAAAACGGGCCTACCAAGCCATCATGTGCCAGGAGCGGGGGGGGGAGGGGGAAGGGGGTTGCGCACGCATGCGAGTGGGCACGTGCGCGCGCGACCCTCCCCCGCCCCCCCTCTCCTGGCACGCGATGGCAAAAAGGTTAGCCATCACTGCTCTAGACTCTATTCCTGCAACCGTTCTTTATATGTTTTAGCATCCAACCACCTAATCCTATTCGTTGCTCTTTTCTGCATTCTTTCCAGAGTCTCAGCCTTCTTTTTTAATAAGATGGCGACAGGGGTGAAATGATACCGGTCGCTCCGGTTCGGGCGAACCAGTAGTTTAAAAAAGCTACTGGTTCCTCGGAATAGGTATTTCCAACGATCAGCTGTGCTAAATCATGCGCCACAGCTGATCCCCCCCTGCTTTTCTACTTACATTTCCCAAGCCTCCTTTTGGCGCGCACTGCACGCCAAATGCACACTGCATGTGCATGCATAGTGTACACCAAAAGGAGGCTTGGTAAAGTAAGTACAACAGCGGGGAGGGGATCAGCTGTGCAGTGCAGTTTAGCTTTGCTAGAAAGCAGGAAATCCTAATTTCTAGCAAAGCTAAATTGCGTGCCATAGCTGATCCCCCCTCTCTTCTACTTAACTTCGCAAGCCTCCTTTTGGTGTGCACTGCGCATGCGTGTGCAGTGAGCATTTGGCATGCAGCGCATACGCACGGCCAGCGAACCAGTTTGGATTTCACCAATGGATGGCGACCAAAACTGTATCATATTTTTTCCTTGTGTTCTGGAAAGGCTTCGTAGCATTGTGGTGTCCACTGATTGCATGAACAAAGACCTGCTACGATGCCTTTAAGCTCAGATCACTGCAAAATAAGTGTGTGGGCTGCCATCATCCCCAGAAATCCTTAACACCTCCCTTGATTAGTTTCCATCCATTGTTTCTTGTCTTGCCTTCTGATGATTTTGGAAAGTAAGTTGACGCCCTCTTCTTTGTGGCAGCCCCTCAAATATTGGAAGACTGCTGTCGTGTCATCCCTAGTCCTTCTTTTCTCTAGGCTGGCCATACCCAATTCCTGCAACTATTCTTCATAGACTGCAGAGATTCTCAGTCATCCAGGTCATGGTTGTCCCAAAAGTTTTTTTTTTTCTTTCAGGAGGCCACTGGACATTCTTGTTTTTTATTTGAAGATGTTTCGCTTCTCATCCAAGAAGCTTCTTCAGCTCTGGGGGGATAGTGGGGAATGGAAGGATTTCTATTCCTTGCAGACAGCTGGTCATTTGCATCCTTTTAGAGCAGGGGTCTCCAAACTTGGCAACTTTAAGACTTGTGGACTTCAACTTCCAGCAAAGCTGGCTGAGGAATTCTGGGAGTTGAAGTCCACAAGTCTTAAAGTTGCCAAGTTTGGAGACCCCTGTTTTAGAGGGTCGTTGAAGCACTTGGAGGTTTATCTGTGTCCTCACGGTCACCTGAGTGGTGCTCCTGGTTCCTGTAGTCTGCAATTTAATCAGCTGTCTTCAAGGAATATAAATCCTTCCACTCCCCACTATTCTGTCAGAGCTGAAGAAGCTTTTTGGATGAGAAGCGAAATGTCTTCGCAAGAAAAAACCAAGAAAGTCCAGTGGCCTCCTGAAAAAGCACCTTTAGGACAACCATGACCTGGATGACTAAGAATCTCTACAAACTATTTATTTTATTAATTTAAAAAAAAAATTAGTTTGTCAAACATGTACAAGGTAACAGGTATAAGTATAAACATCGACATGAGCACATGAAATGAGTACAAATAAATGGGGACAGAGGACAGAGACGGTAAGCAGGCTGGTACACTTATGCACGTCCCCTTTACGAATCTCTTAGGAATGGGGTGAAGTCCACAGTAGACAGTTCAATGTTGAAATTGTGGGGGTTTGAGGATGTAACAATGGAGTCAGGTAGAGCATTCCAGGCATTGACCACTTCGATGCAGAAGTCGTATTTTCTGCAATCGAATTTGGAGCGGTTTACCTTGAGTTTGTATTGATTGTTTGCCCGTGTATTATTGAGGTTGATGCTGAAGAAGTCATTATTATTATTTTATTATTATTTATTTGATTTGTATACCACCCTTCTCCAGCAGGACTCAGGGCAGTGAACAGCCGAGATAAAACAGAGCATACAAAATTTAAAACACAGTTTAAAAAGTAATTAAATAATTTTGGGCCACAATTTAGAACAACCCAATTAAAAACAATTTCAAATTAAAACCGAAATGGATGGGATCAAGCCAGCCCAGCTAGGTGAAATAAATGAGTTTTCAGGGCCCGACGAAAAGTCCGGAGGTCTGGTATCGTGCATATACATTGACAGGTAAGACATTGTAGCACACAATTTTGTGTACTATGCTTAGATCAGACCGCAGGCGGCGCAGTACCAAATTGTCCAAGGTCAAAATTTCAAGCCTGGTGGCATAAGGGACTCTATTGGGAGTAGAGGAGTGGAGGATTCATCTTATGGACTCCTAGTGTCTACTAGCATTAATTAACCTATTTTAAATCTCCGTCTGATGTTTGTAAACTGTATGGATGATACAGAAATACGATTTGCATTCTTTATTCTTATTATTTTTACACTATATATATATATAGAACACTATATATATATATATATATATATATATATATATATATATATATACACTCTATATATATATATACACTCTATATATATATATATATATATATATATAGAGAGAGAGAGAGAGAGAGAGAGAGAGAGAGAGAGAGAGAGAGAGATATACAACTTAGTTTACGTAGGTAAAACCTGGCTAGAAAGAATATGCACATAAAAGCCTACGAAAAAGAAAAAAACACATTGTACCTTTACAGGGAGGATATCTGAGAAGTGGGTGTGGCTCACTGATGACGCCTTAAAAGGCAGAAATAGCTATCTGAGTCTCCCAGAGAGCAACACAGAGTTGCAGTTTGTCAGCAGAAAAAAGGCCCAGAAACTTGTGAATGAGATTTCACAGAACCAGGGCTGTAGAACAACTTAGTTTACGTAGGTAAAACCTGGCTAGAAAGAATATGCATATATATATATATATAACAATGGAGTTAGGTAGAGCATTCCAGGCATTGACCACTCTGTTGCTGAAGTCGTGTTTTCTGCCATCGAGTTTGTATCTATTGTTTGCTATGTTTAACTATTATTTATATTGTTTACTATGAAGAACCCTTGCGGAATTGCATCGTTGGGATGTTCTTCATAGGCCTTCAGGCCTTCAATCATCCTAGTTGCTCTTCTCCGTCCTTCTGGAGGACACCTTTAGGATTGAGCGATCTGATCTCCCTGAAGTCCAAGGGACTCTCAAAGGTCTTCTCCCGCACCACAATCTGAAAGCATCACCCTGCTGTTCGAGGGATACATAAACCCGAGGACCATCCAGGAGCCTGGATGCAGAGGGGTGAAGGAAGCCTTTGCAATACCCGGCGGCCACCAGGGGGCAGCCAAGCGGCCCATTTCATTCTTGCCCGGGTTTTAGGGCTGGGAGCCGCTGGGAAGCTGCAGTTGCAAGCCAGCTCATCCCTTGCCTTCCAAAGCTTGGCTTGGGCTGCCCTCTGTGGGCCGTCCGGAGTTTGCCCCCAGGCTCTCCCCTCCTGGCACCAACCACGTCCGCGCAGCCGTCCAAAGTAGCTTTGCCTTCTCTCGTTGGCCGAGCCCCCGCCTCCCTCTTCTCGCCCCGCCTCCCGGATTGGCTCCTCCTCCCTCTTTCTGGGAAGGGAGGCTGGGAGCGAAGCACAAAGGGAAGCGTCGGTCGTTGCCTCCCACCCTTCCCCCCCCACCCCGCGAGGAGATCCGTGGCTCCGGTGAGTCCCTTTGCAACGCTCGGCTCTTTTCCGCCTTGCAGGATTTAAAACCGGGGTGCAGTGATCGCGTCCCCCCCCTCCCTCCTTCCTACGCTTGCACTACAACTCCCATTGTCCCCAGAGCTCCTTGCCGCAGCTTCCCACGTGGCTGGCTGGCTCCCTCGCTTCCCCACGCCCTTCCTTCTCTTTCCCTTCCCATCTTTTGCACCGCGTCTCAGCGTCCCCCGCCACGCTATCCACTGGGGTCGTGTCCTTGCTTTCGATGCCCCCCCCCTCCCCCACTCCTCAACCCACCCACCCCCGCCGCAGGCCGATCCTAGCCATCGGAGAGTAAGTAGCTCCTTGATTTCTGATTTCTTTCCCCCTTCGAAAGTAGGACGCGAGTAAAAGACGAGGGGTGGGGGGAAGGCGCCTTGGGGGGGGGGGAAGGAATCCTCCCTTTTTTTAAAAAAAATGGGAATATCCATCTCTAGGATCTTTTCCAAGGAAGATCCCGCCGCCCTTCCCCAAAGCGATCCCCCTCCTCCTTACAAGGAAAGAATGTGGTGGGATGATTGCACCGGATTTAGGAGGGCTGGGATCCACAGGGAGGTTTTTATGCGATGCAAAAATCTGCGTGGGTTTCTGAGGATTTTTTCGCCTGTAGGGTTGAAAGGTTTTTGTTAAATCCCTTTCTTGAGGATCACTCAGGGGGAAAAAAAAAAAAACCACACCAAGCGTGGGCAGAGAAGTGTGATTCCTATAAAAGCCAAAACTGGGCCTGAGCTGGGTGGGTGGGAAGAGGATCCTTCCTGCTTGTCTTTTCCCCCCACCTGCAATGTCTTAATTTCCTTGTTCCTCTTTTTGGAGGAAGAGGAAGGGCTAAGGTGAAAAGCGCATTGGGAAGAAAGCAGATGCAAAAATTGCAGGCAGAGGTGGGTGGGAAACAGAGATGTTGTGGTTAATTTGGCTGGAACTCTGGGTGGAAGCTGAAGGTGGAAAAGGGCCATGAGGATTGGAGCCCCAGAGAGGATTCTCCTTTTAATGCCCACCCCCCCCATGGGCGAAAGACTGAAAAGCACCCCCAGGTTTCTCCACTTATTCTTCAATAGTTGGTGGCATCTATCAGTTTCCAAACTAGATAGCATAAATAGAACAGAAGAATAGGGATAGGATGATGATGATGATGATGATGATGATAATATTTTATTTCCATTCCAGGATGGAATGGAATGGAATGGAATAGAATGAAATAGAACAGAAATAGAAAAATAGGGATAGGACAGGACATTCTTTATGTCCTGTCCTGGAAGGAGCTCCCCCCGGAGATACGGAGGATCCTGGATCTGCGTACCTTCCGTCGCGCGCTCAAGACGTTCTTATTTCATCAAGCTGGCCTGACCTAAGTTTTTTTTTTCCCCTTTTTAAATGGAAATTTTAAATTTGGTTTTAAATTATTGGGGTTTTAAAATTTGTTCAGCCAAATTATTGAATTTGTTTTATTCTATTTTAAATTTTGTATTTATATGTTTTATTCTATGGCTGTTCACCGCCCTGAGTCCTGCGGGAGTAGGGCGGTATACAAATTCAATAAAATGAAATGAAAATGAAATTGGCCAAGTGTGATTGGACACACAAGGAATTTGCCTCCACTACATATGATCTGTGTACATACAAGCAACAAGTGATAAATCATTAGCAATAGCACTTAGACTTATCGACTGCTTCACTGTGCTTTACAGCTCTCTCTAAGCAGTTTACAGAGTCAGCATATTGCCCCCAACAATCTTGGTCCTCATTTTACCGACCTCAGAAGGATGGAATGGATTAAAAAGAAAAGGAGTGGAAGGGAGATCTGACTTGGCTAGCTATAGGTAGTCCTTGGCTTACAACCGTTCATTTAGTGACTAAAATTACAACGGCACTGAAAAAAGTGATTTATGATCATTTTTCTGCTGCTGTAACATCGTAATCTACAAATCCCCAGGGAGAAACTAATCTGGCCGTCTGATTTTTAGAAATACCCTTTAATCTCAGCAATGTAATTTTGCTTGAGACAGGAAGGTGGTGAAGAGAGTGGTGAGGACGGCAGAAAAGATTATGGGTAGTTCACTTCCTTCTATCCAAGACATGGCATAAAAGTGATGCTTGAATAGAGTCTGCAGGATTATCTGGGATGCTACACATCCTCTTCACAACCTGTTTCCCTTGTTACCTTCGTGGTATCGTGGACATCTAGATTCAGTCACAATTTTGTTCCATATAGCGTGTGAACTCTCTCAAGTTTCCTCTTTCCGCTATGTATTCAAAATGGACAGTAATTAATGTGTGTGTCTGTGTGTGTGTGTGTGTATCAAATTTATATTTTGCTGATAAATAAAGGGAGACTAGTATAGATCTATTATTTATTTTATTTTAAATTTATTTTAAATTTTTAAATATTATTTATTTTTTAAATATTAAAAACTATTTAGCTCTCATCAGCTAGCCATACCCTTACTTGGATTCGAACTTGTGCTGCCTGCATATTAGGCAGTTGTATTAACCTCTGAGCCACAAGTTCTCCTCCCTTTATCAGCTTGAGCCAGGGGAGAGATTAAGTGTTGAGGGCTCCTGGATTGGAGCTGAAAGGCGAAAGGGATGCAGTATGCTCCCTCCCTCATGCTGGGGTAGACCAGGTGTCTCAATAGAAAAACACTTAATATATATATATACACACACACATACATGTAGGTAGGTAGCAGGGGTGGGTTTCTACCGGTTCGCACCAGTTTGGGTGAACCGGTAGCGGTGGGAGGCTCCACCCACCCACCCAGACGTCATCAAAAATGCTCTGCGTAGAAGTGCCGCGCCTGCGCGCTACCGATAGCAAACTGGTAGCCCCAGGATTTGAATGCCATCTCTGGTAGGTAGGTATATAGCATGTGTATATGTGTGTTACAGATGTGCATGAATAGATATATACTTTTTCTTTCGAGTGCAGGCAACAAAATTTCATTTTTAATGTGGACCAGTGTGCTTACAGTAAAAAATGACAATAAACATTATCTCTTCTCTTTTCTTGCAAGTCCTAAGGCTGAAGAGTTTCAACCATCCGAGCCTCCGGAAGAAACTTGGCCGTCCAGCGGCGTGAACTTCTAACCTGTTTGGGGCAGACTTCGGAGATGGAAGACCAAGATTTGACTAGCCTTGAAGCTGGAAGAAGCCTCGATGTCCTGGATGTTGGAAATGGGGCAGAATTCTGGGGGAAGAAAGTGCAGAATATCTTGCGGGGGGTGCACACTTGCTGGTCAGAACAGCACAAGCGGTTCAGGGAGTTTTGTTACCAAGAAGCGGAAGGTCCCCGGGAAGTCTGGAGCCGAATTCATGACCTTTGTCACAAATGGCTGAAACCCAAAAGGCATACCAAAGCTCAGATCTTGGATCTGGTGATTCTGGAGCAGTTCCTGAAAATCTTGCCGCCAGAGATGGGGAACTGGGTTCGAGAGTGTGGGCCGGAGACCAGCTCGGAGGCCGTTGCCTTGGCGGAAGGATTCCTTCTGAGCGAGATAGAGGGAGCGCAGGTAAGGGTATTTTCATCGGGTGCCTAAATTGTTGGCTCAATTTTAGAAAGCAATCCGAAAAGCTATCCTTTTCTGAATTTCACCCAAGAAAGAAATAGCCAATTCCAGTGTAGCAGAGCACTGGACAAATGGACACTCTCTATTTGCACATTATTAAACTGGGTTTGCTTAACCACAGTTTGTTGAATGAAGTGTGATTGCTTGGATCACCTCACAGGCTGAGCTATCAGGTGTACAATTTGTAGAAATCATTATCGGAAGTTCTTCCCAAGCTCTTAAAGAGTCCTGGCGGTTGCCAGCAAGAACAGAAATACAGCTAGTCCTCAACTTAAAACAGTTCGTGTAGTGACCAACATCACTGGAAAAAATGACATGATTGTTTTTCACACTTATGACCGTTGCAGCATCCCAACGATCATCGTGATCAAAATTAAGATGCTTGGCAACTGACTCATATTTATAACGGTTGCAGTGTCCCGGGGTCACATGAGTCCCCTTTGGTGACCTTCTGACAAGTCAATCAATAGGGAAGCCATTCACTTAACAACTGTGGCAAGAAAGTTCGTAAAATGGGGCAAAACTCACTTAACCATCTCACTTAGCAACAGAAAAGTTCGGCTCCGTTGTGGTCGTATGTTGAGGACTACATGTACCATAAACCTTTATGTGCTTGAGGAACATTGTTTCCCAGCGTTTTAAGAAAACTGTCAATTGGATCGATGTCTTGGCAGGAATCACATAAAGAAATTGGTGAAGAGAGGGGTCAAAGTTGACTGCTGAAAGATTGAAATAGTAAATAAAATATTGAAATATTAAATTAGACCATATATTGAGAAGATCTTTCGAGTGGTGCAGTGGCCTAGAGGTGGAGCTCTCACTTCACAATTGGGTAGCTGTGAGTTTGATCCTAGGTAGAGGCTGATATTTCTCTCTAGGCCAGGGGTCTGCAACCTTAAACACTGAAAGAGCCATTTGGATCTGTTTCCCACAGAAAAGAAAACACCGGGAGCCACAAAACCCTTCCCATGTCTGACTATTTCTTGAGCGGCCACAAAACTAGCATGTATAGTTGAATTAAACATTCTGTTTTTTTCTGAAACTTTTATTTTCTTGGATTTATCCATGGTTGCCCTATCGGGGGTTGAAAAGCTCAATAAATCACATGCCAATGGGTGTCACACATTGATGGTTGTGACGCATATTTTGAGTGACAGGGAGCCACAGCAGAGGGGTGAAAGAGCGACATGCGGCTCCAGAGCCGCAGCTTGCTGATCCCTGCTCTAGGCACACTGAGAATATATGTGCTGAACAAAACTCCGCATTGGTGACAGGAAGGGCATCCGGCCAATAAAACACGAGAATTATGGGGTCGTTAAAAGATAAAGAAGAAGATTGAGAAGAACATTCCCTTCCCTAGCCTTGAGATACCCTGGTGGTGGTTGGTTAATTGGTTTGGTTTATATAATGGCCCACCATTTAGGTCCTAGCCAGATTTGGCCTTGCTTACCTTTTTCAAAATCAGCCAAGTTCAATTAGATGCTATTCCATGAAGATCTTGCTGTCGTATCCATGTAGTTTTATTGGTAAAAAAATGGAAGTGGTCTGTAATTGCCATCTTATAGCATTAATTAATTAATTCCAGTCATTCATTTCTACATACATGTTACTTTTATAGGTAGTCCTTGACTTGCCACAGTTCGTTTAAAAAAAAGGGGCAAACCAAGTCATGCCCAAAACTTCTTTTATTAACCAGTCGTTTTAATGGAAACAAGCAAATCCCAAAAGATTTGGAAACAGGTAGTAAAAAAGCTAAAAATTGTCCTGCAAAAGAAATAACTTTTCTTTTTCTTTTTTTGCAAGACATAACCTAACTAGAATGTGGACATTAAGTACGTGGTTAAATAGGTTTAAAAAAGGAGTGTCAAACTCGATTTCATTGAGGGCCACATCAGGGTTGTGTTTGACTTGAGGGGGGGCAGTGGGGGGAAGGCCAGCTCGACGTCACTTGTGTTGGGGGCACCTATAGTAGCCTGAGTGATCTGCCAGCAAAAATGAAGCTTGGGAGGGCTGCGTGAGGCCCTCGCAAGCTCCATTTTCGGCTGAGACGGCCTCCTGCAACCCTCTGCCAGCGAAACTGGAGTTCGGGAAGGCCTCGCACAGCCCTGCCCAGCTCCGTTTTCGCTGGCAGAGGCACCATGGGCTGGTCCTTCATTGTTTCCAGAGTGGACCCGTGGGCCAGATCTAAGCATCCTACGGGCCGCATTTGGCTCGAAGGCATTGAGTTTGACACCCCTGGTTTAAAAGGCGACAGGACAAAATCATAGCGATTTTGAAATCAAGACTCCTCATTTTCATCCCTGTTGGTTCTTTGAGCAAACTTCCATAACGCCTATAATTTCCTGGGAACGTGAAGAATTGAACCCACGTTTGCAAAAATGATGAGTAATTTTCTTTGCATGGATTCTTCTTCCTGGTTTCAGGCGCAAGGGATGCTGGCCAGACCTGCCTCTGAGTTTCCTGACCCGGACAGTTTATCAGCCGCCACTAATCCAAGGCCACCATTTGAGAAAATCCTGATTGATAAGGCCACCTCTCTAGGTAAAGACCAGCGGATGGTATTTCATTGAATCAATCGCCTTTTCTCACGATCCAGTGTAAAAGATACAATGTGTGAAATCTGTCTTTGTTTTACCTGCAGAAAATCAAGTGGCCATTGATGGTGGGAGAGGAACCGCTTCTCTGCAGTCAGATCAGGTAAGACAAGGATTACGCAGGGAAGCGCAGCAGGGGTGGGTTCTACTTACCCTTAGTACCGGTTTGCAGCGGGACCGCGCGCATGCACTTGCTTTGCTCGCGTGCACTTCTGCGCATGCACAGAAGCTTCCTGACAACATCCAGGTTGGTGGGCGGAGCCTCCTGCTGGTTTTACTACCAGTTGTGAACCGGTCTGAACCGGGGGCAACCCACCACTGAAGCACAGGAGTAAAGATGTCTGCAAGATGAGTGGCTTTCATCAGAATGACAGAAACAGGGCTGTCCCTTTCCAGCAGAAGCTTTGTCCCTTTCATACATGATCCATAATTTTTTTTAAAAAAAACAGAGCTTGCCAAACAAACTGCGAAAACCTTTGACTGGATTTTGTCCTTTACAAATCTGTTGTTCCCCATCCAGACCCCCATAGCCTCCAAGCACTGCAAGAGGGCAGCCACAGAGTCACTTGAGTCATGGGAATGGAGATGGAAAGTTGAATATCATCAGCACACTGATGGTACCTCATCCCATGTTGGCACATGATTTCACCCAGCTCTGAGCTGAAGAAGCTTCTTGGATGAGAAGCGAAATGTCTTCAAAGAAAAACAAAGTCCAGTTGCCTCTTGAAAAAGCAACTTTGGGACAAGTGCAACCAGTGTTATTTCTGTCCCATAACCAGGCCTGAATCCTCACTGGAGGGGATCAAGATACTCCATTTTATTCAGAACCCTCTGAATTCTATAATCTTCCTTAGAAAGGGAAGGCGGGAGATTGGACAAAAATTGTCCAGACTAGTGGGATCAAGAAATGTTTTTTTGAGGAGGGAGTGAACTGGGGCCTCCTTGAAAGGTCCCAGAGATGCCTCCTCCCGCAGTGAAGACTTTATCAGTGCCTGGTGGTCACCATCTTGGAAGCTTTCACCAGCAAGAAGGATGGGATCTAATTGACAGGTGATTTTGCCAACAGCATTTAGGACCCTATCCACTTCATCAGGTTCAACAGGCTCGAACCATTTACAAATAACTGAATAAGACCCAAAGGTTCCTTTTTTTCAGAAGGCAACTGGACTTTCTTGTTTTTTCCTTTTGAAGACATTTCGCTTCTCATCCAAGAAGCTTCTTCAGCTCTGACAGGATAGTGGGGAATGGAATGGATGAGAAGTGAAACATCTTCAAAAGAAAAGAAAAGAAAGAAAAAAAACAAAGTCCAGTTGCCTTCTGAAAAAAGCACCTTTGGGACAACCATGACCTGGATGACTGAGAATCTCTACAGATTTTAACTGAGTAAGACCTTTCCCCAGGTATCTCTAATGCAGTGGCCTTCAAACTTTTGGGCACCAGGTACAGGTTCCGTGAAGAAAGGTTTTTCCATGGACCAGAGGGGGCATGGTTTTGCATGCTGCCTGCATACCGTGGATGGGGCTCTGCTTGTTTGCGGGGCATGGTTGGTGGCATGCCCGCAACCAATGTTGGTCCACCTACAGGGGTTTGGGGACCCCTGCTCTGATGGACCTCTAACACCCACAGGTTCCAACTGGGAATGAAACTGAACAACTTTGTTCCTCTTGCCTTGCCTTGTATTAAACAAAAGAATCATGTTTTGGCTTTGTATGATGTATTTTAGTCCTGTCACCTTCTCTCCGTTAAGAAGTTTGAAGGCAACTGAGAAAATATCGGCTTGTAGAATAACATGTTTTCTTCTTCTTTTAGGGCTCAGGGCCTGTTAACAAAGTGGCTACAGAGGAAAGGACTCCATTAGATCCAAACCAGATGGACACAACAGAAGAGAATTATGGGATGGTGCCGTCTCTGGGTAAGTTTTCATCTTGGTTACGATAATCAGAAATGACTGCCATCCATTGTGCTAATTGGTGCCCTGTGGGTGAGTCTTAGAGAACAGTAGTAGCTCATCCATGTGCATTATGCCAGAGCATGAAAAGCAGTGAGAATAGAATGTGAGTCAGTTGTCAAGCATCCAAATGTAAATCATGTGACCATGGGGATGCTGCAATGGTCGTAAGTATGAAAAATGGTCATAAAGTCACTTTTTTCAGTGCCATTGTAACTTTGAACAGTCACTAACCGAACAGTTGTAAGAGGAAGACTATCTGTACTAAAAAGAACTGAGGAGATGCCATAAACAATCACCTCAGCCTAATTTTTATTTATTTTTTTTAAAATTTATTTATTTTCTGCCTTTACTATTTTTATAAATAATAAAACATACCTAATATTCTTTCCTCCTCCTACTTTCCCCATAACAACCACCCTGTGAGGTCAGTTGGGCTGTGAGAGAATTACTGGCTCAAGGTCATCCAGCCCACTTTCATGCCTATGGTAGGAGTAGAACTCACATTCCCGGTTTCTAACTTGGTAGAACTTAGCCACTAGACCAAACTGCCTTTTATGACGTTTGTGGTGTCCCGGGGTCATGTGATCATGTTTTGCGACCTTCTGACAAGCAAAGTCCATAGGAAAATCAGATTCACTTAACAACCGTGTTACTAATTTAACAACTGCAGAGATTCGCGTAACAAATGTGGCAAGAAAAGTCGTAAAATGGGGCAAAACTCACGTAACAAATTTGTCACTTAGCAACATAAATTTTGGGCTCCATTGTGGTCATTAAGTTGAGGGCTACCTGTATCTTCTTTTATCACCCTTAATATTTTTGGTTATCAACAGTTTCAGACATAGATGTTAGAGATAGACAGAAATTTGTGAAGGGATTTACTGATTCCATCAGGATATTGCTTGTAGACGTTTCAATACCCAACTAGGTAACCTCATCAGAGATAGTGAGGGTGAGGCTTTCTCCCTGTTTACTTACAGTAGCACTCCCATCAACATTAGCAAGGTAAGCTACTGAATATAAACAGAGACCAAACCCCACACCAAATAGGAAAAGGGAGGTATGTTGGATATGTTTGCCACCCTGAGTTATTTGCAAAAATAATAAAGACAGAATAGAAATAAATAAAAACTGACACTAGCTTAATTCATACTAACTGTCCAAGATTGCCTGTGTGTTTTCTATAGGAACCTTCAAACTGTCTAGCTAACCTTGTTGCTCTTCTGTGTGTAAGAACTACAAATACTTGCCATTCGTGTTTTAACTTTAATTAAGCAATGGGCCAAATTTAAAGCCATAATGGTTTGATACCATAAAATGCTCCTGAAGTAATTTATGCTGTTGTTGTTGCTTTCTTTTCTTGGTACTTTGTTTCAGTGCCCCAAACTAAATTCACGTCATGGCAGGAAGTAACTGAGGATTCATCTGTCAAGGATTCGCAAGAAGAAGAAAGACCAGCAGGTAAGCATTCAGTCATGGGTTCACACATTGCACTAAACAATGGTTTGCTTAGCTATGTTTGTTGAATAAATTATAATCAGCTGGATTCACAAAGCACATTATACCCAAACTAAACAAGCTAACTTTTGGTTTGTATGTTCTATTGTCTCAGTGTTTGTGCCAAGTCACTTTGCATTTATTTTGTGATGGTTTAAAGAATAAGCCAGTTATAAGCTGTGAAGGCATAAATCATGGTTTACAAACCATACTGCATGCACAAACATAAAACTCAGTCATAATGTGGTTAAGTATCACTTTGGTTGAAGGTATTGTCCAAGCACCATCTCTTCTTTGAATCTAAGAGCTCTTCCAGGATTGAGGGTAAAGTTTTCTCTGATTACATTCTTTTTATTGATTTATTCAGATGACGGAAAAAGCAGTAAACAGGACAAACCGAAGTCTGAAGAAAAACAGAAATGGGGAGAGAAAGCTGTCCCTTTTGAAGAGGCTGACTTCTCTCAAATTCCAAAATTAGAAGATTGTACCGAAGAAATGAAAAACACAAGCCATAGTAGAGAAAAACCACCGAAATCCCTTGAGTTTGGAGGTGGCTTAAGTGAGCGGGTAAGCCTTCCTAAACCGCAGAGAGCACATTCAGGAGATAAAACCTATAAATGCTTAGAGTGCGGAAAGAACTTCACAAACCTTAAGTCACATCAAAAGATGCACACGGGTGAGAAGCCATACAAATGTTCCGAGTGTGGGAAGAATTTCCGGTACAACATGAACCTGAAATCACATCAGCGAATTCACACTGGGGAGAAACCATATAAATGTTCTGAATGCGGAATGACTTTCAGCTACAGCATGAATCTGAAATCGCATCAAAAAATCCACACTGGGGAGAAACCGTACAAATGTTCCGAATGCGGGAAGAGTTTCAGTCACAGCATGAACCTGAAGTCGCATCAGAAAATCCACATGGGAGAGAAACCCTATAAGTGTTCTGAGTGTGGGAAGTGTTTTACTCACAATGTGAATCTGAAGACCCATCAAAGAATTCACACGGGGGAAAAACCGTATAAATGTTCTGACTGCGGAATGACGTTCAGGTACAGCATGAACCTGAAATCACATCAAAAAATCCACACGGGAGGGAAACCATATAAATGTTCCGAGTGTGCAAAACAATTCAGTAACAGCTCAGACCTTAAACTGCATCAGAAAGTTCATACAGGGGAAGAACTCTCTAGTGCTCCCAAGGAACAAGTTTAAAGTCAGCGCGCAACCTGTAAGAAGATAATGCAGTAAGGATATTGTTGGTTGTGGGATCCTGCTTTTCACATCTTCTATCCAGGGGTGTTTACAAGAAGGGGTTTAAAAAAGTCAAGAAGAGAGCCATGGCCATGTGATTGAATCCCTGTCCCTTTTAACCTGTGCTAAACAGGAATCGCATAAAAAAACCCCCAAGGTTTAGATCACACGGCCATGATTACCATCTAGATCAGGGGTGTCAAACTTAAGGCCCGTGGGCCAGATCCAGCCTGCAGGGTAATTAAATTTGGCCCGCGGGGCTGGCCTGGAAATGACAGAGGAGTGGTCCACGGTGCCTCTGGCAGCCAAAACGGGGCTTGGGGCACATGCAGCTCCCCCGTGCCCTATTTTGGCCATCAAAGTGCTGCAGGAGGCCGTCCAGGCTGAAAATGAGGCACGGGGGGCCGTGCGTGCCACCTGTGCCCCGTTTTGGATGGCAGGGTGCTGCAGGTGGCATCTGTCCCATCTTGGTCCCCACCCACCCACCCACCCCAGCCCGCAGAGAACTACAATGCTGATCCGGCCCTTGGAGAAATCCAGTTTGACACCCCTGATCTAGATGTTTCCAATACCTCCTGCAGTTTTTTCTGCTTGCCTCAAAATACGAAATGAACTAAGCCTTGTAAAAGTGCTTAGTGTTTGAGATGAATTTCACTGATAGTCTTAAAAGGTTGAATTTCAGCAGAGGACAACTGCATGTTTTATGCACAGAAGTATCCCAGGTTAAAATTGCATCAAGCAATTCACGGAAGTGAGAAGCGATGCAAATAGTCCCATATCTCAAAACAACCTTCAGCCCTAGCAAAAGTCTTGCATCACATCAGGGAATGTAGATAGGGGAGAATCATATTAAATTGTAGAGAGTAGATAGGGAAGAATCGTATTAAATTGTAATATAGACTGAAAGATGGGGAAATTTCCAGTGATCGCATAATACTTCATTTTTAAGAGATTCCATGAATTCAGTGGAAAGAGATGTAAATAATCAAGGAACAATTTTTATCTGGCCAATCTGTAGCCAAGAAGGGTTCAGCATGGTAGGCCAAGATTCCTTTGCTCCAAATGTGGCAGAAAATTCCTTCCAGTACACGTATTTGTGTTTTTAAGTGGGTACCTAACTAGTGACCTCAAATTAACTTTGGCCAAAAAAAAATCCCCCATCATTATAGTTAATACTATAGTTGATTTGTTGGGTAGTGATGGTTTTTTTTTAAATATCTCCATACTGTCACAGCAGTAGTCCCCAAACTTTCTGTCTTGGCCCGGGTGGTGGTGGAAGGGGATGGTTCCGTGTGACTAACAGGCACACGCACAGCCCCATTTGTGCAAGTGGAGCTTCGCACTCAAGCACAAGTGCCCACCACTCATGCAAGTAGAGCTATACATGTGAGGTGCAAGCGCTTGCCACTTGCATGAATGAAGCTCCGCACGCATCTCACTTACCGCTTGTGCAGCCTGGTTCTAAACCAGGCCCCGGGGGAGTGGGGTGTTGGGGGACCCCTGCTTTAAGCAGCCATTTTTAATAAATCAGTGTTGTGCTGCCTGCTTATCTTTGTCCATGACTTGCTTTTAATTCAAGGTTCCCAAAGCTCTGGAAGAGAAAGGTGGAAGTATCTTTTAAAAAAAAACAAAACTGAATTTTCTTTGTGGGGCAAGTTTTTCAAATGCATATAAGCCTTTGTAAATTTTACTACTTTGTTGGTAAAGAACTCTGGATAGTGTACATAATTTAAATGCTGTGGAGGATGGGAGAGTTGATCGAGGAAAAATTAAAATTGTTGAACTGCAATGCTCTTATTCTTTCTGTTGCAACGACTGAGGCAAATGGAACCCCATGGGTGCTTTCAAGTGAAATTTGAAGGAGGAATTCCTTTGCATCTCAACTTTTGGCTTGTACGCTTTAAAAAGTCAGTGAATCAAGGAAAACCTGCATTCTTCTTTCTCTGTTTGTTTTTTGTTTGCATCATATCACTTTCAATTTTCTTCAGTCCTCATTGTCCATCCCATTCCACAATCATCTTCTGAAAAAAAATAAGATCTGGAGTACAGAATTATCTTTATTTCCAAGAATGTCTTTGGTTTCCACATTTTCTCAGGAAAATGGTCAATTTTTTTTAAAAAAAAATATGGATATAGCACAATTTGATGTACCGTTCTTGTTTTCCAGAAAAATGTAATTTCAGCTAGATATTGATGGTAAATATTGTGGTGAGCCAGAAAATGTTTCGGTGAATGATATAACCATCCTGCTTCATGATTAATTTTTTTTTCTTTGAATTTGGTCCTATCTGTGTTTGCCATCCATTTTGAGAAAGGACAAGTTCCATCAACCGTTTTCTTTGGGTATCAATGATACTGTACACTCAGAATTTGTAAAGTAAAAGATTGAGGGCCTTATAATTCTTATAATAAAGTTTCATAATGAGATGTTAGGGATTTCATAAGTATTTTCTCCAGTACTCTTAAGTCTCCTAAAGAATTCCCATAGGAGGGAGTCCTATAAGTATATAAAAAGCTATACTCAAAATGATCAGCTTACCAAAAAGGGATCCACATTATTAAGAAATGCATACAGGGTGGAAAGAGCTTCAGATAAGACTGTTACTTTAGTTTGAAGGATATAGATCAAGAAAGAGAAATAATAATGGATACAAACAGCAGACTACATAGTGGGAAGTTATTGACCTCATCTACTGTTACTTAGGTGACTGAGGTAACCAAGTTGATAAATGTACAGTATAGTTTGGACTCTTCAGTTGCGAGATGCAGGCAATATGCTACCTTGGTGCATTCTGAATTTGGTTGTTTTCTTGCAGATGGTTCACTAGAACTGATGATGTTACCTAGTTGGGTAATGAACCATTTGCAAGAAAACAACCAAGTTCGGAGAGCACCAAAGATCCCGCATTTCAGCCCAGAACTACAAATATTCTTGTTTATTGGTTAATGATATTTTATTTATTTATTTATTTCCAAAAATTTATATGCCGCCCTTCTCCCTAAGGACTCAGGGCGGCGAACACAGGTTAAAACATACAATAATAAAAGGTAACGTAATTAAAATTAAAACAACAATAAAATAATAAAACCCAAGGATCAGGGTCAACCCATTTGTTGAAACAGCCAAGTCTTTAAGTCCCGACGGAAGGAGCAGAGATCAGGCGCCGTCCGAAGCTTGGTGGGTAACTCATTCCAGAGGACAGGAGCGCCTACAGAGAACGCTCTATCCCTGGACGTCGCCGGCCGATGGTACCCTGAGGAGGGCAGCCCTGTGAGCGGACAGGACGGTGGGAGGCGGGTAGGATATGCTACATCTCCCAAGAATTAGCATGAATATTTGAAAGGTGCTGTGAAAGCCTGACCCGAGGAGATTTTAAATGAATGGGGGGGGGGAAGAGGGCAACCCCCCAAAATAACCTGGCAAGTAAATATTAGGGCAGGTAAGGATATGACAGATGGGGAGATACGAATGCAAATATGGGGATAAAGTTATATGATCAATTTCAGGGTCTCTACAAATGTACAAAGTATGCAGTGAATAGGAAGAACATGACATTTCAAAGCATGGAGGTGAATATAATCTAATACATGGTGGGAATGAAACTCCTACTTGGAATGCAAAGAGTGAAGGATATAATGAAAAGAAGGGAAGAGGAGGAGGACTGTAGGTGTGGAAAGCCAAGATATTTTTGAGATTGAGGAAATTGAGCATAAGGGCCTAGTCAAAAGTGTAGGAGTGATAAGTCTTGAACCTCTCTCTGAAAATGAATAAAATGTTTGAAAACGTCAAGAAATAATTAAAAAAGGGCAGCAGGGTGGAGGACCTGATTGAGGTATAAAATCTCTGAAAAAAGAAGTGACATGCAAAAAAACAATAGCCTCAGAAAATGTTAGGGTCCGAGGATCCAATGAAGGAGATTGAGAAAAGAACAAAAAAATTCTTTCCTACAGCAAAGCACTTCATAACAAATGCTATGATTGTCATCAATCTCTGGTCTTCATTCAATACAGTGGCTTCTTTGGTCTTCCATTGAGAATTTACACTGATTCTGTCTTGCTTTCAGAGGTATCCATATTGTTTTGCTTGCAGAGTAAACTTTCTGGAAACTAAGACAGGTATAAATTCAGTTCTCGGCAAAGGAAATCAAATTTGCCATGCACCAATTTGTGGTCATTTCAAAGAAAATCATGAATTCATTTTGTGTAGATGGTCTAGGATTCTAAAGAAGTTCCTAAGGTTTAATCTTGTCTTAATTTCATACTTTATTAAAATCATTTTTAATTCTGTATTTAATTCCTCCTCCTATAATGGATGTTTCTCCTCAAATTCCTTTATTAAACTGCTCCTATATTTAGCTAACTGTTTTCTCTCCCTTATTAAATCAATTCGACTTTGCTCACTGAGTGGAAATTGCCATCTCAGTTTCTTCACACTTCTGTTTCCTGAGGTAATTTTGTTGTTGTAAAACTTGGTTATTTGGTAATTTTATCCTTTAGCAACATGGTTTCCTTCAGTATTTTTCCCCTTTCAGGATCTCCCATTTTACTCTTCCATAGCTTCACATGCTAGATGCCCCTGCCACCATCTTTTATCCCCTCAGATCAGGGGCTGTTCCTCAATAAAAATGTTTCTTAATATCTTCAATACAAAAGCTGGAAAGTCCTCCTGCGGAGAGTCACATGGGATTACTGGATTGTTTTACTAGACGTACAGCATTGCTTTTCTACATTAGATGTTCCCCACAAGCGGGGAGTAATTTAGCTCCGCCCCTTCAAACATTCCCCTTCCTGAATATTTCAAATGTCTCAATAGCAGTTGAAGTGGGAAGTTTCAGAATCCTGCAACATCAGGGGTTCTCTTTAGGCAAGACCAGAGACTGGCTCTTGGCCAACATCCAGTTTCTCAACTGCCCTAACCCTCTCCATAAAGAAAAGGGGTTCAACCTGAGGGCAGTAGAAGTTGTAATTGATGGAAACATCAAGGAGAGAAGCTCCTTAGAAATAAGGAGACATTATCTGATAGAACAATTAATTAGTGGAACAACTTGCCACCAGAAGTTGTGGGTGCTCCAACACTGGAGGTTTTCAAGAAGAGAGGTTAACCATTTGTCTGAGATGGTATAGGGCAGGGATGGCTAACCTTTTTTTTCCTTGGGTGCCAAAAGCGTGTGTGCCCACACCCATAATACAATGCCCCCCCCGCACGCCTATGCATACGCAATCCGCCCCGCGCTGCCCCACCCCCTTGCACAGGCACGTGAGACCTCCCCGTGCTCCCCCACCCCCTGCACATGTGTGTGCGACCCCCCCCGCACCCAATTTTGGGCCTAGCAGGCCTCCGGAGGCTGGAAACTATCCATTTCCAGACTTCCAGTAGGCCCGCTTTTCACCTACCCAGAGCCTCCGTGTGAGCCCTGTACTTACCTGGCATCCAAAACGGGCCAGGTGGAGATTCCTAGAAGGGTTATGGGCATGCGCATACATCTCCCGCATGTGCGGCAGAGACCCAAAAATCAGCTGGCTGGTGGGAGGCGTGCACACATGCGTGGTGGAGCTGATCTAGGGTGGCGGCTCACGTGCCCACAGAAATGCCTCCTAGTGCCACCTGTGGCACGCATGCCATAGATTTGCCATCACGGGTATAGGGTTTCCTGCTTGAGCAGGAATTAGACTAGAAGATCTTCAAAGTCCCTTCCAACTCTGTTATTCTACCCTGAACTCTAAATCTTGATTTTGGTGAACATTCTTCAGAATTTCTCCCTGTGCCCAGAGTTCCCGTAAGCATGATTTACTGAGCAAGGCATTATTGCATGTGTTCCATAGGACATAAAACCACATACTAGTAAATCCCATTGTGGCTTAGTATTGTCATGAGAATCAAGATTTACAGGTAGTCCTCAACTTACATTTAGTGACTGTTCAAAGTTACAGTGACACTGAAAAAAGTGACTTATGACCATTTTCCAATAAATTGTTGAATATTTTAAACCATGGTTTATGACTCAATGCTGTGTGGGCAGGAAAGGTTCGGAGAAATGATATTGAGGAAAATGCAATGTGGAAAAAGTGCACATATAAATTTTTTAATCCTCAGCGAGGACAGTAGAATCTCTTGAAAAGGAGCAAAACCTGTTTTTCCATAGTTGGCCTCCTAATAATTCAGCTATCATTCCAACAAAGATTTGGAGTTCATCTCCTGCTCAATTGTTCATTTTCAACTCAGTATTAGAAATGAAAATATGGGAAGAGGTAAGTCCTCGCCTTCATTTGGGTTTTAAGGGTGAGGAGTTTAAGGATTTCCATGTGGTTTCCAGACCTGAGTTGACAAGGGAGTAGAGGGAGGGCAGGGGATGATGGTATACTGGGGATGGTGTTTTGGAGCCCGACGTGGAGAGAAGAGCCACCCATGCCATCTATCAAGAAGAGAAGCAACCTGGAATTGAGGAAAAACTTCCTAACAGTGAGGACAATTAACAGTTTTCCTTCAGACCTTGAGGGTCTCCATCACTGGAGGTTTTTATGAAGAGACTGGACAGTCACTTGTCTGAAATGGTACTATAGGATCTCCTGCTTGAGCAGGGGGCTGGACTAGAAGACCTCCAAGGTCCCTTCCAGCTCTGTTCTGATTCTCTTTGTCAAGCACCTCATTTCCCTCCAACGTCACTCAGGATCCGGTAGGGGGCGCACTCTATACAAACAACAGGGTTTCGCAGAGAATAGCTTTTGCTCCGGGAAGCATCTTGCCCTGTGTTTGCAGGGGAGAACAGGAAGTGGCGTTTCTCACGCCGAGGGCGCGCTTTCCAGCACCGGCATTCTCTCCAAAAGCCGGATCGAACCTTGGAAACGAACGCGGAACATCGTTTTACGAATGCTCCCTTACGCTCTTTTCTTCCAGCGCTGTCCGGCCGAGAGATCAATAAATTCATTCATTCATTTTCTTGCCTTCCTTCCTTCCATCCATCCACCCAGCAGCCTGGCTTGGGAAGCACCTCCTTCCTGGGCTCTCCTAGATCCCGAGAGAGCTTCTTTGATCCACTGTGATTAGGCTAACTTAAACCCTCTCAAGATTCCAGCTACTGCGCTTCCATTCATCTGCTTCACTTTTACACCGTGGGGAGGTCGCCTACTTCTGCAAGGCGCGCCCTTTCTGAGTGAAAAATTGAGTTCTATTCTATTCCGATTCTGATGTGTACCTGTGGTGGAAGTGGCATAGTCTAATGACTAAGAATTTTGCCACCCCTTTGCAACTATCTTTCATTAATATTGGGATCTGCTGTTTTTGTTATTGAGTCTTGCAAACCACCCAGAGTCAACTTGTGGATTTAGGAATGTAGTTTGCAAACATATTGAATAATGAAAGGAAGTTCTTGTCAGTGTTTTGGATTATAGGTTTCTGCTCATTTTCATTCTTAGCCTGGAAACTGAAGATACTTCCCATAGAATCCAGTCATGGAGGGGAGAAATTACTCATCCTTGAAGAGAACTGAAGGGGGCTCTCCTTCCCATTCTGCTCCCATCAGTGAAAGTGGTTTTGTAGATTCAGAAGAGCCTTTGGATTTGTTTGGACAAGCAGCAAGAACCAGGCAGAACATTCTGGAAGAAGCAGCCACCCACTGCTTTGTCCACTGTTGCCCTTTCAGAGAGCTATGTTATAAGAAAGTTGAGGGACTCCGAGAAGTATGCAGCCGACTCCACCATTTTTATGGTCAATGGCTGAGGGAAGAGGACCGCATGAAAGCTCAGAGGCTGGACTTGGTGGCCCTGCAACAGTCCCTGGGCATTCTGCCCCCAGAGATGGAGGGTTGGGTCTGTAAGTGTAGAGCAGAGACCAGCTCCCAGGCAATGACCCTGACTGAAGACTTGTCCCAGAGTGACGTGGAGCAGACATTACAGAGAAAGCAACAGGTGAGATCAATGTGAATGAATTCTTACATATTTCCATTCTAATATAATTAGAACAATTTTAATAAAATCATGTTTTCATTAGATAGATCATTCTATCCTAGCTTGTCTGATGGTTTCCAAGTACAGGTAAGTTTCTTTTTCCAGTGGGGCTATAGAGTTGGGGCAAGGGGTAGTAATGTTCTCTTTTCTCTTGATTGCTGTTTCAGGTTCATAAGCCTTTCATGGAGGTGACCACCCAACCTCCTAAAGCACCAGAGAATGTGTCACATCTCCTTCAAGATCCGGTCTTAGAGGGGATCTCCCAGGAAGACCCATCTCAGAAGATACAATCAGCTAAAAGAAGGTTCCTTTCGATGTATTGGAGTCCTTGGGAGCATCTAATATCTGAACACTTTTTATTCATAAATTTCTTTTACACTAATACTGTATGCAGATTGCCCTTTGGACATGGTTTTTCTCCAGCTCTTTTAAAACATGTTTAAAATTGTTTCCTCTGCCTTTATTCCTCTCAGAAAATGAAACAGTTAGTTAGTTAGTTAGTTAGTTAGTTAGTTAGTTAGTTAGTTATTTATTTATTTATTTATTTATTTATTTATTTATTTATTTATTTATTTATTTATTTATTTATTTATTTATTTATTTATTATTTAAATTTCTATACCGCCCTTCTCCTTTCGGACTCAGGGCGGTGAACAGTCAAAAATAAAACATTTGTACACAAAAGTTAAAATAGTTTTAAAATAATTAAATAAAGTTTGGCCCATAATTTAAAACATTCCAATTAAAATCAGTATCAATTTTAAAAACCAATATAAAATCAGGCTAGCCCGGCTAACTGAAAGAAATAGGTTTTAAGGGCCCGACGAAAAGTCCGGAGGTCTGGGATCACTCGTATCTCTGGGGGTAGATTGTTCCAGAGGGTAGGCGCCATCACAGAGAAGGCTCTCTGTGCAACTGTACCAATGGAAAGGTGTCCTTTTTGTGGTGAAGCAGAAACAACAGTTCTACTTCCAAGTCAGGTAGGGGGAAGATTCCACCTCCCAACTGCCACAAGGTTTATTCAAAGAATATGCAACTCCCTCCAAAGTGGTCTGAATCCCGTTTCCAGAGCTAGTTTATTAGCTCTGATCTAGCCATTTTTTTTTCAAAGCATAAGCAGGTTTCCAGTAATCTGATATAAAGTCATCATACATTCATAGGATCTCAAATTACTTCTGGAGGAATTCTCCCAACAGTTGTCCATCCACTTGTTCAATTAAGACAGTGTGTCCTAGTGAATAACATAAGGCATTGGTTAAAATGTGGAATATGAATATCTTAATACTTGGTGGACCAAGGGAATGTTAGAATGCAAGTTGCACTTTACTCTTGTCTGTGGAATTGCAGCGGTGGGGAAGAGGTTTGGTGCAGCGGCTTCCGGATTGGACCGGATCGCCTGGTCCGGTAGCAATCTTGGCCGGTGGTTCAGTGATCCAGTAGTGATGGCGGAGCAACGCTCTGCCCACCTGCATGTCATTACTTACCAGGAAGTAATGTTGTGCGCATGTGACACACGCACATGCATTGCATGTGCGCTTCCGAACCGGGAAGGAAGGTAAGTAGATTTCAACACTGATCTTATGGTCCAGAGCGTCTTATAGTACACAAAATACAGTAAATCAAAATAATTATAATAATAAAAGGTAAACTGGGTGCCTTTCCAAAAAGTCAGGGATGGCACTTTTAAAAAATATGCACATTGACAATACTTTGATCAGTGAATTGCATTTTAAGATGGGATTGGACAACCACTTCTCTGAAGTAGTATAGAGTTTCCTGCTTCAGCAGGGGGTTGGACTAGAAGACTTCTAAGGTGCCTTCCAACTCTGTTACTCTCCTATTCTGTTATTCTGCATAATGCAGCATTGCTTGGATCCAAATATGTACTATGCATACACATCATGACATTCTAGGTTCTTGGGAAGAATGTGGTATATATGAAAGCCAACACCAGCTTAAAAAGAGGCAGCTGTGGTTTCACATTGTTGCAAACAGATACCGGTAATAATAATAAGACTTAGAACTTAAACAACTCATGGTTTTTTCTGTGTTTTTTCTTTTCATTCTGAACAGTTGACAGGCAGGACCCTGAGGATCATAAAAAACCAAGTGTGAATTCTTTTAAAAGAACTGAAACTGGAAAAGGGATATTCCAAAATCAAGGGAAACCAAACATGCCTGAGGAAAACCAATTAAACAATAGGAAGAAAAAATCCTCTAATTTTCAATATGGAGAAAATCTCACTTTCCATACCCAACTTCGCAAAGAAAAAGGAAGCTGTATAGAGGTTGGAAAAATGTTCAGCAATAAGTCAAACACCTACAGGTATAGCAGTATCCACATTAAAGAGAAGCAGCTTGAATGCTTGGAACATGGAAAAAATAATGATTTAAATTTGCATCAAAGCATTGAGGTAGAAAAATCATATAAATGTTCAGAGTGTGGGAAAACCTTTGATGAGAACAGTACTTTTAACACCCATAAAACAATCCAAGGAGTGGAGAAGTCACATAAATGTACAGAGTGCAGAAACAGGTTCTATACCAGCAGTGATGCTACTGTGCATAAAAAATCCCACACAGGAAAGAAACCATATAAATCCACAGATTGTGGAAAGAGCTTTGCCACAAGTGGTTCTCTTACTGCCCCATAAAAGGAATCACACAAAAGAAAAACCATTTAAGTGCATAGAATGTGGAAAAAGCTTCAGCCAAAGTGCTTCTTATGAAAAGATCCACATAGGGATGAAATCATCCCAATGCTTGCAGTGTGAAGAGAAATTCGATACAAGCAGCGATCTCATTACTCATAAAAGGATCAATACAAAGGAGAAAGGGTTTAAATACATGGAGTGCGGAAAAAGCTTTACAATGAAGTGTGGTCTTACTTCCCATGAAAGGATCCACACACGGGAGAAACCATATCAATGCATGGAATGTGGAAAGTGCTTTGCAAGTAGGAGTTACCTTCCTTCCCATGCAAGGAGCCATACAGGAGAGAAATCGTATCAATGCATGGAGTGTGGAAAGTGCTTTACAATGAGACGTGGTCTTTATTTCCCATGCAAGAATCCACAGAGAGAAGCCATACCAATGCACGGAGTGTGGAAAAAGCTTCATTTGCAGTACTAGCCTTACTTCTCATCAAAGGATTCATACAGGGGAGAAACCATATAAGTGCAAGGAATGTGGAAAGTATTTCAACTGGAGTAATTCCCTTCGTTCCCACGAAAGTATCCATACAGGAATCCATCCATCTATGTATGGTTTGCGGAAAGAGATTCAATAGAGACAGTGATCTCATTTCTCATAAAAGGATCCACACAGGGGAGAAGCCATATAAATGCAGATTGTGGAAAGAGCTTCACTTTTTGAACCCAGAAATAAGCGCTTGGCCTAATTTTTGGGGAGGTCTTATTATTTTGGGGTGCATGGAGCAAGATGGGGCTCCTCATGCCGTCTTACTTGATTTCCAGCTCTGCGTTTAAATATTTTCAGGGAGGGCTTATTTTCGGGGGGAAACTTATTTTAATGAATGCGCTGAAAAACCCAATTGGGTTTATTATCAGGGGATGTCTTATTTTCAGAGAAACAGGGTATTACTTATAACCATATTAATGGCTTTGCTGGCAACCTAAACTATTTGCCTTGACATTTTTAAACATTATTTCTTTACTTAATATACTAAGTCTTTAGTTACAGTACTACCACAGCATGTTTATACCAAAATACACATCATCATCTTTTAACGACCCCATAATCCCTTGCAGAGTGCAGCCTGGGCAACTGAATGGAGCTAGCAGAGTGTTTAATGGCCAGATGCCCTTCCTGTTGCCAATGTGGAGTTTTGTTCCACAGATATATCCTCACTGTGTCCAGACAGAGAAATATCTGCCTCTACCAAGAATCAAACTCACAGCCTCCTGATTGTGAGGCAAGAGCTCCACCTCTAGGCCACCACACCACTCCTTATACCAAAATACATATATGGGCACTCTTCCTAAAAAAAAAAAGTTAGGATCTTCCAGCTGGAGAATCCTTTCCTGAAAAATGACTTTGGGGCAGAATCCCTCAGCACTACCAGTAACATCATTTTACTATAAGAGGATTTACAGAATAATTAGCTTACAAAATAATACAGAATTTCCATAAAGTTGGAAGGGACCTTAAAGGGACCTTTCATCTAGTTCAGTGGTCACCAACTAGTGGTTCGTGAGAAAATTTTGGTGGTCTGCAAAAAAATTATTTGCATTTTTTTATATTGCACTAAATCAGGGGTCCCCAAACTACACCCCCTGGTCTAGATACGTGCAATGAACGTTTGCGTTGCTATAGAGTCTCCCCCTTTGGGGTCTTTGTGTGTGGGTTGGAGGGGGGGCAAAAATTCCGACTTGGGGTCTGCTTCAGCCTCCTGGTGCAGGGCTTTGGGCAAAGGCTGGAGGGAAGTGCCGCTGATGGCAAGGAACCTTGTTCCAAGAGGACTGCATCATGGCCTGGAACTGGCTGACCATCTCAGCCCACTGAGCCTCCAGCAGCTCAGAGATGCAGGAACTCTTAGCCCAACCCCTTCCAATGGTTCTTTTCTGAAGGTTCTCAAGATGCTCCAAAGGACCATTTTTTCTGAGGGGGAGCCTTGGCCAGATCCGCCCTCTTCCCCGCAGGCTCCAGACAAAGAAAGCCATTTTTCTCTGTTCCAAGTTTGTCTCCGATGTTTTTCAAAAGGAAAACTCCCAGGGATGCTGCTTGCATCCCTGGGAGGACCAAAAGGACCAGCTGGGGTGCTTTTCTCCTGGAAGCCCCAGCTGCAGATTACGGGAGGGAGCCCGAGTTTCTATAGCTTTACTATAATAGTAGTGAACTCCATGGCATTGGCTTCCTCGTCTGGTCTATCTTGCCAGGATAACAGTTGGAATGGGGGGGGGGGGACCTATTTTGGCAAGGATGAAGAAGTTTGGCTTGGCTCTGCAACCAAACAAGTCCGACACAGACTTCAACGGATAATTAGAACTGCAGAAAAAACAATTGCTACCAACCTGCCTTCCATTGAGGATCTGGATACTGCACGAGTTAAAAAGAGGGCTGTGAAAATATCTACAGACCCCTCACATCCTGGACATAAATTGTTTCAACCTCAAAAAGTTGCTATAGGGCACTGCACACCAGAACAACTAGACACAAGGACAGTTCCCCCCCCCCATGACATCACTCTGCTAAACAACTATTTCCCACAACACTGTCAAACTATTTAGTAAGACTGTATTACTATTATTCTTCTCATCTTTCCTATTATGTCTCCCCTATTTATGACTATAACTTTGTTGCTTGAATCTTTACGATTCATATTGTTTTAGTTTCCTAGTATGATTTATGTTGATTGCTTATTTAATATTCTATAGTAGAAAGTTAGCACCCACCCCTCTATCCTGGAAATACTCCAGGAAATATTAAAAAGGCAAAATATTATACCTCCCCGGATGAGAAAAGGAAAAACATGTTCTTGAAAAGCAGCCCCCACCTTTGTTAATAGCCCCAGAAAGACTGAGCCATCCTATCTACAAGACAAAAGGCCTTCAGCCTTAGGGTGATAGGATTAGCCCTCACTCAAGATCCAAACCAGGACAAAGCAATTAAGCCATAATAGGAATTGCCCAACACAAGCCTCTTCATTGCATCACCCAGCAAGATTCAACCAAGCCTGGGACACAGACAGCATACAAAGTTAACTAAGACCCCCCCCCATAGCCCCCTGGGAGTCTGACAACCAATAGGATATATTTCTTGCACAGGAACAGGAAACTGGCCGTGATGGCAAACCTATGGTACGTATGCCACAGGTGGCACGCAGAGCTCTCTGCAGGCAGGCCAGCCATTGCCCTAGCCCAGCTCCAGCACATGTGCCTCCCACCAGCCATCTGGTGTTCAGGTTTCTCCCACACATGCACGCAGGGGGATGCATGCACAAGGGGCACTCACATTGCATTTTGGAGGTTGGTGCCTGCGCCCCCCCCCTGCACAGTTTTGGGCCTGGAAGGCCTCCTGCACCAACCTGGAAGCCAAAACGGGGCATGGGTGCATGCATGGGGGACACGCGCGCATAAATGGGCAGGGCACATGCATGGGGGACATGTGCGCATGAACAGGGAGCTCGCGCACACGTGCATGCTTTCACACACACACTTTGGGCACTCAGCACCAAAAAGGTTAACCATCACTGCTCTAAAAGGGGGTATAAATATCTCTCACTCTCCACTCCATGTATTCAGCTGCACCAGGACCATGTGCTTAATGGTTCTGCTCCTTTAAACCAGCTTTCCAAGCAGCCTCCATGTTTCCAGTGTCTTTCTCCCCACTTGGAACTGAATCCAGATGGATATTTCTTCCAACACTATGATTATCACTAAGTATTGTATCTTATGATTTATGAATTTTTATAATGACTATGATCATGATTTATCACTTATAGCTTTTATGTACACTGAGAGTTTATGCACCGAAGACAAATTCCTTGTGTGTCCAATCACACTTGGCCAATAAAGAATTCTAATTCTAAAACAAGAAAATGACATGCTAGAGAGAATTGGCAGATAACTGAAAGATCTTTGGAAGATGTGCACCTATTGGAAAGAGGGTCTTTCCTCAAGTCACTGCGTCGAATACATTCATATAATAATAATAATAATAATAATAATAATAATAATAATAATAATAATAATAATAATAATAATAATAATAATAACAACAACAACAACAACAACAACAACAATAATAATAATTTTATTTCTATACCGCCCTTCTCCCGAAGAACTCAGGGCGGTGTACAGCCAATTTAAAAACACAGGACACAACAATGATTAAAAATTAAAATAATTAAATAGATTTGGCCGATTTAAAACCCCAAAAATTTAAAATACCCCAATTTAAAATTATTATGTTGATAGCCCTGCCTGGCGGAACAACAGTATAACAAAATACATTTTTATTAACGGTTTACCATATTCCAACTCAGGGTGAGGATCTCTCCGCTTCCTCCAATACTTCCATTTGCAATACAGGTAGTCCTCAACTTACAACAGTTCACTTAGTGACCATTCAAAGTTACAACAGCCCTAAAAAAAGTGACCTAGGACCATTTTTCACAGTGACCTCTGAAGCTGTGATGATGCGATCAAGACTGTGAACAAGAACCCCTGTGATCAGGTGATCCAAATTCAGATGCTTGGCAACTGGTTCACATTTATGACCGTCGCTGTATCCCAAGTTCACATGATCCCCTTTTGCGACCATTTGACAAGCAGTCAATGGGGGAGCCAAATTCACTTAACAACCAGGTTAGTAACTTATCAACTGCGGTGATTCACTTAACAATGGTGGCAAGAAAGGTCATAAAACGAGGCAAACCTCACAAGAAATGTCTCCCTTAGCAACAAATTTTGCCCTCCGCTGTGGTCGTAAGTCGAGGACTACCTGTATTTCAATTCTTGAGGTAACTTTAAAAAAAAAAGAACTGGATATCTTTGAGAAATATTCTCATTGGTGAAATTCGATTCCTTTCAATATTCTGGATTTTTCTTTCCTTCAGGACTGCCACAGCTTCTCCTCAGAGATGTCACAGCAATCATCTTTTGACCACTATTCCTCAGGGACACTGTTTGCTAGTACCGTATCTTCAAGTCCTACCCTTGAAAAGGACTTTAGGGCAGAATCCCTCGGCACTACTATTATTTTTTAATTATATTACTATTATAATATTACTACTGTTATTTTATCAGAAGAGGAAGACGTCTTTGTCACTCGGTTCTTCCACATAGACAGGCGGGAAATCGTAGCCCCGCCCCTTCCAACGGTTCTTTTCCGAAGGTTCGCAAGATGCCTCAAAGGCGTTTTTTTTTTCCTGAGGCGGAGTCCGCCAGAACAGCGAAAGGGAGGGCCGGAAGGGTCCCCTGCAATCCTCAATATGGTCTTTCTAGGTAGAAGAATTCGCTCTCTTTAACCCTTTGAAAGCCTGGAGAGAACGAAAACGCCCGGAGCCTTTGATGTCCGTGCGCGCGGCTGCATCTGCGCGGCTCCCCGGACTCTTTTTGGGATCGAGGTCCCAGGCGGGGAAAAGAAGCTTCTTCAGCTCTTGCATAGCTAAATGTCTATGGAGATTCTCAATCATGCAGGTCATGATTGTCCCAAAGGTGTTTTTTCAAGAGTCAACTGGACTTACTTGTTTTTCTTTGAAGACGTTTTCCCTTCTCATCCAAGAAGCTTTTGGACAGAGCTGAAGAAGCTTCTTGGATGAGAAGCGAAACGTCTTCAAAGAGAAACAAGTAAGTCCAGTTGCCTCTTGAAAAAGCACCTTTGGGACAAGAAACAGTTAAACTTTTGGCTCCTTTTCAAACCACTCCGCCTTCCTCACTGAGGATGAAAACTTTTCCATGCTGCTCAAAGGTGCTCTTTTGATTGCAAACATCTCATTTCTGTACTCCTTCTCGGATTTCCGTATGGTCTCCAGACCCAAAATTGGTCAAGAAGCAGAGGGATATCGATACCAAAGGTGCTTTTTCAAGAGGCAACTGGACTTCCTGGTTTTTCTTTGAAGATGTTTCGCTTCTCATCCAAGAAGCTTCTTCAGCTCTGACCAGATGGTGGGGAATGGAAGGACGACTCTCACCCTGGTCATCACTTCTTTACCCTCCTACCATCAGGAAGGAGATGTAGAAGTATAGGCAGCTGCACAAACAGCCTGAAGAACAGTTTTTATCCATGGGCTGTCACTCCTGAATGAGAAATAACATCATAACTACGTAGTAGGATGGACTTCAGGGCCGGCGCAATGTGTAACATGTTCACACTAGTGCAATAGGACTGTTAATATGATTTATTGGGTTAGGGATTTTTTGTCTTCACTGTTTTTTTTTTAATTTGATTTTATATGCTGCCTGTCAGCAACCTGCATTTACTCTAGTGCTGACATAAGAAGGAGAAGCGAAGGCATCTGGAAAGGGACGGCTGACTTTTCACCTACTTATTTTCCCTGGAGATAATGTTTCCGAGGAGATGAGATGGGAGGGGGGAATTCCTTTGAGCTGGAGTAGATTAGTAGATTGACACCGCCCTTCTCCGGAGACTCAGGGCAGCTTACAATGTGTTAAGCAATAACCTTCATACTTTTGTATATTTATACAAAGTCAGTTTATTGCCCCCATAATCTGGGTCCTCATTTTACCTACCTTAGAAAGGATGGAAGGCTGAGTCAACCTTGAGCCTGGTGAGATTTGAACTTGCAGTAATTGCAGGCAGCAGATGTAAGTGGATGTTAATTAGTCTGCTGAGCCACCAGAGCTCCTGTGAGTTGTATTGTGCTGGGGGGCGGGGTGCACTGAGGGAGCTCAACCGATCTCATTGTACATACATTGTGCACTGACAATAAAGATTTGTACTGAATTGAATTTTTTTTTTTAATTTGATTTATATGCCGCCCTTCTCCGAAGACTCAGGGCGGCTTACAATGTGCTCAGCAATAGCCTTCATCCTTTTGTATATTTATACAAAGTCAGCTTATTGCCCCCACAACTGGGTCCTCAATTTATTGATTCCATCCTGCCAGAATTGAAGAAGCTTCTTGGATGAGAAGTGAAACTTCTTCAAAGAAAAACCAGAAAGTCCAGTTGCCTCTTGAAAAAAAAGCCCCTTTGGGACAACTATGATGTGGATAACTGAGAGTCTCCAAAGACAAGCAGAGGGATGGTTTCTTGGACCGAGTCCCCTGTGGAGCAGCATCTCCCTCTCCAGCAACCCATCCATCGCCTGCAGGCTTGGCACGCAGGACCCGCCAGAGGGCGCCCCTATGCAAAACAACCTCCGGGTTTAGCCGAAGAGCTTTTGCTCGCTCCTGGAAGCCTCTCGCCCGATGCTTGCAAGGGAGGGCAGGAAATGACCGTTCCCACCCCGAGGGAGCGCTTTGCAGGAAGCTGCGCTCTCTCCAACCGGTGGACCGATCCTGCGAACGGCTCCTGCCTTCCTTCGCTGGCCCTTCCTTTCCCGCAGCTACCCGGCTTGCGAAGCTCTTCCTTGCTGGGGAGCGGCGAAGTCGGAAGGTTCTGGCGGGCTGAGACCGGGAGATCTTGGCGGTCTCCAGATCTGGAAGAGGGGTGGGGATCTGGTGGTGCTAAGATGGAAATCCCCCAATTTTCCACCTTCTGCACTTCTCACTCACCTGCCCCGTTTTTCCTGCGGGCCGCGCCGGACTCTTAATTTCTGCGAGGAGAGGAGGAGCTTCTTGGTCAGAGATTGAATTCTGCACCGTTCTCTTGAAGATTCCAGCAAGTTTAGGGTTGGGTTTCTGTTGAGAGCATCTGGAACATCTGCAGTTCAGAGGATCTGGGTTTTCTGGCTTGGAAAGGCATCCTCTTTCCAGGGTTTCAGAAAGGGAAGCAGTCCCTTCTGCCGCAATCCAAGGGTTCGGGCTGATCTGCACCCCGTGTCAATATTCCTGATATTTGAGTCTTTCCAAAGTGGCACCCTGGATGCATATATATATAAAAAAAAACCACACGCCACAAACTTCAAGATTTCTTAAGTTTCAAGAGAAACTTGCATATCCTTTGTAATGTGTACCCACAGTGGAAGTGGTACACGTGTTAATGTCCAAGATTTTTTTTTTCACCCATTGCGATTACCTTTGATTAGTGGTTGTGATCTCTTGTTTTTGCTTTTAATCCCTGCAAGCCACTCTTGTGTATATTTTTCAGGAAGGTAAATTGTAAACATCTGAAATAAATCGAAGTTTTTTTGTCAGTGCTTTGGACGATAGTTTTCTACATTGTTTCATCTTAGCCTGCCAGCTGGACGTAATTCCCAAGGAATCCAGTCATGGAGGGGAGAAATGCCTCATTCTTCCAGATGGCTGAAGGGGATTCTACGCCCATGAATGAAAGTTGCTTTGCAGATTCAGAAGAGAGTTTGGATTTATCTGGACAAACAGCAAGAACTCAGCAGGACATTCTGAAAGAAGAAACCACACGTTGTGGTGTCCGTCGTTGCCCTTTCAGGGAGTTCTGTTACCAGGAGGCTGAAGGACTCAGAGATGTATGCAGCCAACTCCACCTTCTTTATGATCGGTGGCTGAGCCAAAGAGACCACACGAAAACTCAGAGGATGGATTTGGTGGTCCTGCCCCTGGCCACCCTGTCCCAGATGGAGAACTGTGTCTGGATGAGTGGAGCAGAGACCAGCTCTCAGGAAATGGGTCTGGCTGAAAGCTTCCTCCTGAGCCAGGTGGAGCAAAAAATGCAGCAAAAACAGCAGGTGAGATCAATGTGAATGAATTTTTTTTTACATGTTTCCATTGTAATATTTTATGTACACTGAGAGCATATGCACCAAGACAAATTCCTTGTGTGTCCAATCACATTTGGCCAATAAACTATTCTGTTATTCTATTCTATTCTATTCTATTCTATTCTATTCTATTCTATTCTATTCTATTCTATTCTATTCTATTCTATTCTATTCTATTCTATTCTATTCTATTCTATTCCTATTCCTATTCTATTCTAATATAGTTTTTATAACCCTATTGGGTATTTTTAATATTGTTTTTGCTTGTTTTATTGTTGTGAGCTGCCCTGAGTCCTTTCGGAGATAGGGCTGCATACAAGTTTAAATAATAGATAGATAGATAGATAGATAGATAGATAGATAGATAGATAGATAGATAGATAGATAGATAGATAGATAGGATGATCTTAATAGAATCCTGTCCTGGTTAGGTAAATGGTTCTATCCAGCTTCACCCTGATTATTTCTAAGGACATATAACAAGTTGGGACAGGGGCAGTAATATTTTGTTTGGCTATTTTAGGTTCATGCGCTGTTCATGGAGATGGCCACCCAAGGGGATGTGTCCCATCTCCCTCAAGAAATTGTCTTCGGGGAGATTTCCCAGGAGGACCCATCTCAGGAGACTTCATCAGGTAAAAGAGGGTTCCTTTTGATGTATTGGAGTCCTCAGAAGCAGGGGTGAAATCTAGCAGGTTCTGGAGAATCGGTAGTGGAAATTTTGAGTAGTTCACAGAACCAGCAAATGCCACCTCTGGCTGGGTAGGAATGGAGATTTTGCAATATCCTTCCCCCAGGAGTGGGGAATGAATGGAGATTTTACAGTATCCTTCCCCCAGGAGTGGGGAGGGAATGGGGATTTTGCAGTATCCTTCTCCTGGAGTGCAGTAGGAATGGAGATTTTACAGTATCCTTCCCCCAGGAGTGGGGGTGGGAATGGAGATTTTGCCGTATCCTTCCCCTGCCACGCCCACCAAGCCACACTCACAGAACTGGTAGTAAAAAAATTTGAATTTCACTACTGCTCAGAAGTATACATTGCCTGAAGTCTTTATATTACTGAGTTCCTGTTACAAGAATACCTTAGTCCTGTGTGCAAAATTTTTCTTTCAACTGTTTTTAAAACACGTACTTCCTCTGCTTTTATCTCATTCTCAGAAAATGGAGCAATGGGGATTGCACCAATGGAAAGGTCTCCTCTTTGTGGTGGTGCAGAAACAATGGTTGTACTTCCAACTCAGGTAGGAGGATCCCACCTCCTAAAGTGCAACGTAATTTATTCAAGGAACATGCAACGCTCTCCGCAGTGGTCTGAATCACTTTTTCAGAGCCAATTTAATATCTCCCAGCTAACAGTTTATCAGAGCGTAAGCATCTTCCCAGTGTTCTGATAGCATCCATATATTCAAGCAAATCAAGCTTCTTCTTGAGAACATCTCCCAATATCTTGATCTGGTTGTTCAGTGAAGACTTGTATCACCTACTGGGCAACATAAGACATGAAAGTGTCATATAGGAATATCCCAATAGTCGCTTAATGAATGTGCCTCAGGAATTGATCAAAAGGAATATAAGAGATGTTCCCAACAAGTGGGATATTTTTTTTAAATTAGAATTTGCAAATATTTTTTTGGAATTGCACATTAACAAGGATTGCTATTGTCCTTTAGGTTCCGGTGTCCTTTGAAGATGTAGCTGTGTTTTTCTCTGAGGAGGAGTGGGCTTTGCTGGATTTTAACCAAAAATCCCTGTACAGAGAGGTCATGCTGGAAAATGCTAAGAATGTGGAGTCCATGGGTAAGGGATCCCTTTTGTTCTGGGTTGAAATTGGTGGGGAAGGTATATTCTAATGAGAGCTAAGCAGCTTATCAATTTCTTGGAGGATATTCAGGTCTGTACTTTAGCTGGAGAGAACTGATATGACTTTATGGGCATTGCACCTAGAGCAATAATGGCTAACCTTTTTGCCGTTGCATGCCAAAAGCAGGGGGAGCTTGGGGGGGTCATGCGCATGTGTGCCCACACCCATAATTCAATGCCTCCCATGCTCCGCCCCTGCGCCGCCCCACGCATACGTGCACAACCAGCCCCTATTGCTCTAGGTGCAATGCCCATAAAGTCATATCAGTTCTCTCCAGCTAAAGTACAGACCTGAATATCCTCCACGTGAAGGCTAGGGAGGGTGAAAACAGCCTCCCTCACCCCCCCCCGAGACCTTCCGGAGGCCAGAAACGGCCCATTTCCCGACTTCCGGTGGAACCGGAAGGCCCGTTTTTCACCCTCCCCAGGCTCCAGAGGCTTTCTTGGAGCCTGGGGAAGGCGAAAATGGCCTCCTCCACCCCCCCACTGGAGGCCCTCCGGAGGCAGAAAACGCCCTCCCATAGCCACCATGTGAGCCCTATACTTACCTGGCATCCATAACGGGCCACGTGGAGACACCTGGGAGGGGAGGGGTGGCATGGGCGGGGCAAGCCGAAAATCAGTTGGCTGGTGCGCTAGAGCAACAGCTCGTGTGCCCGCAGCTATGGCTCCACAGAGCCACCTGTGGCACACTTGCCATAGGTTCGCCATTACAGGCCTAGAGTCATGTATGTGAGATGGGTGGCTATATAAATCAAAATAATCACAGCATAATTTTATTAAGGACTATGTTAAATAAATAATACAAAACCTGACACAAAAATACATAAAAGAAAAAAAGTAGAAAGTGCAACACACACACACCCCGCTAAGAAAGAGTCTTCTCTTTTCATCTCCAATTAATATTAATCAAGATTAACAATATATCACGGACTACTCTCTACATGGGGCTCCCCCTGGGGTGCACCCGGAGGCTCCAGCTGGTCCAGAACGCGGCCGCGCGGGGGATTATGGGGGCGACGAGGCGCTCCCATGTGACACCTCTCCTGAGCGAGCTGTACTGGCTCCCGGTGATCTTCCGGGTGCGCTTCAAGGTTTTGGTGACCACCTTTAAAGCGCTCCATGGCTTAGGGCCGGGGTACTTACGAGACCGCCTTCTGCCACCAATAGCCTCCCACCGGCCAGTACGCTCGCACAGAGTGGGCCTCCTCAGGGTGCCGTCCGCCAGACAATGTCGGCTGGCGACCCCCAGGGGGAGAGCCTTTCTCTGTGACGGCGCCCACCCTCTGGAACAACCTTCCCCCAGAGTTACATACAATAACAGACCTCCGGATTTTTCGTCGGGCCCTGAAAACCTATTTATTTCAACTAGCTGGGCTGGCTTGAGTTAAATTTTAAATTGATTTAAAATTGGGTTGTTTTAATTCACGGCCAAAATATTTAATTATTTTAATACTGTTTTTAAATTTTATATGCTCTGTATTTTACTTTGGCTGTTCACCGCCTTGAGTCCTATTTGGAGAAGGGCGGTATAGAAATGGAAACAAACAAATAAATAAATAAATATTAAAATAAAGCCCAATACCTTTTCATTCCATAACTTACCCTGTTTTCTATAAAGTCTTGTCTAAATTTTCATCTAGCCTTATTAAACAAAGATGTAGTGAAAATTAACCAAAAAACCCTAATCATATATAATTTCCATTTAATCTAGGTTCCCCTCATCTCTCTTAACAACTATTGAACATTACCATAATAACCCCTTGTTTAGATATCAAAAGATTAATCCATTACTCCATTGCATATTTCTGAAAGAAAAACTATCCAATCCAGATAATCATGAAACATCACAAAAAATAATCCACTCTTTAACCATACACAGGTAAACCAGTTTTTTTCCTTCTTCCTCCCAGCCATCTTTAAATCTCATTAATACTCCAAAATTATTAAAAGGAAGAGGTTTGAGCCCCCAGTCATATTCCTACCACCTAGTACAGCCGTATTGAAATAAATGTATAGCTAATATAATGTGATGGCACTTTCACTTTGTACCTTAAACAGCTGATGAATTTCTTTTTCTTCCAAACAGTTGACAGGCAGAAACCAGAGAATTATAAGGAATCAGGCGTGAATTCTTTGAAACGAACTGAAACTAGAGAAGGGTTATTGCAAAATCAGGAGGAGCCAAACATGACTGAAAACCAGTTGAACAATAGGATGGAGAAATCCTCTAATTTTAAGTATGGAGAAAATTGCACCTTCCATATGCAACATCACAAAGAAAAAGGAAGCTGTTTAAAAGCTGAAAAAATGTCCATCCATAAATCAGATGTCCATGAATATAGCAGTATCTGCACTAAAGAGAAGCAGCTTGAATGCAAGGAATATGGAAAAAATAATAATTTGAATCTCTATCTTACTTTACATCAAAACGTTGAGATACCAAAATCACATAAATGTTCAGACAGTGGGAAAAACGTTAATGAGAGCAGCACTTTTAACTCCCAGAAAACAGTTCATAGAGTGCAGAAGTCATGTAAAAGCAGAGAACGCAGAACAAGTTTTTATACAAGCAATGATCATATTGTGCACAAAAAGTCCTATCCAGGAAAGAAACCTTATAAATGCATGGATTGTGGAAAGAGGTTCTATACAAGTATTGATCTTACTTCACATGCAAGTATCCACACAGAGGATAAGCCACTTAGATGCACAAACTGTGGAAAGAGCCTCACCACAAGTAGTTCCCTTAGTGCACATAAAAGGATCCACATGGGAGATAAACAACACAAGTGCATGGAATGTGGGGAGAATTTCAGCCAGAGTGCTTCGCCTAATTCCCATGAACCGATCCATACAGGGATGAAACCATATCAACATTTGGCGTGTAGAAAGCGATTTTGTACAAGGAGTGATCTCATCGCCCATAAGAGGATCCACACAGGGGAGAAACCATTTAAATGCATGAAGTGTGGAAAAAACTTTACAATGAGACGTGGTCTTATTTCCCATGAAAGAATTCACACAAGGGAGAAAGCATATAAATGCATGGAATGTGGCAAGACCTTTGTAAGCAGAAGTGATCTTACTTCCCATAAGAGAAGCCACCCGGGAGGAAAACCATACCAATGCTCGGAGTGTGGAAAAGGCTTCGGTTGGAGTAGTAACCTTACCTCCCATAAAAGGATCCATACAGGGGAAAAGCCTTATCAATGCATGGAGTGCACAAAGAACTTCAGAGACATGAGTTCCTTTACTTCCCATAAAAGGTTCCATACAGGGGAGAAACCATACAAATGTATGGAGTGTGGAAAGAGCTTTAGTCAAAACAGTCAACTTACTTCCCATAAAAGGGTCCACACAGGAGAGAAACCGTATAAATGTGCGGAGTGTGGAAAGAGCTTCACCACAAGTGGTTCTCTTACTGCCCATAAAAGGAATCACACGGGAGAGAAACCGTTTAAGTGCATGGAATGTGGGAAGAGTTTCAGCCAAAGTGCTTCCCTTACTTCTCATGAAAAGATCCACACGGGGATGAAACCATTCCAATGCTTGCAGTGTGAAAAGAAATTCGGTACAAGTAGTGATCTCATTTCCCATAAAAGGATCCACACGGGGGAGAAACCGTTTAAATGCATGGACTGTGGAAAAAGCTTTACCATGAGACGTGGTCTTACTTCCCATGAAAGGATCCACACAGGGGAGAAACCATACCAATGCATGGAGTGTGAAAAGTGCTTTGTAAGTAGGAGTGATCTGACTTCCCATAAAAGGATCCACACAGGGGAGAAACCCTATCAATGCACGGAGTGTGGAAAAAGCTTCAGTTGGAGCAGTAACCTTACTTCACATAAAAGAATTCACACAGGGGAGAAACCGTATAAGTGCATGGAGTGTGGAAAGAGTTTCAGTCAAAGCACTTCCCTTACTTCCCACGAAAGGATCCATACAGGGATGAAACCATATCAGTGCATGGAGTGTGGAAAGAGATTCAGTACAAGCAGTGAACTCATTTCCCATAAAAGGATCCACACAGGGGAAAAACCCTATCAGTGCATGGACTGTGGAAGGAGTTTTAGAGACTTGAGTTCCTTTACTTCTCATAAGAGATTCCATACTGGAGAGAAGCCCTATAAATGCATGGAATGTGGAAAGTGCTTTACTCAAAGCAGTCAGTTTACCTGCCATAAAAGGATCCACACAGGGGAGAAGCCATACAAATGCACAGACTGTGGAAAGAGCTTCACCACCAGTGGTTCCCTCACTGCCCATAAAAGGATCCACACGGGGGAGAAACCATATAAGTGCACCGAATGTGGGAAGAGTTTCAGCCAAAGTGCTTCCCTTAGTTCCCATGAAAGGATCCATACTGGGATGAAACCATATCAATGCCTGGATTGTGGAAAGACCTTCAGTCAAAGCAGTCATCTTAGTTCTCATAAGAAGATCCACTCAGGGGAGAAGCTGTATAAATGCACTGAGTGTGAAAAGAGCTTTCATACAAGCAGTTCCCTGATATCACATAAGAGGATCCACTCTGGCGAGAAACCATATCATTGCATGGACTGTGGAAAAAGTTTCATTACAAGCAGTTCCCTTAATTCGCATAGGAGGATCCACACGGGAGAGAAACCGTATCAGTGTCAGGAGTGTGGGAAGAGTTTCAGCCACAATACTTCCCTCTCTTTTCATAAAAGGATCCACGTAAGAGAGAACCCGCCTGCCAGCATATAATATGGAAGGAGTTTCATTCAGAATAATGAATGTCTGATAAAAGGAGCCACAAAGAGGAGAGGCCCTACAGATGTATGCAGTGTGGAAAGAACTTAGTGTGGTTCCATTTCTGATTACAGTGTCAAAATAGAAATGGAATGAATTATAATTGAATGATAGGGAAGGAAGGAAGAAGAGAAGGGGTAACATGGATGAAGACAATTACAGGAACGTTTTAGAAAAGCTTCAATTTACTACAGTGAGGCCAAGATTGTGTGATAGGTATGGTATAGATCAGGGGTGTCAAACTCAAGGCCCGGGAGCTGGATCTGACCTCCGGGGTGCTTAGATCTGGCCCGTGAGGCCACCCTGGAAACAGCAAAGGACCAGCCCATGGTACCTCTGCCCGCAGCCCTCCCAAGCTCTGTTTTTTCTGGCAGAGGGTCGCAGCCGAAAACAGCTTGGGAGCCCGTTTTCACTGGCAGAGCGCTCGGGCCGCCACAGGCACCCCCAACACGAGTGACGTTGAGCTGGCCACGGCACCCAAGGTCAAACACAACCCTGATGCGGCCCTCAATGAAATTGAGTTTGACAGCCCTGGTATAGATGGACTTGATGGGGTCTAACTAAGCATATGCCTCAAATATAATCTTATTGCAGCAAGATACTCAGTATGCTCAAATTTTTATTAAACCAGATTTTTATAAGGAGACACTTGTTTATCTGAAATTTAACTGTTTCTCTAAGGCTTATAGTAGAGTTAGCTCTCTTTTCTTCTACTATCTAAGTGGATAAATATCCATTTATATCTTCTTCATACACCTCTGGTCCAATTAGTTGCTACATTCTCTCCTCTTCCTTTTCTAATAAAACTATCGTTTCACCAATTTCTCATATTTTTGTTGTTCCATTTGGAAGCTGGAAAGAGCATGTTTGGGTGTAAGACATAATGGTAAACAAGAACCAGTCTGCTTCCTTATTTTAATGGCAATGGAATTTTATTAAATTTTATTTACATTATTTTTATTCTTGACCTGTTCCTTTCTGAAGCATGATTTTGACAGTCCTTCAGATATGTGACTGACGTGACATTTATTGACAGGACAGTAATTGGATATCTACCAGTAAGAGACTCTACTTCAGTCAACCACAATACCCCAAAACCATTGGGAGAAAATGCCACACATTGGCCAAACCTGTACATGATACTGAAATATCGAAAAGTAAAGTGTGAGGAATTTGAGAGGAATCGCTTTAAACAGACAGAACAACCAATTCAGTGGACAATGTAGTTCTCTTGAAGAACATTAAACGTGATGTGTATTTGGGCATAGCTTCTTAATTTGACATACACTTTATTGAATAGTGAACTGTAATTAAGCGAGGATTAGGTTATAATGGAGACCCCAGTGAAGCTATTGACTCAGTATGTGGCAGAGGAGAAAAAATAAAATCCACATTAGGGATCAGTAGGAAAAGAATGGAAGTAAAACAGCTGCAACTGTTATTCCCTTCTACAGTATATGAATATTGTGTATAGTTCTGATTTTCCCATTTGAAAAATGATATAAAGGAGATGGGGGAAAGTTCAAAAGCAGCCATCAAAATGATTAGTGGCTTGATTATATTTGTGTTTGGCACCCTCAAGCAAAAACTAACATAAAATAAATCACCCAGGTTCTTTAGAATGTGTGGCAGAATTTGTGGGTGGAGTTAAAAGAGGAATTAGACTAGAATTCTTACGTAACCCCACGTGGACTAAGTCCAAACCTTGAATTCCGTTGCCCATTATCTTGTTGTGGAATGGAAGGACTAAAAAACATTCCCAGGCCAGTCAGAGACAGTTTATTGCGCAAGGTTCAGAGCCAGATTTGTACCTGAAGCTTTGAACAAAGAAAGAACTCTGATACAATGGTTTTTATACATTTCTAAGACAAAGGATTCAGTGAGATCATACATTTTCCATATATGGTTAATCATGAGATCATACATCCGATTTTCCTTTTATGGTTACATTCACTTGTTAATAAGTTCATCTAATTACTTAAAGGATTAATCTTAGTTTATAAGATTATTTTAGCTACACAACTTTTCTTAAGTGCTCAGAGTCGCTAATGGGAGAGTTACTACTGTCCTTGGGTAAATTCATTGGATTAAGTAACTCTTTGTAACATATAGGTCTTTGTGTCATTCACAGTCAGGTCACTCAGATGTTTTTCCATATAGCAGTCCTTTCCATGACATCTAGGTATCAGAAGATATATTACCACTTAAAAGGGTTTAACTGTTTGTTAATGTAATTTCCAACAAGCACTTTCCTCTCTTATAATAATGTGAATAGATAGGGTCTCTCAGAGTTCATGTATCCAAGCACGTCTAATGTGAATAGAGAGGGTCCCCCAGAGCCCATATATCTGACTGTATGATTCCTATTTTATTCACATTATTTCTTTTATCTACATTATTCTTTATTTGCTCTTTACCTCAATCTAACTACAAACAAGTACTAAGCATTAGTTGTACATTTATCTTCTCAACTAATAGCATCATCTTGTATCTAGCTAAGTGACAAGCGAATTCAAGGGGGTTGAATTTAGTCTGCTTGTGGCTACATAGGAATTCTAAGCTGATCTCTTAATTCCACACCCAGATTCTGCCACTCCTACATGTGCAAAACTAGGTTTCAAGGATCATCTAATTAAAGTTGATTAGAAGATTTAGAATAGAGAGAAAAGTGTGCTTTTACCATGTCCATTATTAACCATAACCCTGCTAAGAAAACTGCATGTATTCCATCTCCAAGATTTAAAATTTCATTCAATAGTATTTCTATCTTTAATAATGGTTTAGATTTGCCTATATTTATATGTATATGTGTATTCATTATTTTATATACATTATTTTTCACAATGTTAGCTATGCAGTCACGCATGTGAGATAGAAATCCATTAAAGAAAAATAAATTTACTGGTTTTTATGTAGTTGTGTGGGTTTTTGTTTTGTTTTTTTTTTGCAAATGAACAAGCATTGATCTTTCTATAAAAGTGAATATTAGATACATATAAAAACAAAGCAGCATATTTGCTTATCTTTTTTTTCCTTAAAAAAGTTATGAGATAGCCAGAAACCGGGCCACACAAATAACCGAAGCCCCATCTACGGGATGCAGTTAGCATGCAAAACCATGCCCCCTCCGGTCTACGGAAAAACCTCTCTCCATGGAACTGGTCCCTGGTGCCCAAAAGGTTAGGGGCCACTGATCTATGGAACTTTTTTTTTTTTTTTGCTTGTTTGCCTAAATGTTCTTTATTGCAAAAGGGACCAGAGTGATTGATATGTATTGAATGTTCAAATATCTGCAGATGCATTGTAAAGATCATCATTGGAACTGGAGTCTCCTATAGATATTGGAAGACATGCAATGTTATAATGTTTTATAATATACAGTAGATCTCCATCCAATATACATGTGACACAGCTGTGCTGTTCTAACCATTACACCAGGAAAAGATGTCTGTTACGGTAATTCCTTTCCCCACAGTAGTAGTAGTAGTAGTAGTAGTAGTAGTAGTAGTAATAATTATTATTATTATTATTATTATTTTATTTCTATACCGCCCTTCTCCCAAAGGACTCAGGGCGGTGTACAGCCTATTTAAAAACAAGACAAAACAGCAATTAAAATTTAAAATAATTAAATAAATTTGGCTCAAATTTAAAACCCCAGCAAATTTAAATACTCCAATTTAAAACTATTATGTTGATAGCCCAGCCTGGCGGAACAACAGGGTCTTCAGTGCGCAGTGAAACACCCGGAGGTCGGAGATCTTACATATTTCCAGGGGCAGTTCATTCCACAGGGCTGGGGCTCCCACAGAGAAGGCCCTCCCCCTGGGTGTCGCCAGCCGACATAACTTGGCCGATGGCACCGAGAGGAGACCCTCTCTGTGGGAGCGAACTGGTCGGTGGGAGGCTATTGGTGGCAGAAGACGGTCTCGGAGGTACCCGGGTCCTATGCCATGGAGCGCTTTAAAGGTGGTAACTAACACCTTGAATCGCACCCGGAAGACCACCGGGAGCCAGTGCAGCTCGCGCAGGAGGGGTGTCACGTGGGCACAACGAGTTGCGCCCATAACCACCCGCGCGGCCGCATTCTGGACCAGTTGGAGCCTCCGAGTGCTCTTCAAGGGGAGCCCCATGTAGAGAGCATTACAATAGTCCAACCGGGAAGCAACAAGGGCGTGAGTGACCGTGCGCAGGGCGTCCCGGTCCAGAAAGGGCTGCAACTGGCGAATCAGGCGAACCTGATAAAAGGTCAAATAGCCAAAAGAAGCAAAAAAAGTCAGCACGGAGGATTTGCAATCACCAAAATTAAAATGGCAAGTGTCTGTTCAACTGCTGCTGGTTAAAATCCAAAGTTGTGGATGTTCTGTTGCTGGAGGCTTTCATTTGTCCGAGATGGTACAAGGAATCCTGCCTTGGGCAGGGGATTGGACTAGACCAGTGATGGCTAACCTTTTTGCCATCATGTGCCAGGAGGGGTGGGCGGGGGAGGTTCGTCCACGTGCATGCCCACACCCATAATTCTATGTGCCCTGCCCTGCCCATGTGAGTGCAACCCCCCCTTCTCCCCAGTCCTGGCATGTGATGGCCAGGTAGGCCCGTTTCTCTTTCTCACCTGGCTCCAGATCCTCTATGCATCTTGGGAGGGCGAAAACAACCTTTCCCACTCCCTTGGAAGCCTGAAACGGCCCATTTCCCAACTCCTGGTGGGACAGGAAGTGACTTTTTTGCTGTCCCCTGCCTTCAGAGCCTCTCTAGGAGTCTCTGGAGGCTGGGGAAAGCAAAAAAGTCACTTCCTGTCCCACCGGGAGTTGGGAAATGGGCCGTTTCAGGCCTCCGAAGGGCCTCTGAGGGAGTGGGGAAGGCTATTTTTGCCCTCCCCAGATGCATAGAGAGGATCTGGAGCCAGGTGAGAAAGAAAAACAGGCCTTCCCCACCCCACCCAGGCCCTCCGGAGGCAGGAAACAGCCTGTTTCCCTACTTCTGGTGGACCTAGAAGGCCCGAAAATCAGCTGGCTGGCGCACACATGCGCGCCAGAGCTGAGCTGGCGTGCCCACTGATATGGCTACGTGTGCCACCTGTGGCACGTGTGCCATAGGTTCGCCATCACGGGACTAGACTAAAAGACATAGAAATATGGAAAACTGATAGCAGAAAAAGACCTAGTGGTCCATTGAGTCTGTCCTTTGACTTTTTGTTTCAATTTCTTTATATTTTTTAATTAATAAAAATACAGGTGGTCCTCAATTTATGGCTACAATTGAACCCAAAATTTATGTTCCTAAATGAGAAATTGGTTAAGAGAGTTTTGCCCCATTTTATGACTTTTCTTGCCACATTTGTTAAGAGAATCACTGCGGTTATTAAATTAGTAAGACGATTGTTAAATGAATTTGGTTTCCCCATTGATTTGGCTTGCAAAAAGTGTTCACATGACCCCGGGACACTGCCAACTATCATAACTGAGTTGGTTGTTAAGCATCCAAATGTAAATCACATGACCATGGGGATGCTACTAGTCATAAGTGTGAAAAATGGTCATGTCACTTTTTTCAGTGTCGTCGTAACTTTGAACCATCACTAAGAGACCTGTTGCAAATCAAGGACTACCTGTATAGACTACAAGCCCTATGAATCTACCTTTGACTTCTAGCTGTATCTGGTTTCCATTACAATCTTTTTCTCCTATTATCATTACATTTGCTTTTTGGAAAGTTCCCCCAAGTTTCCTGCATACCTATATCAAAATCAGAATAGAGCTAGAAGGGACCTTGGAAGGCTTCGTCCAGCCCGCTGCTCAAGCAGGAGATCCTATATAGATACCTCACTTTCCGTCCATCGCTCCGCAAGCTTGGCACGCAGGACCCGCTAGAGGGCGCCCTTTGCAAACAATCATTGGATTCAGGCGAATTGCTTTTGCAAGCTCCAAAGAAGCATCTCACCCGATGCTTGCAAAGGGAGGGCAGGAAGTGACTGTTTGCACGCCGAAGGACCGCTTTTCCAGGAAGCAGCGTCCTGTCCAAACGCTGGACCGATCCTGCAGACGGCTTCGTCCTTCCTTCGGGTAATCTCAGTCTCCAGATCTGGAGAAGCGTCCTTCTTGAAAACCCCCAAGATTTCAGCTACTCATTTGCACCCCTTTTAGGGGGTCCATAGGACGCTCATCTCTGCAAAGAGAACCTCTTCTGGGTTAAAGATTCAGTTCTGCACCAGCTCTCTCCTGAGGATCTCTTATCGGTGAGATGACAGCATATAGATTTATCTGGAAAGGGGGGTCTTGTAGGGAAACCTCCCCAAGTTTCCACCTCCTATACTTCCTTTTTCACCTGCATCATTTTTATGATATGTGCGGTAAGGTTACTTCTGCAAGAAGAGCCTATTCTGGGTTAAAGATGGAATTCTGCACAAGCTCCCTCCTGAGGACCCCAGCAAGCTCAGGGTTTGTTGTCTGCTGAGAGCATCTGCAGGTCGAGGATCTGGGTTTCCTGGCTTGGGAAGGGGTCTCCTTCCTACCACTTGGAGACAAGGAAGTATTCCTTTCAGCAGAAGTCCAAGGGACCAGGTTGATCTGCATCCCATGTCAATATTCCCTAGATATCTGAGTCCTGCCTAAGTAGCAGCTTGGGCAGATAGTCGTAAAAAGATTAAAGCCCACAAACTTCAAGATTTCTAACCTGCACGCTGTTTGTGAGGTCTATCTGTGGTGGAAGTTGTTTATGTTGCATTCATAAAATTTTCCACCCCTTTGCAACTATTTTCATTAGCAGTTGTAATCTGCTGTGTTTGAATGACAGAATAACAGAGTTGGAAGGGACCTTGGAGGCCTTCTAGTCCAACCCTTTGCTCAGGCAGGGGCACCCTATACCATTTCAGACAAATGGTCCAATCTCTTCTTTAAAACTTCTAGTGAGGGAGCACCCACAATTTCTGGAGGCAAGTTGTTCCACTGATGAATTGTTCTAGGTCAGGAAATTTATCCTTAGGACCCAGATTGTTGGGAGCAATATGCTGACTCTGTAAACCGCTTAGAGAGGGCTGTTAAGCACTGTGAAGTGGTATATAAGTCTAATTGCTATTGCAAGGTTGCTTCTCTCCTTTGATTAGTTTCCATCCGTTGCTTCTTATCCTGCCTTGCTTCTATTCTTTGCAGGCCTTGCAGTCATAAAATGTGTGGACGGATGAATGTGAATTTTAAACAAATTGAATAATGAAAGAAAGTTCTTCCCGTTGTGTTGGATTGCTGGATTACTGAATGTACTTTCCATAGAAGCTAATCATTCAAAGGAGAAATATGTCATTCTCCAAGATGGCAGAAGGTGACTCTCCTTACCATTCTGCTCCCATGAATAAAAGTGGCCTTGTAGATTCGGAGGAGCCTTTGGATTTGTTTGGACAAGCAGCAAGAATCAAACAGAACATTCTGGAAGAAGCAGCCACACATTGTGTTGCCCAGTGTTGCCCTTTTAGGGAGCTCTGTTGCCAGGAAGCTGAGGGACTCCAAGTCATATGCAGCCAACTCCATCATCTTTATGATCAGTGGCGGAAACAAGAGGGCCGCATGAAAGCTCAGATGGTAATCCTGCAGCTCTACACCCCACCCACTGAGGTGGAGAGCTGTGTCTGGATGCATGGAGCAGGGTCCAAGTCCCAGGAAGTGACCTTAGCCGAAGGTTTCCTCCTGAGCCATGTGGAGCAGAAAATTCAGCCAAAGCAGCAGGTGAGATCATAAAAACAATATGAATGAATTCTTAAATGTAATCAGGTTGATTTTAATCAACTGTATCCTTGATAGACAAATGATTCCATCCCCCTTCATCCTGATTATTTCCAAGGTCATATAAGAAGCTGGGGCAGGGGCAGTAATGTTCTCTTCACTGCTATTTCAGATTCATCAGCATTTCATGGAGGTGGTCACTCATGGTTCTAAAGCATCAGGAGATGCATCACATCTCCCTCAACAAATAGTCTTTGGGGGAATCCCCAAAGAGGACCTATCTCAGAAGTCAACATCAGGTAAACGGGGTTCATTTTGATGTATTGGGGTCCTCATGAGTTATGGAGTGCCTGAAGTCTTAATATTCCTAAATTTCGTGTACTGTATTACCTTGAGCCCCGTGTGCAGAGTTTTTCTCCAGCTGTTTTTAAAACATGTACTTCCTGTGCTTTTATCAGAAAACGGAACAATGGTGATTATACCAATGGAAAGGTCTTCTCTTTGTGGTGGAGCAGAAACTGTGGCTGGACTTCCAACTCAGGTAGGAGGGTCCCATGTCTCAGAGTGCAACATTATTTAGTCAAGGGACATACAACTCTTTCCAAAGCGGTCTGAGTCCCTTTTCCAGTGCCAATTTAATATCTCCCATCTAAACAAATTTTCAGAGCATCTTCTCAAAGTTCTGGTACTATCCATAGCATCTCAAACATCTTCTTGAGGACATCTCTCAACAACTTCTTCTAGTTGTTCGATGAAGACTGTGTATGTCCTACTGGATAAGACATTGATTAAATATCATATAGGAACATCCAAATACTTGCTTGATAAGCAAGCTTGCAGGAAGTATTGGAATCCATTTTGCTCCCTAATCTTGTCCCAGGAGTGGCTCAAGATGAATATAAGGTTGCTCCCAGTGAGTGGAATATTTTCCATTAGAATAAGGAAATTGCTAATATTTTCTGGAATTGTACATTAATAAGGAGTGTTTTTGTACTACAGATCCCTGTGTCCTTTGAAGATGTAGCTGTGTTTTTCTCTGAGGAGGAGTGGGCTCTGCTGGATTTTGACCAAAAATCCCTGTACAGAGAGGTCATGCTGGAAAATGCTAAGAATGTGGAGTCCATGGGTAAGAGATTTGTTTTACTCTGGGTTCAAATAAATGGAGAAGTATATTCTGATGAGAGATAAGCAGCTTATTAATTTCTCGGGGTGAGGGGGATGCTAAAAATGTGGATTTCATGAGTAAAGGATCCATTTTGCTCTGGTTTTTCAGCAATTAAGGTCTGTACTTTTTGTAGAGAACAGAAATGTCCATATGTGAGTCATGTCCAGAGTTACGTATGTAATACAGACAGCTGTATAAATCAAAATAAGGAGCCGTGCTGGTGTAATGGTTAGAATGCAGTATTGCAGGCTAATTCTGCTGACTGCCGACTGCCAGCAGTTCAGCAGTTTGAGTCTCACTGACTCAAGGTTGAGTCAGCCTTCCATCCCTCTGAGATCGGTAAAATGAGGACCCAGGTTGTTGGGGGCAATATGCTGACTCTGTAAACCGCTTAGAAAGGGCCGCAAAGCACTGTGAAGCAATATATAAGTCTAAATGCTGTTGTTATTGCTGTTGCTAAATAAGTAACTTTAATAGTAAATTAGGATTGATTACAAGAAGGCATTTGATTCTCTGCCACATATTTGGATAATCAAGTGCCCATAAATAATGGGAGTCTAGAAACATCACAAAATTTTTGAAAAGATGAATAGCTCAATGGAAAACATAGTTGCTGGTCAGTGGTGTTAGACTGGGAGGGGAATCTTTCAAGGAGGCTCACTATCACCACTACTTTTGTCAGTGCATTGATTCCTCTCTCAACAATACTGAACAATCAGGCCATGAGAAAAAAATAACATCTGCCAGGTTACTTGGTATAATTTCCATTGGGCATTTTAATTAATTCAGCTTTCTCAATTTTTCCTCTATGGCAGGGGGGTCAAACTCACATTATCACGGTGTCGTCATGTGATGTATTGCAACTTTTTCCCCCCTTTGCTAAAGTGGGTGTGGCCAGCACATGATGCATTTGGCCCGCAGGCCGCAAGTTTGACAGCCCTGCTCTATAGATAGTAAGAGTGGCACATTTGCTCAGTCCGAACTAGTGGATATTTGGCTGTACATTCAAACATGAGCAGCAGTTTCATTTCAAATGATGTTTTTGCACACTAATAGACTGTGCATGTATGGAAGAAAGAAACAAGAGGGGCTAATTCTGACTGCACAAGACCAAGCTTTCAGAACAAATGCATACAAAAGCAGAATCGAAAACAACAGCAAATGCCACTTCTACAAAAAAAAAAAAAAATTACCGTGTTTCCCTGAAAATAAGACCCTGTCTTATATTTTTTCGAACCCCGAAATAAGCGCTTGGCCTTATTTTTGGGGAGGTCTTATTATTTTAGGGTACATGGAGGAAACCAGAGGAAATGGCGGGAAGTGGCTGCGCATGCGTTTAAATATTTTCGGGGAGGGCTTATTTTCGGGGGGGGGGATTTTAGTGCATGCACTCCAAAGCCCGATTGGGCTTATTATCAGGGGATGTCTTATTTTAGGGTAGTTAGCTGCTGCAAGAAAATTGCACAGACTGATTACAAACAATGCCATGTTATAGAAGCAACAATGGTGCATTGATACTGTGTATCTGCAGAAATTGCCATTTTCCTGCAAGGAAGAACGGGTGGGAACACAAAATAGAAAAAGTAATGAAAAATGAAGATGCTGTGAAGTGCTTAAGTAGAGATAAAAGCAATCACTGCTCTTGGGGAGTGGGGGGAGGGGATCAGGTACAAGATATCCTGATAGTCTCACTCTGTTTTTCTCACAGATGTTAATTTGAATAAAGTAAGTTATCTGTGTGGCTGATGACCAGTGCAGGGAAAGCTGAGGGTGAAAGAACACACCTGGAATGTAGACCTATTTTTTCAAGGGAGGGCAACTCATCTCAAACATGCTAAATCCCAGTTTACTTGTAGTAACAGCACCTCCATTTTCTCCTGATTTAGTTTCAACTTGTCTTCTTCCATATTTGAAATTGAATTTAATCATATTCCAGTCCAGAACTCTAGATGCTACTCCCCAAATTGACCTCAAATTACTTTCCCTAATGCGTAAAAATAATGGAGCTCTGTGGGACCTCATATCTTAGGTGGCTCGTAGCAGTCCAACATTCTGGAGATAACAGGAAGGATCAGAGATGCAGTAAACAAAGTCTCAGACATATTCCCACCACCATGTAGCTTAGAGGGAAAAATCTTGGTACAGTAGTTTTGAAATAAAAAAGGAGGCTAATATAAAGTGATGGCACTTCATTTTACATCTTAAACAACTCATGTTTAATTTTCTTCTCTATTTTCCTTCCAAACAGATGACAGGGAAGAGCCTGAAGATTATAAAGAACCAGGTGTGAATTCACTGGAAAGGACTGAGACTACAAAAGGGATATTTCAAAATCGGAAGAAACCAAATGTGACTGAAGAAAACTGGTTGAATAATAGGAAGGGAAAATCGTCTATTTTTCAGTATAGAGAAAATTGCAACTTCAATATCCAACCTCACAAAGAAAAAAGAAGCTGTTTAAAGGGTAGGAAAACATTCAGCAATAAATCAGTCATCTCTGAATGTAGTAGAATCCATTCTAAAGAGAAGCAGGTTGAATGCAGGGAACATGGAAAAAAAAGATTTGAATCTAGATCTTCCTTTACATCAAAGCATTGAGACACCAAAATCACATAAATATTCTGACAGTGGGAAAAGCTTTACTGACAGCAGTACTTTTAACACCCATAAAACAACCCATAGAGTGGAGAAGTCTTATAAGTGTACAGAGTGCAGAAAGTGTTTCTATACAAGCACTGATCTTACTATGCACAAAAAGTCCCATGCAGGAAAGAAATATAAAAGGATGGAATGTGAAAGGAGGTTCAATATGAGTATTGATTTTACATCTCATAAATGGATCCACAAACGGGAGAAACCATATAGGTGTACAGACTGTGGAAAAAGCTTCACCGCAACTGGTTCCCTTACTGCCCATAAAAGGATTCACACGGGGGAGAAACCATATAAATGCATGCAATGTGGGAAGAGTTTCAGCCAAAGTACTTCCCTTACTTCCCATGAAAGGATGCATACTGGGATGAAACCATATCAGTGCATGGATTGTGGAAAAGAGTTCAGTCAAAGCAGTGATCTCATTTCCCATAAAAGGATCCATACAGGGGAAAAACCGTTTAAATGCCTGGAGTGTGGAAAAAGCTTTACCATGAGACGTGGTCTTACTTCCCATGAAAGGATCCACACCGGGGAGAAACCATACCAATGTACAGATTGTGGAAAGTGCTTTATAAGTAGGAGTGATCTTACTTCCCATAAAAGGATCCACACAGGCGAGAAGCCGTATCAGTGCATGGAGTGCGGAAAAAGCTTCAGTTGGAGCAATAACCTTACTAGTCATCAAAGGATCCACACAGGTGAAAAACCATATAAATGCCTGGAATGTGGGAAGAGTTTCAGCCAGAGCACTTCTCTTACTTCCCATGAAAGGATCCATACAGGGATGAAACCGTATCAGTGTATGGATTGTGGAAAGAGCTTCAGTACAAGCAGTGAACTCATTTCCCATAAAAGGATCCACACAGGGGAGAAACCATATAAATGCACAGAGTGTGGAAAGAGCTTCCGTAAGAGTACTGATCTTATTTCGCATGAAAGGATCCACACAGGAGAGAAGCCATATAGATGTACAGAGTGTGGAAAATGCTTCAGCCAACACAGAAACCTGTCCTGCCATAAAAGGATCCACACAGGGGAGAAGCCATACAAATGCACAGACTGTGGAAAGAGCTTCACCACCAGTGGTTCCCTCACTGCCCATAAAAGGATCCACACGGGGGAGAAACCATATAAGTGCACCGAATGTGGGAAGAGTTTCAGCCAAAGTGCTTCCCTTAGTTCCCATGAAAGGATCCATACTGGGATGAAACCATATCAATGTCTGGATTGTGGAAAGAAATTCAGTAAAAGCAGCCACCTTAGTTCTCATAAGAAGATCCACTCGGGGGAGAAGCTATACAAATGCACAGATTGTGAAAAGAGCTTTTATACAAGCAGTTCCCTGATATCACATAAGAGGATCCATTCTGGCGAGAAACCATATCATTGCATGGACTGTGGAAAGAGTTTCAATACAAGCAGTTCCCTCAGTTCACATAGGAGGATCCACACAGGAGAGAAACCATATGAGTGCCGGGAGTGTGGAAAGAGTTTCAGTCACAACACTTCCCTCTCCTTTCATAAAAGGATCCACACAAAGAAGAACTCACCTTCTTCTTCCTAGTATATTCCTACAGGATCCACTTTTCGGATCACTGAATGCCACTTTGCATGGTCAACTGCATCTCCAGTGCACAGGCCCGTGGCTTACATATCTTTGTTGATGGTGTCTTGCCATTTCTGTTTTGGATACGAGGTTGCCAGCCATTGACTTCTGGTTAGTAGGCAGTCTTGCCAATGGTGAAAGGTGCTGGACTTGTCTATACCAGAGGAGCCAGCCTTCTCTCATCTTCTCTATAATTGGTGCCACGTCAAAGAACCTACCTGCCTGCATATAATAAATGAGGAACTTCTTTCAGAGTTGTGAAGTTCTGATAAAAGAAATTACATGGAAGAAAAACTCGGTACATACCTGTAATATGGAAAGAACTTAAGTGATTCCATTTCTGATCAGTATGCCAACATTAAAAGGGAATGGATTATTTAATTAGAGAAAATGAGTTAAAGCGAAAGAAGGCAAAGAGAAGAAATAGAATGGATGGGCCAGATTAAGAAGATGATAGGAAAGCTTTGGAAGAGCTTCAAGTTACTACAAGAGGAAGGCTAAGATCTTGTCTATGTTGTAGGTACAATATAAATCAACTATATTCAGTCAAATCTGCAGTGAGAGATTTGGGATAACGAAATTTTTATTAAATAATTTGACAATCTATGCCCCGTTGGAACATCATTTTGGAGCCATGGTAGTGCAGTGGCTAGAATGCAGCATTGCAGGCTAATTTTGCCAACTGCCAGGAGTTCGATCCTGACCAGTTTACTGATGACTCAGCCTTTCATTCTTCTGAGGTCGGTAAAATGAGGGCCCAGATTGTTGGGGGCAATATGCTGACTGTAAACTGCTTAGAGAGGGCTGTAAAGCACAACGAAGTGGTATATAAGTCTAAGTGCTATTGCTATTTCCTTATCACTGACCAGTGATGAGCAAAAAAGCTGCGGGAACAGGCATGAGCTCCAACTTCCTGCTAGCCTCTCCATTGAATTTCCTTCTGGGAATCTGGCAGGGAGCATTGGAAATCTCCTGTTTCCCTTCTCTTCCCAACAGGCAGGTAAGTGCTTGCTCCCGAGTAGGGGAGAGTACAAGGGATTGTGAGAGTAGGTGGGAAACTGTCTCAGCAATACACCAGCAGTCAGCAGCAATGAGGTAATCATAATTTCTCCAAATTTCATTCCCTTGAAAGTCATTGGTCCCAGAATGGACACATTCTGTAAATTAGCCCTTAGCCACCCAGCATAACCTTGAGGTAAGATGGGCAGCCTATAAATTTATGAATAAATAAATACATTTGAAGTGTATTGGTTCAACTGGGTAGCCCTGTTCACCCAATTAATAGTTATGAGATTTTGAGTAGTATATAGATTATCCAAAACATTTTTTTGCTTCTTAATTATTATCTGTGAGTTGAGTTGGGGATGCTGATTTACAATGTATTTGGGAGCAGACATCTATATTGAATATGACTGGGCTAGAGGTATAAATGATTATAGACATAGCTGTGAATGAGCATTAGCCAGCCCTTAATCCTGATTCCAACTCTGGGCTTGGAGGATTGTGGTTTATCCTTGCTTGCCTGCAAAAATTTTAACTATTTTTCTAAGGTCTGAGGTGGGCCTTTTCTCCCTTCCTCAATTCACTCTTCTGAGACATACACCTTTGATTCTAAACCTGTATTTTTCCCCTATTTCCAGCAAAATTACCCCTTCCCCAATCTTTCGTGTCTTTGTTGTTTCGCTTGAAGATGGAAAGGGCATGTTTGGGTGTGAGATACAATGGTGCATGTAAATAGGAATTAATTTGTTTCCTTATTTTAATGACAATGAAATTTTATTATATTAAATTTTATTTACATTTTTTTGCTCTGGGTCTATCTTATTTTGGAGTATGGCTTTTGACAATGCTACATATGCATAGATACAGATTTGCACATGCCCACATCAAATTTATGGACCAATTCCTTTTCTGAAAATGCAACAGTCCATAGTTAGGATATGGAAGAGACACTACTTTGATCAACTACTTAATATTCAGAAATCCCTGGAAGGAAATGCAATGACTGTTTATTTTCCGATAGGCCTTGAGCTGGCCAAATCTGTAGATGATATTCAATATGATTCAAGCGTCTTATAGTCCGAAAAATATTGTAATTAGTGCATCTTTCTACTCACATTCTGTATGCTTTATTATGTACTGGCTGTAGGCTGTGCAACTGAAGCCTTTTTTTTTTTTACTTTGTATCTTGTTGCAAGAATACAAACCTGTTGATTTGAAAATTGGGTGCTTAATCTGGTTCCTGAGCACTGGCTTTTTGGCCAGAAATAAACATTATATCCATCCTTGGTGTGCTTTAATGAGCATTGCATACCGGGCACAATCTCAGACTTTTTTGGACCACAAAATCTCATCTTATTTCCTGTTCAGGGTTGAATCATTTGCTAAACATTCATTTATTCTTAGGCATGTTTCACTTCTATCAAATTTTGTGCATTCCCTGATCAGCATAAAGCTGGTTTCCCAAATTGTGTTCATTGTTGTCTCTCATCTTTCAATTACAACGCGGCATTCCTGAGGATGCTTAATATTCTAAATCACTTGTAATTTGTGCACTCACTAATGTTATCTTTCCCTTTGTATAGAACAGTAATGGCATTTTTCAAGACAAACACATTGTAGAGATCATCACTGGAACTGGAGTCTCCTACAGATTGGAAAACATGTGTTGTTATAAAACTTTACGATATAGGACTCCATTCAACATATACATGTCACAGCTGTGATGTTCTGACCATTTCACCAGGAACAGATCCTTACTGATTCCTTTGCCCACAGTAATGGACAAAACGTTGTTTTTTTTAAAGTAGTATGGATTTGCTACCCAGAATAGCCCCATGACAAGTGGCAAATTTAACAAATAATTTGCAACTACTAAAATTAAAATGGCAATTGTCTGTTTACCTCCAACTGGTCAAAATCCAAAGTCCTAAGAGTTGAAGGATGTACCTGTGACACTTAGATGTAGGTGAGATACAAATAAATAATATATAAAAAGAGAAATGTTTCCATGCATGGAATGTGGAAAATGCTTCAGTAGCACCAGTTTCTTGCGAAAGGTATTCCACACAAAGGAGAAACTTTGGAAATGGTGAAATGAAACCTCAAAGGATTCTTAAATATGCATTCCAAGTACAGAAAGAACTTCAAGCTTTACTCCCCCACAATAATTGGTACTGGTTGCGTCTTTTCTAGCAAAAATTCAACTTTTTTTCCCAGTCAGTTCTGCTCCTTTATTTCATCTGATAATTCTTACTATCTCAGGAGACCCTTTTCATTATTTGTATTTCATATTTTTGAGAATTATGTTTGTTTCCTAACTCTTCAAGAACCACCTGTTTCTCTTCCCATTTATTTATATTAAAATAGCTTTATATTTCTCCTTTAATGCATAGCTGCCATCTCCTTCGTATACTTGGCTTTTTTGAAAGGTTCCCCTCAGCCTTCTAAATTTCCACATACTTCTGCAATTTCTGAGGGAATTTTTTTTCTGAAACTGAATGTCCTTTGACCAGTACTCCCATTTGGAATACAATATTTTCAATATTGGGGGTTTTTTTCCCCTTCAGGATCTCCATTTTGCTGTCCCAAAGCTTCTTCCCAGGTGCCAGAGACACTTTTATTACCCCATATCAAGAATAGAATAGAAAGCAGAGTTGGAAGGGCAAGTCTTCTATTATAACCCTATACCAGTGGTCCCCAACCCCCGGTCCGCGGACCGGTGCCGGGCCGTGGAGTACCTGGCACCGGGCCGCGCAGCGGCCGGGGGACATGAACGCTGCAGCGCAAAGGCTCCTGGGCCGTGCGCAATGGGCCGTGCGCAAAAGCTCCTGGGCTGTGCCCCCACCCCTGCGCGCGCTCAGCGGGCCGCGGCGATAAAAAGGTTGGTGACCACTGCCCTATACCATTTCAGACAAATGGTTGTCCAAAAACTTCCAGTATTAGAGCCTTCACAACTTTTGCTGACAAGTCGTTCTGCTGATAAATTGTTTTAACTGTTAGGAAATTTCTCCTTAATTTTAGGTTGCTTCTCTCCTTGATTAGTTTCCATCCATTGCTTTTTGTTCTGCCTTCAGGTGCTTTGGAGAATAGCGTGACTCTCTTCTTTGTGGCAGCACCTGATATATTGGAACACTGCTATCATGTCACCCCTAGTCCTTCAGGGGCTGTTCCACAAGAAAAGTGTTAACGTCTTCGAACTGGAGAGTCCTCACTTAGAAAAGGACTTTGGGACAGGATCCCTCAGCGCTACCATCATTTTACTAGAAGAGGACAGCATTCTCTTTCAGTTGCTCCTCAGAAACGCAGGAGATCTTAGCCCCGCCTCTTCCAACGTTCCTTTTCTAAAGATTTCAAGAGGCCCAAAGGGCCATTTTTTCTGAGGTGAGTCTGCCAAGACAGTGAAGGAGAGGGCCGAAAGGGCCACTCACTCCTCAGTAGGGCCTTTCTAGGGAGAAGCACTCACTCTCTTTAACTCTTGGAATAGCTGGAGAGATCAAGAATGGCCGGAACCTTTGATGTCTGAGTATGCGGCTCCATCTGCAAGTCTCGGAGTTTGGTTCCTCCTCCTGAAGCCTCAAATATATGTTAATCAGCCAATGAATTATCCAGAGACTATGAAATCTGAGTTTTGATCTGGACCACTGAAACTCTGTGATTGTGCCCTCTCCAATAATGTAAGAGGAAAAAATTGGTGGCAGCTGACTCTCATACTCTTCCTCAGAAGTACAACCATGGGGCTCTGATCCCTATTTATGCACAGAAATAGATGGTTGGATGACTTTGAGCTAGTTATTCTCTCTCAGTCTGACCCATCTCGCAAGGCTGATGTTCTTTGGAAAACAAGAGGGACCATTAGGTACTCCGCCTCGGTTAAGCAAAATATAAATTGTTTAAAATAATAAACAGACACCACCCGCAAGTTTGATAAACTGGGGTCTGATTAACGATCAAAATA